TGAATTGATCTTAAATCAATAAATGGCCAAAGAATGATTGTAAGGGATTTTGGGGCAAACGAACACATATTGTAAGTAAGCAAGCAATAAATACAAAATGATCCTTGAACTAAATAGAATGGAATACAGTTTGTTTATCCAGTGTTAACATTACTGAGTGACTTTGACAAGATCAGCGAGAATGGAAGAAACATCTATGAATCAAATCAAATCAATCAAACTATACTCCAAATTGATTTCAATCGAACTTCCTGGAATGAATCAGGTAGCTCGACATTTCGAAGATTTGGAATATCTATATACTATCAATATTCAATTTTCAGAAATACTTGCCAATGTCACTGTAAAAGGATATTCGAAACTATATCCTACAGAAGTTATTGATGTTAGATTTGGAAGATCTACAAAGCAAATCATAACCAATCAATTCATTATTACTTCGAAGTGTCAATGAACTTGAATCATTAAAACTTCCATCAAGTGCATATTCACCGAGTTGAATGGATTGTAATGATGGAAGATCTACATCAATCATTTCATTCGAATTCATTCAATACTTTCAATTATTGTTGATAAGGATTCACAAAATGCATCAATACCTAATGTAATGGATTGTAGATTTGGAAGATCTATGCATTATACAAATATTCAATATCATATCAATACCTCGAATCACAAAGGAATTATAACAGAAATTCCATGAATCACTTCCAATTGTACCAATTTGAATGGATTGTAATTGTGGACAATTCTTCAATTCAAAGTCGCCAGCAAAATCACTGAAACTGAATTCACCAATTTGAATGGATTCCAATGATTCACAATTCAATATGTGGAATGATTTCGATTCATCTTTTCCAGCACTATTCTTTGTCTCAGTAAACGAATTCTTGCCGATTTTGATAGTTTTCAATCGATTCAATCCATCGATTTTGAATGTTTGCACTGATCCAAAACATTCATTACCGATTTCGATTGATTCCAAATTATACAACAATGAAACATCCCAATCAACCAATGCACAATTGTCAATCAGTTTCAAATGTTTCATTCCGATATTCATTGGTTCTGAACCATCTCCTTCATATTCTTCATCAACATCAATTTCAATTCCATTATACCATTCACATTCATTCACTAAATTGCCATATCGATCATACACTTTTCCAATTCCAAATCGCTTATCATCACACCAATATCCTTCATATTCAATACATCCATTATTATGATAACTCGTTCCATATCCAAATCGTTTCCAATTGATCATTATGCCCTTGTACACCAATATTCCATCATCATCATACATTTCACCATATCCAAATGGAATTCCAATATTACCTTCCTTTTCTTTTTCTGTCAATACCAAGCCTCCAAATCGACTTCCATGATCCAAATCCACGATTCCTTCTTCTACTACTTCTATGGATTGTTCTTCATTATATGAAATAGCACCAATTTGATGATTTCCAAACACTTTCAACACTTTCTGCTCATTGAGGACAAATCCTTGGTTCATAAATACTCCATTATTGAATTGCAATACTACACATTCTCCATTACTCAAAATGAGTGAAATCCAGCCATTTGGTTTCATTTCTTTACCCAAGCATCCCTGCACATTTTGAATCATGGAAATATCAATATAATAGTTATTAATAGCAAAATTGACAAAATCAGCAATGTTTTGCATGGAAATGAAAAGAAATATGGTAAAACGGTTTTTTTGGAAAGGTCTGTTTCATTATTTCTCGATAGAACACACGTCATGGATTATTGTGTATGGCTTTGATATGCTGGTGTGCTACAAACTAGAATACATATAATAAAACCTCATTTTCTCCACCCATTTCTATTTTTCTATATTTTGGTGCATTTCCATCTATTCATATATTCTTGTGTTATTTTTAGATACTTATAGCTATAATTGTAAATTATTACTTATTTTCATCACCTTTACTCTCTCATGTTAGAATGGCTGTTCTATTAAGTCTATAATGGATATATGTTATTCAAAATATATCAGTTATGTGGTAGTTAATCTTGTTTTGCAACAATCGAACTCACAATAGTAAATACTGTTGGAATGGATTGATTCGTTATAGAGAGTATGGCAGTAGTATGCAGAATGCAAAATCCATCATTTCTATTTGACAAATGGATTATTGTATTGATTCTCTGTTGATACTTCGATTCTCTTCTGTCACAATGACCATCCATATTGAGTACAAAGAATGATATTGCAGAGAAAGGAATGTGGTCATAGAGTAAAATGGTGAATAGGAATCATAGTATCATTAAACAAAACAATCGATTGAATAATATGATGGATGGAATCCATGAATCCTATGAATGAAAACCTTGCTTTCTATTTGATCAACAAAACAATGTGAAATGCAATGTGATTAACATAGCAATAGTATTAAATAAACAAGTAATATTGAGTGAGTGAATGAATGAATATGCCATCCATCATACAGATCTCTTCCACTCACTTCAACACCCAGATCAGTTCAGTAGCGTTCCAAGCTGTGCAGATTATGCCTCACTATCTCGTTGATGGGTTCTTTGGGCGTTTTGGATTGTATTTTCTACGCTCCACCTCGAATTGAGACATGAATACTCTGCGTCGCTTCGGAGCTGCGGTCAGATTGACTTTCCCTTTGCGAGCCACCACCTTGGCAGGCAGCTTTTGATTGTACGCGTTCACATCGAATTTGTGTACATCGCGGAGAACTACACAGAATCAAAGCAAACCAGTGAAATCCAAACGGTCGGCAATAGGGAAACCTGGCTTGGAGTAGCTGCGGCAAATCCTCTCTGCGGCGTGAATATCTCTGGCGCTCTACAAATCAGAACACTCAGCGTGGATGTTTCCATCCGACAGCACCATCAGATTCACTTGGTGAACCAGCGACGCTCTGCAATGAACGCTTTTCTCCATGGATCCTACTTTCCATTCTCAAGACGATGGCGTCGGAACGGCGTGTAGTTCTCGAAGTCGCGTTCTACCATTCAGCCATCACCCCATTCCCCACTCAGCCGCCCTTTCTATCCGTTCTTCGCCTTTCCCAAATCCTTCGCAGAGGGCTGGCTGTCAAGCGGGAGCAGCATCAGACTGTTCAGTGCCTGTTTCCAAATCGCCCAGCGAAAACGATGTGTTCAAATCGACTTGGATAAACAAAATGAACTGCTCCGGCGTGAGTTGGCTCAGTCGTTCGCACTGCTCGCGGAACAATTGATTCCCCTGGTTCTGGAATTCCTGATTCACTTCCTGATGGTTATGCTTTTTCAGACGGAAAAGATCTTCGTACTCGTTCTTTCCATGCCGCTCAACGTATCCAACGAGCGACCAGCGGTCCAAAACGTCGATCTTCGCCTTCTGACAGCCCAGATTACGTACGATTTGATGCAGTTCTCCCATTTTGAGGGTTCGCAAATCCGGCTGTTCCTCGGCTTTTCCGTCTTTTTCTAGAAATCCTCTTCGCTTCGTTGAGCTCTACCTGTGATTCTTTATCTTGTTCTGAGTCGTATCGATGCCGCTGTCCACCATAGGCTTTTCTTTTCGAGAACGAAGAGACTGGAACAGAAAGGCGCATGGACGAGCGAGTACCTTGTTTGGAAGATAGAGATACGCTTCACCAGCTTTATCGTCGTGCAGATTGCCGAAGTAGATATCGTGTGTCATGTTTATTCGCGTTTTCTTTTATCCATTCATCGCTCTCCGCATCGTCACCTCGATAATCGCACTGATATACTGATCGGTAAGGTTCCACGACGTTCGACACACGCGATCCACCAAATAGTTCGCCGTATTTAAGTTGATATTGATAAAGTAAAGCATGTCGTGGTAAAAATAGCGCTTTGACAGTGTCTTGCTGTCCATCGATCCTACCAATCCACCCAGCACGATCTAATCCATCAGTTATTTGTTTATTCGTGGAATCATAGATCAGCTCCAAATACTCCTTGATTCGCATCAACACTACATCTCAGATTCTCTTTCCTCGTTGCAGATGTTGTTGTGAAATCCAGAGTGTCCGATACGCCCGCATCCTTCAGTCAGTTGTACGAAACTCGGGAACTCTGCATCACACACACCTGCATGGGAGTTAGATTGCGAGAAACCGACACAGGGTAGTTGTTTCGCATTTTAAATTTACAAATAACCACGATTTTGGATTTCACGTTTCTGAATGTATGTCTGAAGCACATACTCCTCGAATTGCTGCATGGTAGACAGATAATCCTTATCGCCTGGCAGAAACACACACATACTCGGCTCCATTTTGTCAGCTAAATACAGAGTATCCGTTTTTCGAATCGACGCTTCGTACACTTGACTCGCCTAAGAAAACGGCTCGAGCAGTCAAGTCAAAAGTAAAAACGTGGAACTACAAATCGACTTGGGTAATGAGGAGAGAATCGGTGAAAGGAAGCTGTAAATGAAAAGGATCGAATTGTGGGAAATAACTCGTGTTGAAACTAGGGAGTATTGTAGAGAGAAGAGCAGAAGGAAAGCTGCTGCTGTCCCTTTTCTAGCATTCCCATGAGAGACATTAGCTCGTTGGACTTCAACACACGATTGACGCATCTACAGGCTGCGAATTTGTGAATGAGATTTTCGAAGAGCGATATAATTCGCCCCAAGACACTCGAAATCGATCCAGTTGATGAATAGACACCCATTTCCTGGTTTAAAAACAACATGAATGGCTGTGGCTTGGAGGATTTGACGAGAACTCGATGTTCCGAGTTCGTTGAGAACTCTGATACAGATAAAATCGCCTGTGTTTGAGAATGAACAGAGCGTAAAAATTTAAGTTCAACCATCGTTGTGGCGATCGGAGTACGCATTGACTCACTTGCACTACGAGATTGGACAATAAAACCGTGGTATAAGTCAAGATCGATCTCGCGATAAGGGAAACAAGGGCGATGTCGATAACGAAGGGCTCGTACGAAAAAATGAGAATTGCCAGGTGCTTCTGCGCGTATCCGCAATGCTGAACGAAACTCCCTTCCCGAACTCGCTCCTACAGGACGTTTCGATCACTCTCTCCACGAAGGATATGGATGACATAGCATCGGAAGTGACTGTGAAGCCAGTATTGAAAGATGATGCAGAGGTAGTGATTCCTCTGCGCATTTCAAAGCCGATTCAAAGTGGTAAGGCGAGCATTACCGCGTCCGTTGTGACGAATAATGGAGTGAAGAAGCAGTTGTCGGCTTCGTTGGATTTGGATTCTACCGACTACAATCCAAAGCGCAATCTGAACATCGAGGAAATCAAGCCTTCATACTCTCTGTTCAGAAAGAGAACCTCGCAGGGAGTGGAGTTCTTTGTGTATGCATCCGGTCCTGCAGGCGAACCATATCCCAGTCTGCCTATGAGTGTGAAGCTGGACCACCTCTACAGCACATCGACCTTCCAATTCTCGCTCGAAACAGACGAGAAGGAAGAGGTTTCGCTGGGTCTTCTCCACAATATCACCCGAATCGATGTGAATGGCACTGTGTTCCTGCTTTATTTCGATATTTTCAACGTCAAAAAGAACTGGAAAGTGGCTGAGAACGAAGAGATTCAAGCGATGATTCCTCTCATCAGCGATGATTTGAATCACTATATGTTGGTTTTGCGAGTCGAGTGAGGACGAAATTGAATCCTTGCAATTTTGTTTGGCAAGGGTCGATGGCTATGTTTTGATTCACAATCTGAGGCCTGGAAAACATAATATGTGTTGTATGTTCGAGATAGAAATGGAACCTTGTACACAATTCGAATTAGCGTTCGATAATAACAATACAATAATTAGGAATATTATGGGATTTAGTTGTGTTGTACTTTGATTAGGAATATATGGATGTTTTTTTTGTATATGTTGAATCTATTCCTTAATTGTATACTCAATAAACTGGTTTTTATTTTACATAGATATAACAACATATCACGTTTCGAATATACATAAATCGAACGACTTCAATCGAATCGTTATCACAAAATTCTTTTCATTGTGTCAAATACAATCAATTTGAAACGACACTATGCATTTTTGATTGCTGAGATAATACTAGCATTGATTAGCGATTCTGTTGTTATTTATACTTAAATACTTGACTATTTCAAATTTCATTCATTGTTTTTACCTATTCATTATCTAGACGATTAACTATATTGTGTTTATTCAAATCAAATCGAATCTCTGAACAATAAAAGACTAAAAAGAATCGAGGTTGTTAAAAAATAAATAAGAAATCTAGTGTTTCTGAATAAAACACATACTGACAACGATGAAGCTTTCCAAAATGACACAAAGATCATCATACTGAAGCAAATAAAAATATATCATTATAACCCGTAGTGAAGTATTCACACCACTTACCTCTATCGCCTAACAAGAACTACGACTGAAGCCATCTATCTTCATTATTGATAGTGGATGAACATTGTTGATATTGCACATTCAATCACTTAGAACACTTCATTCATACTTTATAATTCTTAGGAGCTCGTCTTATCAACATCCCATCATTCTCCCTTCTATTGCAGTATCCGATAATACACTACACATATCTCTTATTCATTCCTTTTATCATTCAATCGCTCATAACTTGATAGATGATTATTAGCCATTAGTATAATGCTTGATTCGTAGATTTCATTGATTCCTTGTTGGGTGACAAGGAATATGATTTTCGACTATGATAGTGGAAATAATTGTTAAATGAGTGGAAAAAAACATTTGGGGTACCAATATCAATTGTTGAGGTGTACAGTTCACGAATACTCTATCCATATAAATCTACCAACACTCATAAAAAGCTATACAAAATCATCTCAAATATTCTATTTGAGGATCAGAGTCAACAATCATTCTTTCCGTGTGAAGTGAAAACCAATAGGTTTTATTACCTTAATACACTCATCTGAGTGTATTAAAATCAATTCATCTATCAACACCTCATTTATACTGTATTGTTTTCATATACCGGGTTGCCTTCTGTAAACAAGCTAAAAAAACTGTCGATTAGTTGCTCGTAACTCGTCATTAGATTCTTTTGATATTGCAGATAGCGAATAAACGTGATGTTGAAAAGTGACAACAACAACCTGGAGTATCGATTTTAGATTATTTTAGATATTGGAATTTGTTCCATTCAACCACATCCACAATCCATCCTTGATAAAAAATACCTAATAATTCAGCTGAATTATATGTAGGAAATAGTGATCAGTTGAACCTTGATAATCAAGGAGTGCGATGTTTCTATTCAATGTTCTTTTTCTACTGAGTATTTATAGCAAGAATAATCGATTTTAATTAATGCCTGTGCCAAACCAAAGAGAGAGATATTATTCTGGAAGAGAGTACTACGCTTTTTCGATGCGTCACCTTGGTACAAGCCAAAGAGATTGGAGAGTGGGCAGCATTTCTGAGCTACCTACGAAAGAGAGTTTTCACTTCACCAAAGGTCATTTCTTTGTATTGTTGTCTATTTTGTTAACTATTATTATTACTGTTATTATTGTTATTGTAGTATCACTTTCCAACCGTAATATAGTGCCTGATCCAGAGGAAAAGGAATGTCCCCCTGGTTTTTCTGGAGATAATTGCGATAGTACCTCATTCATTGGGGCATTCGTTTGGTCGTCAGACAAGTTCTATACTCTTTCTGATGGTTTTTCATATAAAAAGGGAATTGCATTTCGTGTTTATGCCCCTGCTGCATTGCGCGTCATTGTTCTTATATCGGTTCATGGAGGTGTTGAGCAAGAGTTTCCCATGATGTAGTTTTGATCGATAGAGTTAAGTATTTAGCATTCAGAATGACGGCTATTGGTTTGCTAATGTTGGAGGATTTGGATCGCAGTCAGAGTATGCATATCGCGTTACCTATATGGGAAACAGCCGCATTCATCTTTTGCAAAACGGGTTATATTTGTAGTCACGTTCGTTTTCCTGTTACATAGAACGCAGCGAACGAAAAACAACTGGCGCAATTACGAGGGTTCTACTACCTCTCGATGGCTAAATCAGTTTGAGAATCGCACCGTCCGAGCTAGCGACACTCAAGTAATCTACACGATTCACCTTCCCTCCTTTACAAGTACCCACTCTCTCTCCTCTCTCTCCTTTCCAGAAAAAGGGACTTATTTCGATGCCTCCAAATACGCAGCACTGCTCTCCCACCTGGGAGTCAGCATTGTCCACCTGCTTCCTCTCGAAGCCAGTCGCTGCGACAGTTCATCGACCATCGATCTTTCTTGTTGGTGTACGTCTTTTTCTTCGCCCTCTCTCCAGACCATTCCCGCGTCATTTACCCGGGAATCCCTCACCCCGATCTCGGCTCGGTCTCCGATCTCCACGCCTTTCTCGCCAAGCTCATGCAGTTCCAAATCAGCGCCGTCGCCGAGCTGGACCTCGCCCACTTCACACACGACTCGGACTGGTACAACTACGACGGCTCCGCCACCAGCCAATCATTTGGCGCGCTCTTCGGCGTGTCTCCCGTGTATTCCTACCGCGACGAGACCTGCAGCAAGCCCGACTTCCGCACGGGCGCCGCCTCTCAGTTGGTTCTGAGCTCGATTTTGAATCGGTACGTGTCGACGTTCGGGCTGCACGGGTTTTGGATGAAAGGAATGCTCTGTCTGCGGCTGGACGGAGCGAGCTGCGAGCAGGGCGTGGGCGCAGACAACGATCACGTCATCAGTTTTCTCCGCGAAATGGCCAATCGCGGATGGACGCTGCTCGGAGAAGACGGGAACGGGTTCGTCCAAGCCGCTACCTCGCGAATCAAGGACATCACAGCGCCTATCTCGCAAGGCGGACTCGGTTTCACCGCGCAGAGCAATCTCGCGAAAGGCGAACTTTTGGTCTCCATCGTTTTGCAGAAGCCAATCCCCGGACTCGAGCTCGTTCGATTCATCGAGGGCTTCGCCGACTTCTCCGCCCGGCACGTGCTCGCTCTCAACACTCCCGAGACCATCCACGTTTCCACGGTTTCTACGATTGAGTGTAGGAACGCGGCCGGCTTCTCTATCGCGCCTTGGCCATCGATTTCAACGCCACGCTGGCGCTTCAGCGTCTTCTTCTCCTCCACTCCGTCTTCCTTCTCGCTCCCGGCTATCTCCAGATCTTCATGGGTTTCTACGTTTCCACTTTTTGAGGTGCAGGGGACGAGTTCTTCTCCTCGCTCCCGTTCTCTTCGCGTCCCTCGCCGTTGAATTATAGCGAGGTCGGTTCGTTCAACGAGGCTTCGATGACCTGGGAATCGAGAGGTCCTCGCTTTGGCGTGTTCAATTACACGCGAACGCTGCTGTCTTACCGCGTCTCGCGCGCTGTACGGGATGGTGATCGGGTTTTGAAATAGCTTGTGCCGCCCTACGCGCCGTCGCTGTACTTCAACGCGAATGACACGGTGTTCGCGCTGTTGCTGAATAAAAAAATGGAGCGCGCGGTGATCGTGATGAATACCGCGGCAAGACCCACCAATGCTTCGTTTGCCGCGCTTTTTGGGAGTGAGGAGTAGAGTGGAGATTGACTTCCCGCCGTCGTTTTCGGGGAAGTGGACGCCGGTGATCAAGTCCGATGGCGCGGAGATTTTTGGCGGCAATCCGTCGAAGGGGGATGAGGTGGTTGTAGGGAAATGTTTGAATCAGATGGCGCATAAGTAGGGGAGTGGAGGGTTGTTGAGCGTAGATATATGCAGTGTGCGAATGTAACATTGGGAGCGTTTGCTTTCCGCATTTATGAATCTTATTAGTTGTTGTTTGTATTCATTGTGGGATGTTTGTTGGAAATGGGAAGAAAGGAGAGGAGATATGAGGAGAGGAGATGGAATGATTATTGGTAATATTATTATTAGTAGAAAGGGATGAAAAGGATGTTATGGATTGGTGGAAATCTTGGAAGAATGATCTTCACCTTATTGATTCCTGCATATATACATAGCGTTGTATTATCCATTATTATTATTATTATCCATTATTATTCGTCTAATCGTTTCTTCAACAACAATAATCGAGTCCTTGTCACACTCTTGACGATGCGAACCACAATGATCCACTTCGATTCTACTCACCAAACTCTCCTCTGTCTCACGATCCTACACCTTCATTTCTCCATCTCCACCCTATTCTTCCTCCCTTTTCCGTCTCAAACAAACAAAAAACAACACCAGGGGTTCACCCGGAGTCAATTCCTTCACCTCGCAATCCTTGCGCGTGATCAGCTTCTTCAACGCCTCCGGCGTTCCAGTCAGTGCTCCAAACGATTTGAAGTGCATCGGAACCACCGTCTTGCTGTGCAGCAAAAACTAGATCCATCACAACCCATCCTCTTAAGCTACGTGATCCACAGCATAGGCCGCTTCCTTCGGTCCCATCGTGTAGAAATCGCCGATACAGAGCAGCGAAACGTCCGGAGTGTAGAGATCGTCAATGACCTTCATGTCGCTGAACGCAGCGGTGTCTCCGCTGTGGTAAATGTGATGATCTTTCAAATGAGTGCAAAACAATCGAATTTACTGTCCGGAGTATGGATTACGAAACCAGTAGGCTCGCCTCCGTAGATAATGCGTCCATCCGGACCCGTAATTCCGCTAGTATGCAGCTACATAAAGAACATAGTCAAAATCACACCGCATGAACCATCGTCACTTGCACTCCGCCTTTCAAGGTGATCGTTCCTCCCATGTTCATGGCAATGAAGCGCTTGCCACTGATTCCTTGGCTTTGGAGATAGGTACACAGCTCGACAATACTCTACAAACACACCTCCGATCTAGATATACAATAAGCACAGCGTTCGGGTGCGCCTTGAGAATTGGAATCGAGTCTCCAATATGATCCATATGTCCGTGGGTGACAAGAATGTAATCCACGTCCAACGTATCGATATTGTAGTTCTTAGGGACCTGGAAATCACTCTCGAATCAAGATCCATACCAGAGGATTGCTCAAGAACGGGTCGATCAGAAGACGCACCCCGTTGGTCTTAATCAGGAAGCAGGCATGTCCCAACCAAATGCACTCGGTCATATTTCAGAAAATAGTAAAAAAAGCTTTCAACAAACACAAAACAATGAGTTCATTTGATCAATAATCCCCTGCATCGCGGTGGTATACGAAGACACCAACATCTGAAGATCGTTCTTGAACTGCTGCTGTTGTGTCTTGAGCAACTGATAGTACTTCAGCCATTCCTAATCATCACGCCTCTCCCTCCTCCCCCACAGCCAAATTCGCATCATTCGTCGTCCTCTGCAAGTTAATATCCGGCAGACACATCGCCGTGATCGTTTCCAGATTCACCACTTTCTTCCCTCCATTGTGCGTCGTCGCGCCCAAAATCCCCGATCTCTCTGCCCCTCACTCCCATCCCCCACGCCTACGCGCCGGCCTCTGGAACCCAACGCGGTGGATTCCTCCAGGCGGCAGCGGCGTCGGCGGCCGCACCGACACGCGCGCCGCAGGCTTCGGCATCGCGGCATTGCCGACATTACCGACATTGCCGACATTGCCGAGCTCGATGGGCAATTTGGGCGGCGCGTCGGGCGGCGAGGGCGGCTTGGCGGCGTCGGGACGCTTGAGGACGGTGAGGTCGACGGGCCGGGGCGCGTCGGGCGGGACGAGCGTGTCGTTGACGCCGTGCTTGTCGGGATTGATGACGGGACGCGGCTTGGGAGGCCGCTTCTCGCTCTTGTACTTGGCTTTGAGCTCGCGAAGACGCTTCACCATGTTCTGCATCGTCTGGGAATTGCCGTGGCTGTGGCGAAGCTTCTTCACCGTGGCCGACACGAACGGGTGCTGCGGGTAAAAGGGGAAACGGGGGAAACCTCGAGGAGCTGCGCGGCGGAGGGACGCTTCTCGGGGTTCTTGGTCAGGCACTGCTTGATGAAGTCGTTGAACTCGGGCGACCAGGCGCTCTCGTTCTTGAGATGCGGAGGAGGACGGTTGGGAATCAGAAAGATCGCCTAGAGGAGCATGGACAACATGCATGTACGCGCATCGGAGGAATGTCGGAATAGGGAGGAACGCCTTCGGCGAGCTCGATGGCGGTGATTCCGAGAGACCAGATATCCGCTTTGAAGCTGTAACTCGTTTCTTCGATGATTTCTGGAGCCATCCAAAACGGAGTCCCGATGACCGTTTTGCGCTTGGAGAGCGTGTTGTCCAGCTGGGCGGAGACGCCGAAGTCGGCGAGCTTCGCAACGCCCTTTTCTGTGAGTAGAATATTCCCGGACTTTATGTCCTAACATGAAGCAGAGGCAAAACGAAAACGCGATGGATTTTCTTTTGCTCGTGGAGGTAGGCCACACCCAGAAGCATTTCAGACATCACATAGCAGATTTCTTCCTCTTTCAAGTGGAACTTGCCTTTCATGATAAGATCACTCAGGGACCCTCCGCCGCAGTACTCCATCACAATCTACATCCTATCGGGGCAAACAAATTCAAAACCCAAAGGTCATTATCTTTGTAGTAACTTCCGTAATACCGAACAACATAATCGAACCTACAAGATTTCAGAATAGAGATTTCATTCATTAACTCCTCCAGCTCCGACTCCACTGGGATAATCTTGATAGCTACAATCCTTTTTGTGAATTTATGCATCGCCTTGAACACACTACCATAAGAACTAAGTGTTTATCCTTCACTTGAACAATACCCTTCACCAATGCGTTCCTGTATCTCAAATATATCCTCGGGGTTTGTTTGAGCTGCCATTCGAAGGGGCAATGTACAAGGCTATTCAAACAGATAGAATCTAAAGATTTAGAGTCTGGTCAAAGTTGCCAGATAATCGCGGAAAGGAAAATAACTGCGAAAACTGCCGATTTGATTATGATAAAGTGGAGGTGAGTCACGCGATATTTATTACGCTCTCCAATCGAGTACCCGAGCAAAGTGAAGGAGCCAAGGATTTCTAGCTTTATGGATTTTTTTCGTTTGGAAACGATGTATAGGAAATACATCGCAAATCAAGGAATTACGTCATTGATTATTTTTGTCCAGGATTAGTGGAATTCCAGTTTTTGCAGACTTGATTTTTTAATAAATATTTCCTTATTCTATTTACCGTAGTTTGTTATGAGCGAAATTGTTTCGGATGAAGTGTTGCGCGAAAAGTCGATCGCCAGCAGAAAAGCCAGAGATCGTGTAGCTATCATTGGAAGTGGAAACTGGTAGGAATCTTGGAGCGATTGAACATAGGGCCTCTGCTCTCTCCATTATTATTGGCAATAATGCCAAGAAATATGATTGCTTTGAAAACGAGATCAAGATGTGGGTGTATGAAGAAATGATTGGTGATCGCAAGTTGTCCGAAATTATCAATACGGAGCATGAGAATGTAAAATATCCTGTGTTCACCCTAATGGAGATTTCCTTTATTCCACGTATCTGCATGGATTCAAACTCCCGGAAAACATCATCGCCTGTCCTGACCTCGTGCGATGTGTGGAGGACGCGGATTGCTTGGTCTTCTGCATTCCTCATCAAGTTCATTGCTCCCTTCCTTCCCTTACCTTCAGTTCCTCCCCGGAGTTCTGAACCAGATCAAGCACCACGTTCGTCCGAACACGTACGCCATCTCGTGTATCAAGGGAGTCGATCATGATGAGAACGGTCGTCTTCGTCTGATCACTGGAATGATCTACGACGAGCTCAACATCGATTGTTCTATCATCTGCGGCGCCAACGTCGCCAACCAAATCGCTGCTGGCGAATTCGCCGAAGCCACCTTGGGGTAAAAAAAAGTCCCGATTTTTGACATAGTTATCGCGTTCGCGACCACGCCGAGAAGCTGCAAGTGCTGTTCAACACTCCGAACTTCTGCGTGCAGTTGGTGAACGACCCTGTGGGCGTGGAGTTCTGCGGTTCGTTGAAGAACGTGATCGCGCTGGGCGCGGGGTTCGTGGACGCGTTGGGCTACGGATCGAACACGAAAGCGGCGCTGATTCGCATCGGGCTGCAGGAGATGAAGAAGTTTGCGAAGATGTTTTATAAGGGCGTGCAGGTGGGAGGCGGAGAGGGTCGGTGAGGCGCAGGACAACACGTTCTTCCAGTCGGCGGGCGTGGCGGATCTGATCACGACGTGCTGGGGAGGACGCAATGTGCGCTGCGCAGAGGCGTTCGCGCGGACGGGGAAGAGCTGGGAGCAGCTGGAGGCGGAGATGCTGAACGGGCAGAAGCTGCAGGGAACGACGACGTGCAAGGAGGTGTACGATATGCTGATTAATACGCAGGTAGGAGAGGAGGAGCGTGTGGAGTGTAGATGGATCAGGAGTTCCCGCTGATGGTGACGATCTATAATATCGCGTATCGTGGATATGATCCGAAGCTGATTCTGGAGGGATGTCGGCTGCATAATGGAGTGCCGATGACTCCGTACTCGATGCTCACGCAGGAATAGGAGTGTGATTGATAGAGCCATGGGTTGTTTGTTGGATAATGAATGGAGGGATGGAGTGTGGGACTATTAATGAATGGATGGGGAGGATATGGAATAGAAGAATCGGAGAATGAATGGATGAATGAATGAAAGATCGAGCTAATGAACAGATACAAAGAATGAACGGAAGTCCACAATCCAAACTCTCTTTCTGTTTCTGTTTCTGTTTCTGTCTCACACACACACAACAACAACAACAAACTCCCTGGACTCATTTCCAAAAACAAACAAGCAACACGCATATGCAAACTTACAATCTGCAGCAATAACTGTTGGACTGAGTGATATAGCGAATATATCTGTGTCTACGCCTCACCATCCCCCATGTTCCTCCTACGCATTGTAATTCTTGTCCTCCACGTCCACAGCCAGTCCCTTCACTCGCAGTCCCGACACCTCGTAATTGGGAATCTCGAACCGAATGCTACGCCTCACTCTGCCCCTCGACGGCTACGTGATGGGTCCGATCTCCTTGGTCACGAACTGCGTCGCCGGCTTTTCGAGGTTGAAAATCACCTTCAGATAGTACTCCTTCTGCCCCGAGACCTTGTGGATCATCCACAGCACGCGGTGGTCCTTCTCGCGGTACTCCTTGGTCTGTCCGATAGCGTCGGAGGCCAGCGTGACCGAGCACGTGGTGGTGTCGTGCGGCGTGTGCATCGCAATGAACACGTTGCTCGCGTCCACGTCCGGCTCGAACAGCGACTTCACCTGCAGAATCAGCTCGATCTTGGTCTCGCTCTTCTCCTCCACCATGGGGCGAATCATGAAGGGCACGCGGAACGGCGTGGTGATGCGGTAGTTCATCGCCACGAACTCGCCTTCCGGCGGGTTGAAGCTCAGCAGGCGGTCGCTCTCGAACTTCTCCAGGTTCATGCACTGGTGGAAGTTCATGTCGTCCACGATGATGAAGTCCTCCGCCGACAGCGTGCGGCCCGTCTCGTCCTGCACCACGGGGATCGGCGTGTCCTTCCCCACCAGCAGGTTCTGCGAGAGCAGCATGCGCACCGGCGGACAGCCGTTCAGGTAGCTCCGCATCGTCAGACTGCCGTCGATCGACTGCGACAGCACCGTGCCGTCGCACGCCAGCATCACGTTCAGACGCTCGTAGATGTCCACGTACAGCTCGTTCACCTTGCGCTTCGCGCCCTTGTCCGTCAGGATCGACTTGTTCACATCGCCGATCAGGTTCTTCTAATGGAATAAAATAGGACTACAAGAAGAAAACCTTCGGGTCGGCGATCACAACGGGCTTGTTGTGCACGAACTGCACAAGAGCCTCGCTGGATGTGTCTTGCGGATAGCCGAAATCCTGGGGGTTAGAAAAGATAAAGAGAGAGGGGAACGATCGCTTCGTCCAGCAATTCGTAGATCAGAGAGAAGTTCTTGCGAACCGCTTCTTCCGTCAACATTCCGCAGTAATCCTTGATGATCTTGAGGAGACGGCTCAGTATCTCGATGCCCAAGGCGGGAGACATGTTCATCTACAGGGAAATAACGAGATGCGCCCAAACCTTCGTGGTGACAACGAAATACAGACCATTTCTGCGCTCGAAAATATAGGTAATCGCTCCGCTAATCTGCAAGTAACGAAACGCGACCTATCCTACAAACACCGGAGGACAGTCTCCATGCGGCCACGAACGCACCACACGCAAGAACTTCTCGCAGGAAGTAATGGGAGTATCAAAACGGACTGAGATAATGAGCACTCTCCGAAATCCCTACAATCCTTCAGAATAAGACGATCTCCTCTATCAGTCAGAATGAAGAACTGGGAAATCATATCAGCAAGCAGATACTCGAAACAATAAAGGCAAATCTATTGATTAGATTATTGCATGAGGTAAATAATTGGGTCCATCCACCACAAATACCCCCAGAATAATGCAAACAAGGTACATTAAGTCTATTAGGATACAGAATAATGGGCAGAGTTAATATTAAGTTCTAGGAAGGCCAGAGCGTCGTGAAAACGAAATAGATTCCTTTGCACAGGCGTGGTGTGGAACTGCTACGTAGAATGAGCACGGATAGCAAAGGCCAAAAATGGCTTCAGCAAACGTTCCTTTGAACGAATATTGCCTTATTCAGTTGCCTATTTGTCTCAAATCGCCATCTTGTCTGAAGAAAGTAATAGGAAATGAGCAGGAATTCATCTCTCTTTGTAAACAGGAGCTTGATGTTCCTATATCTATATATCCAGACAACCCATATATTGGAAATACCGCATTACACAAAAAAGACTCAAACAAACTAATCCTGAAAGTTGAAAGGAAAGGCGACAAAGTGTCAGGTGAAATTATCGGAAAAGGTAAAAAAAGATGGATCGTGTTGAAAACTAGTGAAATCCGAATATGCGGCTACAGGCATGATGGATTTTATGTATCTCCCTGAAAAGCAGTTTTACGAGGTGTGTGATGACGGGATTATTCCGCATTTGGACGCTTTTGATAATGCAAACAAATCGTTGGCTTTGGAGGATACGTTTTGACTCTAGTCAATTCCCCTATATTTTGCCTATTCGCTTCACCCCATACAGCGTTCCATTCGACATCAATATGCATGATAGCAACCTGGAGAAGGAGCGAACCATCGAGAAAGACCATATTTTTGTTTCAAGTGAGTCAAAAAGTGCGTTATGAATGTGTTTGCATCACTGGCAGCACCGGAAGGTCCTCGATCCACGCTTCCAGGCATTCCGGAGGATAGTAATTTGTCTTATTACCTCCAGTCGGTGCGATGTCTGGTCGAAAACCAGCCGATTTGGGACAAGCAGTATCTAGTGCTCCGCGTGGCCGAGGTAATTGCCGGTCTGATTGATTGAGATGCAGATGTATCCCAACGAGCCAAAAGAAACGGTGAGAAACAACGTGTATCTTGTGGTTCCTTACGTGTGCTACGTGCTTACAGACGGTCCCTTTCGAAACTGCTGGGTCCGTTTTGGGTTCAATCCATCCAAGGAACCGTCGTCTTGGATTTACCAGTATGTAGAGTTCCGATTTTCAAAACGACCGCAATTGCTCGATGGCTCAACCTCTGAGTCTCTTCCCTGCTTGTACGAGATTCCGTTGAGTCTGCATAACAAATACCCGCTCTGCGAACTTCAGTCCTCTCGCGAAATGAAGCAGCTCATTTCGGCGATGAAGCCCAATTCCACCTATCAAAAACGATCGGGTTGGCTGCCCATCGACTATCCGATCAAAATTCGAGGGCTCTTAAAGAAGCAGGCGATTATACTGCTTAACAAGAACGGATATGACACGCAAACAGTGGGTCCTTGTCTTGGATCCCTCATCACATAGACGCTATTTTCTGTGGCGAAGCGACGAATTCCAGGAACCAGAGAGCGGAGATACCGTAATTGTTTAAAAAGGAATTGTGAGCTTTAGGAGGCAAGCAGTTCAATCCAATCATTTCGGGGCCTACGGATTCGTTGCTGCAAGAAATGCCAATTGATTTGCTACAACAGTCCTTTGACGACGAAGAAGGATTCACAGTTTTTGGTGATGGTGAGGTTTCTATATGGTATGTTTGTTTCCGAAATGTCGGTCGGGTTGGTGTAGTGGCTATCACGCTCGCTTCACACGCGAGAGGTCGCGAGTTCGAACCTCGCATCCGATATTTTTCTATTTTTCATTATTAGATTTTTATAATAGAGCGATATATGTATATTATTTGACGATCTTTATTATCTTGTAATACAATGCATAGATAGTTGCTGAAAATGGACTTATTCTTTTGAATGGATTGTGATTGAACCATTTTTGGATAATGACATATTTTCTGTGATAAAAATAGATGATTTTCACTCAAAAAATTGATATCTATATATTCATTGCAGAGATTATAATAATATGTCACTGTTTTTGACATTATTTGACTTTTGGGGCTTAAAATAACTAAATAGAGTTTTTCTTCTCGTGAATGATCATTTTTGGAAAAGAGCTTGAATGTCCACTTGAAACACCAATAACTATACCGGTTTTTGACGTGACATTAGTCGTCATCATAAACAAATGTGTAAGAGTGCATATCCATAGGTTGGATCCACTAACTAAACTTTAAGTTATTCTATTTCATTAAGAAGAATGATTAAGAGTGGGTATCATTCATAGATAAAGATCGACTGTAGGTATCTTTGGATCCGCAAAAGAGAATGAATATTTACTCGATGGGTATGTGGCACTTCCACAGAAGAAGACAGTACACTATGGAGGAATAGAGTATGATCTTCAATATTTCCAAATGGAGCACAGCAAAGAGTACATTTTGCGCAATTCTTCCGGAGTGGCTCGACTTTTTAAAAATGGAGTGCTAAAACTGAGTTGGAAGGAGGAGAATGGACGAAGAGTGGGGAATTTTATCTCCTATGACAAGGGGAGAGTGTTATTCATGGAAAATTGGGATAATCTGTTGGGAGGCAATCAACTCGTTCGTATTGTCAATAAAAAGATAGGAGAGGTCATGGAAATCCTTGATGAGAGTACACTGATTGTAATCTATCGTGGTGGTTACAATACCAATTACGAACGGCATGGAGTCGGCGTAGAATTTGATAGGAAAACAGGGAATGAGTCTTTTGAAGGAGTTTGGGAGCATGGACGTTTGATTCGAGTTTTGAAGGAATTTGATGGCAAGGAGATGACGGAATTTGTGGAAAGCAATGACAATTTGGACGTAGCATCCCGTGTTCCTATCTATATCGGTGGATACAAGTATGATGAAGAGAGTGGATCTTATTATCGAGATGGAGTTGGCTATCTTATCGATATTACAACGCGAATCGCAAATCGCGAGTGCATTTGGGAAGACGGTGTGGAGGTGCGAGGAATTGATCTATTTGATGGATGGTACAGGAAGGGAAGACAAGCAAGCTACTCCTCTTCGAAGGTTTATCCCCAGTCTCCTGCTCGAAAAGACATGGTTATGATGAGACAAAACCCCGTTTCTCGACCCGCGATCATCTCGAAATCGTTGCCCTCTACGAGACCGAAGTCTTTACCAAAACCAATCGCAGTTCCCAAGTCGATTAGTTCATCCAAATCGCTGTTGGGCAAGAATGAATCAAGAGAGTCGAGAGAGCTGAGAGAATTGAGAGAATTGAGAGAACTGTTCGACACGAGGGAGAATCGAGACTCGAGAGAAGGAAGAGATTCGAGAGACTCAAGAGATTTGAGAGAAGGAAGAGATTCGAGAGACTCAAGAGATTTGAGAGAAGGAAGAGACTCAAGAGATTTACGAGACTTGAGAGATACTCGAGAGCAGAGAGAGTCAAAAGAACTGAGAGAACTGAGAGAACTGAGAGAACTGAGAGAACTGAGAGAACTGAGAGAACTGAGAGAGAACAAAGAACCCAGAGAGAGTAAAGAGCATCGAGAAACCAAGGAACCCGAAATCCGAGAATTGTCCAGAACCATAAATAGCAGCAGCGATTGGCACAGTGTGAGCTCCTATGTGACCGAACTCGTCATCGCCTCCGACTGCTGCAATGACGTCACCACTCTGGATTTCAGCCGATTGCGATGGCTGCAGTCGATCCAGATCGGGAACGACAGCTTCAAGAATGCGAACGGGTTTTCTATCGATGGTTTGAAACAGCTGAAATCGATCAAGACAGGATTGAATAGTTTCACGAAGATTAAAAACGGAAACGATTCTTCCCGATCGTTCCGTATCACGAACTGTCTCGGATTGAAATCGATCGATATAGGCCGATATAGTTTTAGCGATTACGCCGGAAGCTTCGAGTTAGCGAACCTCCCAGAGCTCGAATCGATCAAAATCGGCGATGTGGGGAGCATGTCCTTCAATTTCTACTCCGCTTCGCTCGTCTTGCGAGGTATTTTTCGGCACAAAATGAGCAGCAGACCTCCCCAAATTGAAAGGAGTGACGTTGGGAGACGGCGCTTTTGTCGATTCGCTCGAGAACGTTCTGGAAAGTAGGGAATACGGGATTCATTTCTTGAAGATCTCCCGAGTCTCACTGAAATCCGGCTTGGATGGTATGCGCTTGTTGGGAAGTACGACGATTCGAGTTGCTCTCTGGTGATGCAGCGTTGTGTTTGATGACAGGATTCATTTCAGATCTTCCACAGCTGCAAACGATCATTTCTGGAGGCAGTAGTTTCTATTCTCCGCATACTGTGACGCTTATTGGTAGTGTTTTGGTGCTTCTGGCGATACAGATATTCCTAATCTCCAAACTGTAAAGCTACCTGACTCGTTCTGGTATGTTAAGGAAAAAACGATTTCAAGTGGGAGTGTGCTTTTTGCGTGTGAGCTTAGATGTTTCTCCATTGCTATCTAATTTAGGAAAACTTCAGAGTTAGAGATTGGCATGCGAGTTTGTATTGAGTTTCGTGTTTGGTTATGATATTTTCAAAAACTCTTTGTTTGTTTGACTTAGTGTAGGAAGAAGTAACGACAGACAGATTGTTATACTAAATTGTGTATGTGAATACCAATTCAAGACTGTTCCATCCATGTGTAAAAATGAGTTGAAAACCTGCAACTACGTGGAGCATCAGATCACCTTGTGGAAAATACTTTTGATTGAATATCTGTAATTAGCGATGTGTTTGAATTGTGTACAATCAATAATAACGATATCATAGAGTGAAAAGTGAAATAGTTATAGAATAACAAGATAATCTCTCATCTACTCTGCCTATGACGTAACATCAAGCAATCAATAAACAAAATGACGACAAACAAACAAAGATGTAAATTTAGAAGATGAGGACATCACAAGTTTTTCACGAGGCTATCAAGCAAGAAAACAATTTGCTTGTGGGTATTAGAAGTATTCTTCCATATAGAATGAAGATAGTCTCAAAACGTACAGTAATCGATTGATTATCAATTACCCATATATACGTTTTTACTACTTTCAAAAACAGTTAATTGTGATGAACAAGCAATCAGAAGCAGGAATCTATGTATAGAATATAGAGTTATCTTCAGTCGATGAAGACAAACGTGCAAACAGTAAAAATGACCACTGGTGGGAATTCAACGTTTCTGAGCAGTTTCCTATGAAGTCAATGAAGAAAACAAATGGTCGAGCCTATATTGAAGTAGGCAGTCCTCATGAAGGTTGTAAAATAAAAGCCTCACTAAATGACAACATGCTGAACGGAGAGGCATATATCTATTCAAACGACAATTCTTTAATGGCACGCTTAACTTATGTCGATGGAATTGCTTCAGGACCTTGTTCCATCTATAACAATGATAACCTGTATTTTCAAGGTTATTTTATAAATGGATATCGAGGGGGAAGAGGAAAAGAATATGACGAAAACGGAAATATGGTTTTCGATGTTTTTTTAAGGAAGGCAAGAAACTCAATCTTATTCCTTCAGAAGAAATGGGGAAAGGATATTGGAAAGAGATAGATGAAAAAGGACGGATTTGTCAGATTTGTCAAAAAGATGAGTTAGGAAATACTGAAGGATTTGTTTATTCTTTTAGATTGGGAGAGATTAGCCGTGTAAGTCTTTGGAAAGAAGGTAAAGAGGTGGCATTATTGAAACTATTCAACAACTCAACAATGACTGAATATAAGAATGGGAAAATAGTATATGAAGGAGGATATCTGAACTCCTTAGAAATGGGTTATCCTAGAAATGATGAAGGAATAGGACGTAGAAAGGATGATGAAACTGGAATATCGAATAATAATTTCGAAAGCAATAATAAGGAAAAAAGAATGAATCTAAGGCAGAGAAATTTTGTAGAACAATTTTAGAGAATAGGTTTTTGTCTATTATTCTTGTTGTATTCACAGCCATTAGTTTCTATCTCTATTTTGATAAAATCTATCTGAATGATGGACCGTATGGAATAAAATATAACCAAGAATCATATATAGTGGAATCGGGATATGGTAAATATTTGAAAAAAATCCTATTATTTAACTATCCAAATCTGAAGTATATTAACATAGGAAATAATTGCTTTCCCAATGTTAAAATAGTCACAATTGATTGTTTAAAATCATTAGAATCAATTATTATTGGCAAGAACTCATTTACTCCATTGTTATATTTTAATGGTATCTATGAAGATTCGAAATCATTTTACATAATGAATTGTGAATTATTAAGATCGATTGAAATAGGTCCAGGCAGTTTTCACTATTATAAGGAACCATTTGAATTGAATAATTTAATTTCATTAGAATCAATCAATCAAAATAGGCAAGCTTGAACACTTTTTTCGAGGCAGTTTCGAGTATAGTTCATTCGAAATTGATAGTAAACTTGAATCATTTATGCTTCTATTATAGATTTGCCAAAACTGTCAACACTATTAATAGGAACTGACTCATTTACATTATCTAATCTTACTTTGTCAACTATCTATGATATTGAGAATCTTAGTCTCGGAAACGGTGTATTGAATACAGATATATCGATTCGCATTAATGGCTTCAATAAATTAAAGAATTTAAGGTTTGGATATTGTAGTACAACTCAAGTGAGTCAGTTCACCAGTAATAGTTACAAGTATAATAAAAAAGGATATAACACTAATGATTATAAATCATTTTACATAATGAATTGTGAATCATTGGAATCAATTGAAATCGGTGAACGTGCTTTCTATTATTATAATGGAGAATTTGTATTGAAGAATCTTCCCTTACTATCTATATTAATAAATGGTATAAACAATTTTATATATGTAAAAAGCTTTTCGATTGCAGGTAAAACTCAATATTCACAAATTGATATGGTAGATTTACCAAACTTACTTACTTTGGAAATATCGGATAATTCGTTCGAAATAGCATCAACATTCCAATTATTGAACCTAGACTCCATTCAATCTATATATATAGCCGAAGATAATTTTAAGCCAGTTAAAAACTTTAGTATCGATGGATATAAGTCATTGAAATCATTATTTATTGGTAAGTGGTCATTTAGTCAATACTCTACTTCTCAAGGTGCCGATATATCGAAATCATTCCGCATATTGAATTGTGAATTATTAGAATCCATTATAATAGAAGGCAGCTTTAGGGATTATGCTGAACCATTTGAATTAAAAAACCTTCCTTCACTAAAAACTATCGATTTTGGTGGGAAGAGTTCTTGGTCGTATAGTTTTTATTATAATTCATTGGTAATTCGAGGTAAGGATATTGCTTTGGGAATACTTGAATGATTAGATCTACCAAATCTACAGCTTATTAGATTAAGAGAAGGTGCATTTTGTGATTCCTTACACACAGTGATTGAAAGTGCTGAATGAATTTGAATAATCTGATTAATCTAGATCTTCCATCATTACGGTCCATCCAACTCGATAGATATACATTTCATGGAAATAGACGTAATGAATTATGTTCATTAACTATGCGAAGTATGAAAATGGATCTGAAATGATTGAATATAGATCTTCCAAGTCTGAAATCTATTACCATAATCTTATACGAAGGTAGTTTCTCATATCCTCGTAATGTGACATTGGAAAGTATATCTCAGTATTGAGGGTTAATCGAACTAGATATTCCAAATCTTCAAACTGTTAAGCTACCTGGATCATTTCAGAAAGTTCAATCGAAATCAATAACGAGTATTGCTTTCTTGATTTCATTTGATTTCATTCATAGATGTTTCTTCCATTTTCGCTGATTTTGTCCAAATCAAAGATTAGTTCTGTACAATTGATTGAATGATTTCCATAAATGGTTATTTTTATTTTTGAAATTCAAGGGTTTGCATGTTGGAAACCAATTCTTTTTTACAATCAGCTACAATTCACAATTCTTTGCTCAATCACATTCCATAAATCATTCTTCTACTTTTGTTTAGGTACTATTCATTTTCAATAGTTGCCTGTAATATATATAAGTACATGTGCTTTCGTACAATAAATTATGCCATTTTACTTGTGGAACTGAATCGGTAAATAAGGATTATTAGCAATCGCTTATGCTTCATAAGAGAGTGTTTGTACTTAGAAATAACCTTTATTTCACAACACCCCATACGCACCTTGCATGTGATAGACTCATTATCAACTTAATTCACCTTCTACGTGTTTGCCTCCATCTGTAAGTATGTGCTCTTACAAATATCCATGAAATACACATGCATTTATGACTTTCTATACATGATATAATTATCCCAGGTTAGAATTTGTAGTTTTTTTCCACAATGCTGCATTTGTTGCATAGGGTTCTATTCGATATGGATACCATCTCACGCTTTTAATATCTAACATATTCTCATATCTTCACAATCATATCCAGCAATTTCCTTAAAACTCAAAGTCATATGTCAACTATAAGATTATTACAAAATAATTATTCATTTCGTGGAAAATGGGTATTAGAGGCTTTTTGGGCTTTGCTAAGTATAATAAATTCAAGTGCGCGGTTCGCTACTCAAGCCTGTAAATCTCGAGTTTATTCTTGACTTATAGATCCGAAGATCTTGTATTAGACGGTCAGAATCTGGCAAATATTATTTTTTACAGGGTGTATAATGCAGGAATGTCAGTTTGTTGCAATCCGGCTTGTATGTATGAAGAGGCTATGAAATTCATTGATTTATTCAAAAATATGGGGTTGAGAGTGGTAAAAGTATTTGCAGACAGTATTTCCAATCTGGATAAAATTGAAACCTATACGGAACGGAGATTACAGAAGAACGAAGTAAATAAATTCGTTTGGCATATGTTGAACCAACGTAGTGACTTTTCACTTTCATCATGTGAGAAAGGTAGTATTGATATTCCAAATTGTTGCATGGAAGCTGTAATAAAAGCATTTATAGACAGTTATGGGGAACAGGTTATGTCATTAGGAGGTATTGACACGGATCGGTATTATTGTATTGGGATCGATTATCTATAGTGATATTGCTCTTTACTGCTACAAGCACAATGCAATTGTTCTTACAAATGACAGTGACTTTTTGTTATATGACTTGAAGGGTGTAATCATTTTGGATTTAGTCGATTTGCAAAATGAATCTGTGTTTGTCTACCAACGCAAGCTACTGCTACAGCAATTCAGATTATCAGAGCTTCAACTGTTTTATTTTGTCGCTCGTCATGGAAACGATTTCATTAAGCATACCCGAAAACAAGACGAACGGATTGATATTGGTAAAACTCTTCGCCATATCAGCAGCGAGTGCAAAACAATTTCGAGCTGTAAGAGAGACTTCAGGAACCAATGGAATTATGAAATGACGGATGAGCTTGATTTGGTATATGCAATCTACGGCACCAAGCAGGTTGAATATCCGACCAGCTTGCTAACGCTGGATATAAATGAAGTAAACGAAGTCAAGGATTGTGTGGGAGGTATGATTTGCGTTTAGTTCATTTTTATATTCAGATGATTTGGATTGTGTTGCTAAAGACATAAAGTATGCGTATCAGCGAACTGCGCTCGATATTATTCTTTCGCCTTGTATAGGATCTCCGCTTGTTGCGATTTATGATTGGAAAGAAAACTGTGGAATCTTTTGAATTGAATCGATTGTAGATACTATTTTGGATACTGTGTTGAGGAGAACTTACAAATTATTGGGATGCCAACCCTATGGGTTTAAACGTGATACAACAATCTTCTATGAAAAGCCAGAAGAATCCAGTGATGAAGTCGTGGAAGTGTCCCAAGAAGAAACCGAAGAAAGGTTGAAAAGCGGATTGAATTGAATCTTAGAGCACAAAACAATGTTGAAGTGGCTCGTGAGCGAATGACTGAATACTTGGAGTTGAAGAATATGGATATTGATGAGAGGATCGAATTGCTAACCGAAATCTACAGAGAAATCGTTCCTGAAGGATTAGAAAGCCATGATTTGAATACATACATCATTCTGTTTTGATTTTCGAATCTTTTGATTTGTAGATTGACGGAATACATCATGCAGTTATGTTTCCCTGAAGAAGAAGAAGTGGATTTCGTGGATGAGATCATTGATGTTTTGCTAAATCATCATAGTGAGTATCATGATGCACTACGTTTGCCACACTATACTCCATATCAGAAATTTGGAGTAGTGGAAATCGGATCTCCGAGAACGCGACAACTTGGATTTACGTTGTTTTATAGTTTGAATGTAAGAGAGTTCGGGTTTGATGAGCAGTAGTTGGCTTATCGTAATGTGTTTGCGGTGTTCACGATATTGAACTTACTTAGTGAAGAAGAAAAGAAGTATACTGATTTCTATAGATATTGCTGTTATCCTTGTATTATTAATATCATTGAGAGTCTTCTGGATGAGTCATGATGATAAAGAGCGCATTTGTATGAGTGATGGTGGTATTTTCTTTGAATTTGAATTTGAATTTGAATTTGTCAAGGAAATGGAGGAAATGGTATCTACATGGTAATAGAGTTGTTTTTTGTACTAAACGACTAGAATATGATGCGTGTGGCATTAACAAGTTTTACAGGTGTTGAAAGCATATAGTAATTGGAACTCAATAATAGAAAGAGATCTAAGATTGGTTTTCATCCATGCAGATAAGGATATACCTATGAGGTATTGTTTATGTTTAGCATTGACATGCTGTACATGGTACAAGTAAATCAAATAAATAAATGCGACTGGTTTATCTTACTTTTATTGTTTCATGTGAACAAATAGGTATCGATAACATGCGTTATATTATCGTCAGCCCAATACACATTTCAAACAACATAATACTATAATCCCAACGATTATCAGGCTATTTTTGAACTAATAAAAAAGATCATACCCAACAATAATAAAGAAATTTTTCAAAAATGTTTTTGAAATCTCAAATTCATCATCAACCTCATCGTCGGGAACAGGTTCCGTGGTAACTTCCAAAGAATTTTCAGATGCACTTTTAATGCTTTCGTTATTAGTGTTGCTGGTATCAACTTTTTAATCACATATACTATTAAGACTACTGTTTCGAAGTGTGTTGTCGCTGCTGGAAAGGATGTGCAGAGATTGAGCATTAGGCTGACCTAGATGTAATGTAGAATGAAGCAATGGAAACGAAGATACTGCTGCTTAGAACTATGTGTGAGATGAATTGATTATAAGAACATACTCAGTTAATGGATCGGCAATAGCATTGGTAGTGCGCTTCTCAGAGGAAGCAGACACAGTCTGGGTAGTGCTAGCAATAGAGCTGATCAACAAAAGAGTGCAAAAGAAGAAAAGAGATTTCATATGAAAAAAATTATGAGGTGTGTCATGCACCAAATGAAACCACAGAATCTTGTCTATTCTCTGTTATTTGATCTCATCTGATACTGAGTATGTATATAAGCTAAATATCCAGTGATTTAAGTTAGAATGAAATATAAATAATGACGCTATTAAGTAAACAATTGATGTTTCATATCATATTGATCAATTAGTTAATATTGTATTTTATTTTCTGATAATCGCTTCTCACTGTATTTTCAATACGAGATCAATATTACTTGATGAGCGATATGTTACTATTACTCTTAATAATTACGGAATCACAAACAGAGAGTCACTGGAATCACATTTATTAGCCCATTCATTGTTCCAATAGATTCTCACAACAATCAGGTTATCATGTACTGTTATTTGAATCACTGAAGTGTTATTTTTGTAATTTTGGAGTTAATAATACTACTATTGATCAAAGTAGGTCAGAATCATTTAATTACTTTGTTGATAGACTTTGTATATATATGTTTCCAATCAATATGTATAAATGCCTTGGGTAAAGTATACCATCCTTCATTCACATTTGTGTATGCTATTATTCTTAAACGTTTGATGAAATAATGGTAATGAATAATCAGGAATTATGAGAAACTTATGGGTAATCTAGTAGTAACCAACAATTCTTGTTTTTGATAGTGAAAGCCATACGTTGGTGTGTTTAGCATCTATTTTTAATCATTATACTCGCCATTTCATTCCCTACCTTAAAATACAGACTAAAGTAAGGAGGGACCCTAAGATAGTTTGCTGCTGCTGTGTTTACTGCATTAATCAACATAAAATATCTGACTATTCATATCTTCCTATAATTCGATACAAACACGCATGTGTTGTAAATACGCATCCCATATGCTGAAGATACCACTATAATGCAAATCTAAAATTCGGAAAATGTTTCCAATGTGTATTTGCAGAGCATCTGCAAAAGAGGTGCTTTCTCTCTACTTTTTCTCCCAACTTCTATAGAAAATCGCATGCTCTATATCCATGCTCACAATGTTCTGTTTCAAATTCCAAGACTGTCTAAACAACTATTCCCAAAAGATAATCCTTTCCTCTATTACTATTTTCCATCTCTTCTCTATAAACCATAAAAGAATGGTAATGAACTCTTTTCCTGCATACTTCACGAAATCCGTAATCGACACAAAACTGTTTCAAAATAATGTAAAATTTTATTGTACTACTCACTTCCATTTGAAATACATAGGAATACTACTCTTTCTATTCTACATCAAGCCCTAACCCTATACTCCACTCAGAATATCAGTTCATGTTTCCCACACCTCTTCCCCTTCCAACTGCACACTTCTCTCTCCTACAGAGATTACTATTTTCTCTAAAATGAACGTAACTCCTTTGCCATTCATTTTTTGAACGATGAGTTTTAGACCGAATTACGGTAAGAGAACGAATGCTGTATGTTCTAGGGACTGTGTATAATATATAGAATGCAGGGGCTGATAATAAGACTGCTGATAACAAAAAGCCCTATTCATTCACTCGCAGACGTGGTCCTTACAGATCGGATATGACTGAGGAACAGAAGAATGCTATTGGACTTATCGACGTCGAGTCTCTGCCCAATTCCGAGGGAATTATCCGATATGACATTTCCACTTTGCTGAGCCTTCGCTCTGCGAATCCTGTCACACCTACCCTGGCGGAAGCGTGCTGTGTCATCTCTGAAAAGGATGCCAAAGAGTACAGAGAGAAGCACGACAGCGAGATTTTGAACAAGGAATTCGTGCCTGCCATTGTTTCTACATTCCCTACCGAGGTTGCCAGTTCTACCAGAGTCGATCCTCGTATTCGTGTCCTCCGCAACATTCTGAACCAATTTACCATGGAGAACCATGAAATGATTCGTGATATGCTTTACAACAACCTGGAGGAGTACATTGACGAAGCTCCCGTTCTGAAGCTTGCCGTCGAATCGATAATCAACAAATGCTGCCAGGACCATATGTACTGCGATGCGTTCGTGTCTCTCCTGAAGATCGTGGTGAAGGAGAAGATGACCGAGAAGAGCGCGCTTGCGTTCCAATCGGTTCTTCTGGACTGCAGCCAGGAGATCTACAAGCAGCCGGCTCCTGCGGCCGAGCTGGAGGGCGATGAGCGAGCTCTCTACGAGAATACTCGCGAGGGCTTCTTCCACTTCTTGGGAGCGTTGTTCGTGAATTCTCTGATGTGCGAAGACATCATTCTGTCGGTGATGATCGCACTGTCCCAGGGATACCCGACCTCCCACTTCGATGTTGCTTGTTTGTTGGAGATCATTCGAACCATCGGATCGTGCATGGAGCACGACACCGAGAACAAACTCACCATCGACGAGATCTTCCGAACGATGTACACCTGGCAGATGGAGAAGCAGCTCCCCAGCAACATCATTGACAAGATCCGCGACCTGCGCGACCTGAAGGACGCCAAGTGGGTCATCACGATGGAGGTGAGCAAGACGGAGGACACCGTGCCTTCCGGAGACTGGGAGAAGAGCTTTACCGGACGAAAGATGCGCAATCGCAGAGAGAAGGACGAGGAGCAGGCCGAGTCGATTCGAGCTGCCAACGAACTCTCGATTTACTGCGAGAATCTCTGGAACGACTTTGTGCGCTACTTCGTAGTGGACGATATCGCCGACGAAGTGCTCAAGTTCGATGACGCGCATCGCGCGAGCTTCATCGGCTCTTCCTTCAAGAGCCTGGTCTCGCACTCGGAGCAGCAGCAGCGTCGTGTGAGCGTGCTGCTTCAGACCATGCTGAACCGAGGCGATATCTCCCGCGAGGTGTTTGAGAAGGGAATGGAGGAGGCCATTGCCGAGTATATGAAGCGTCGGAAGCAGGGCAAAGACGTGCTGGCCGCGTTCCGGAACATGTATCTGCCGCTCTTTATGGACGGAAACTTCACGATCCGGTCGCTCGTCGAGCTCTGGAAGAACAAAGAGTCCTACGATGGCCTGCTCTCCCAGCTGGTGTTCAACCTGCTGAACAGCTGGGTGGCCATTGACAAAGAAGCCGCGACGAAGGCCTTGGAAGAAGCCAAGCTCACCATGGAGGAGGTGTTCGTTGGAGGTTGCCCCACGATCATCATGGAGAGAATCCTGGCGAAGAACCACTTCTGTGTCAAGGACGGAGTGCTGTGTTTCGTTTGGTGTGTTTGTGGAAGAAATGTGAATCGTTGAGTGAGAGGGGGAGTGTTGTTGTTCTTCTTGTTGTTGTTGTTGTAGAGAGGAGGGAGGAGTGGAGTAAGGATTACTGGTGCGAGGGAAATGGACAAATGGAGGGGTTTGGGGGAATGGGGAACGAAGTGAGAAGAATCGATTAAACGCACGCAAAACGGGCAATATAACTACAGAGATTGTCATTTTCAGCACATTCGAACTTATATTATTCAACAATGGTCAATTCCTGAATAGAAACGAGTAGGCATTCTCTCCAGTGCCCTTCATCTAAAACACACTGCGATCAACCATTTGAAAACAAACAAACCAAAGTAGACTAGAAAGATCGTCAATAAAGTGACCCTTTTCAGATTGTTTATCGTACAGAAGTAAATCAACAGGCTTCCACACCTGCATGCTTCCTCCGCCTCGCTTCCCGCTCTCGTCCGAGCAAGTCATAATCATCAGGATCTCCTGCGGATTAAAATGGAGATCCGTGACGGCCGATCTACGTTCCACCTTTTCTCCTCCCCTACTTGTGTCCCAAATGCCTCAGCACCAACTTGTCCTCTCCCTCTCCCTACACGTTACTTCCCTCCTTTCCAGCGCCCACGGCCAGCAGATCGAACAAATCCACTTCGCCCGACTCTGTTCCCACCGCCACAAACCGCGGCGCTCTCGGACAAAAGTCCATGCAAAGAACCGCGGAACTGACTTCCAGAATGAATTTCGGTTTCGGATCTACATCACACGGCCGATTTCGATGCTCACTCCCATCCTCGCTCAGAGGATTACGTAAATCCCACACGCAGACTCTACAATCGGCGCCGCCCGTAATCATCCAATCATCTAATCCGCGCATGTCGGCGGGCTGGTCTGCGTGCTGCGTCGAAATATTCATCACGCAGTGAATATCGGCAGCGTGCGCATTTTCAAGCTACGACTCACACGCAAAGGCGTTTCGTAAAACCTTCCAAATTAATTGGTTCGTTCGACTATTCACGACCATTATCACGCCCTTCGCTCCCGCCACGCCCACTATTTCCCCCGTGCGATCAAAGCCAGACAGAAAGGAGACGTCCTCGATGGAAAGGGAGGGATGGAAGGGTTGTAAGTCGATCGAGAGGGAATGCGTGCCGTTTTCGCGAGATGAAAGATCGGAGAGGTTCCAGATGTGGAGGCAAGTTTTGCTGGCTGCGAGGAGAGAAATAATAAGTTGGCTGGAAGATTCGGAAGCAATGTGCGTGTTTGATGTGGAATTCGATTGTTTGTTTGAGTTTTGCGTGTTCTGCGTGTTCTGCGAGTTCTGCGAGCTTTGCGTGCTATCCACCTCATTTGGATGGACTGATTCTGCGGACTCGCTCAAACTATTCAATTGCGTGTTGCTTGGTGTTGCAGAACGAGGACCGTCCGGATGGACGGTAGCGCTATGCGTTGTTGTATAGTGAACATAAATAGACAAAGGAAACAGCTGAAGCTGGTCATTGTTGCTTGGATACAATCTACGTGGCAATGAGCGAAAACCACTAGAAGAATACACAAGATTCGGAGTGGACGCTCGATTCTTTGTTTTTTTAACCTTGCGATTCACCTGCCTCTTCAAATCCCAAACGCTTAGCTGATTGGTCGAGCCATGCGAAACAATCCAATCCGAAAACGGAAGGACTCTACGAATAAACACAGAAAACGAGAGATACCGAATGCGACTAATCTCTCCCGGATGAATGATTCTCTTCCACTCATAGGTCCCAATTTTCCTGTAGGGATCATCCACATAAAGACGATAGTCTTCCGTGTTGGGTGAAGGCACGCTGAAGCGAATAATATCAATACAATCGCAATCTTTTTCCCACATTCGCTGCTCCTCGTTGTAGCTACCGCCTACCTTGGTAGAGCAATTCACTTTCGTACTTGAATATGTCGACAGAATCGCGTACTTAAAGGACTCCTCGCGCAGAGACCGTGAAGGAAACTCGTCCGCGAAGTACCATTCCGCAACATACGACGGCCACTCGGTAGAATGCACGAGAACATAGTCGTAAAGCATCCTCGAGTTGCGTAGCCACAAGTCGTAGCTCTTTCTGCCACGCTTGTCAATGCGGGTCATTTTGGTTTTGTTGCTTCTCTTGCTTCTCTGGGGGAGGCTGCCGTCCTCCTCGTCGTTTCTCTCGGTCAGATCCTCCGAATCGGTGCCCATCACAAAGGCAGTATGAGAAGGTGTGCAACAAACAACGCGGCATTCAAACGTAAAAAGACCGAACCGGCTCGAGCGAGCTCGGCGAGGCGGTTCCGATGTTGCAGCAGTTCGGCGGATAGCACCTAGAGTTTCCTGCTATCCGCGTCATATTCGCCGCGTCGCCGTTGTCCCAGCTGTTGGCCTGGGTCGCGGCAACCATCCTCCCGCGCCCCGCCCGCGCGCCTCTTACCAGTCCGTCACCTCGATCAGCGTGGGGTTCTCCACCACGTACCCCTTGCGCTGACCCTCCACGACCTTCCCGATGATCCACGCATCATGCCCGGTGATCTCCTTGTACTCTTTGATGTACGCCTCCGCGTCCTCCGGACGCATCATGATCATCAGGCCTCCCGAGGTCTCCGCGGAGCGTCCCTTGAAGAGATTCCAGTTGTTGTTGAGATGGCTCTCCACTCTGGCCATGTTCTTGATGATCGGCAGCGTGTCCACCACCAGGTCCACCGCCTTCTCCTGCTCGGCGGCCAGGTTCGTCGCGTGGCCCGTCACGCCGAACCCCGTCACGTCCGTGCACCCGTGCGCGTGGTGCTTCCACATCAGACGCGCGCCCTCCAGGTTCAGCGTCGACATCGACTCCATCGCCATCTTGTACGACGCCACCACGTCCTCCACGCTCAGCACTGCGCGCACGCGGTTGAACTTCGCCGCCGTGCGCAGCCACTCGAACATGTTCACCGCCAATTGCGTGCCCAGCGGCTTCGTCAGCACGATCACGTCGCCAGGCTCGCCGTGGACTGGACGGATGAAGTCTTCGCCCTCCCGGCACGTCGAGGAAGCCACACCGCCGATCATCGGCCACGGGTTGCGAACGGTCTGCCCGCCAGTGACGTTCGTAACCGCGACGCGCGCTTGGTCTACGCGTTACAAAGAAGAGAGAAAGGGGAAACCGTTGAAACCACGGATCAACTCCTTGGTGACGTAGTCCATGGCGTCGGGCTCCATGTCGACGCTAACGCCCAAAATCATGAGCATCGTGTCGACTTCCGTGACACCCATGGCGTACATGTCCGAAAGCACGTTGCACGCAGCGATCTTGCCCTGCACGTACGGATCATCCACGGAAGGGTAGAAGAAGTCCGTTGTCGAGATGCTGTACTACCTGTGAGATGGGTGTAGAACGGCCTACAATTCCAGGGAACTTGGTCTTCACAACAGCACAATCCAATCCAGGGGTCTCGTTCTCCTTGATACTCGTACCCACGCCTTTTAAATATTCCAACAGTTTGGCTTGAGGTACCTTGCATCCTCACCCCTTAAACTACCTGTAATGCTGGATTCCAGAGGCCTACCTTCGTATAATTGGTCAAATAGAAATCTTCTGGAAGACCATGGTCTCGGGGGTCCCAAAGACCATAGCTTCTTCTCTACACATAAGCTCCCTCCTAGTGGCTCCTACATCGATGAACATGCTCGATAAAGAAAATAATAAAATGTGTTCTAGTATTTTGGATCATTGGTGTCATAAATTCCAAAAAATGCCTATATTTACATTATTGTTCTTTTTCAAATCCAGAATCCGCCTTTTTCCTTGTTTGTGTTCTCTCACAGCAATTGAAATAAGCCTTTTTTCCTTGTTCGTGTTCTCTCACAACAATTGAAATAAGCCTTTTTCCTTGTTTGTGTTCTCGCGTAGCAATCGAAATCCGCCTTTTTCCTTGTTCGTGTCCTCTCACCACACTAAAAATCCACTTTCTTTCTCGTTTGTGTTCTCGCACTACACTCAAAATCCACTTTTTTCCCTGTGTCTGTTCTTTTGCCACACCCGAAATCGTCTCTACACACTCTCTGTTGACTCTCTCACACGCACCACTCAACAATCGCTTCTTTCAACAAACACTCCATTCCACAAGAACCACTGCAATATCCATCACGTTCGTGCCGGTCGGTCCCGTCACGATGTGCTCTCCATCCAAATGCTTAAGGTAGTTATACGCATCATGCGCCTTCAAGAAGTCCCTGGCCTCCAGTCCCTTCTTCTTTCCTCTCTGATACGTCTCTCCATCGACCACGCCTCCGGCCGCATCGCACGGCCCATCGGTTCCGTCGGTGCCTCCGCTCAGGAAGGTGATTCCCTTCTCTCCGTCCAGCGCGATCGCCGCCTTCAGCGCCATCTCCTGGTTCCGGCCTCCCAGTCCGAACTTCGCTCCCAGATTCACCGTCGTCTCTCCGCCTACCCATCATCTCCTCTCCTCTCTCTCACCCGCAATGATCGCCGCGGGCGCCTTCACGGAGCCCTTGCCGCTCTTAATGTCCCGCGCCATCGCCAGCAGCTTCTCCGCCATCTCCGTGGCCTCGCCCTCCAGCCCGCTGTACAGCACCACCGGCGTGTAGCCCAGCTCGCGCGCCTTCGCCGCCGACACGTCCAGCGACTGGTCGTTGTTCCCTACCAGCGTGTACACGCACTTCGCGAACACCGGACTGTCCTCTTTCGGCGTCTCCGCCACGGTGCCGTCCACGCCGCCCTGGATCTGCTTCCGAACGCTACGCCTCATTCATCCACCGTGCAGCCAACCCCTCGGAGAGCTTGTCCCAGATGCCGTACTTGTCGATGATCGCCTTGCAGTCCTGGAAGGACGTGTGGTCGAAGTGCGTCGGGCCCGAGGCGATCGTCGAGAGATCGTCGCCCATCACGTCCGATAAAATCAGCGAGAAGCACGGGTTCGGGTACGCCGCCTCCGCAAGATGACCGCCCTTGATCGCAGAGAGGTGCTTGCGGATGCTGTTGATCTCGTGGATCGTCGCGCCGCAGCCGAGCAGCACGTTGGTCGTCTGGCGAATGTCATCCAGGGTCACGCCGGGAGACGGAGCGCTGAGAAGAGCGCTGCCGCCGCCGCTAATGAGAGTAATTACAACACTGTCCTTCGGCTTTTCGGCCAGCGTCTTAAACAGAGTTAACGAACCAGCGACACTGTTCTTGTCCGGAACTGGGTGAGCCGCTTCGGTTACGCCAATGCGCTTCAGGTGATTGCCGGCAGCATGCTTGTATTTCGTAACCACATGACCTGAGTGAATACGGTCGCCGAAGTAGTCCTCGGCGGCTTCGGCCATGCGCACAGCTGCCTTTCCTCCACCAACAATCACGACAGATTTGGAATCACTAAAAATCACGACTAAACGGAGAAACTCTACCCAACACGAACACCGTCTACAGAATCCTTGCCGTCCTTCAAGTAGTTATACACGGCGGTGTAGGGATCGGCTCTCTTCAGACCAGCTTCAAAGATTTGCATGGCGGCCGCTCTCCCACACACACTTTGAAAACATACGGGCAATTTGCGCAGAATTAACAGATACAGATTGTACAGATCGAACGAACATCTTTTAGATTGTATTCTGGGTGGAATGAGAGAATTCCACGTTTCTCTTTTTGGTAAAACGTCCTGAAGTGAAGGTGTATGCACAGGTACAGTTAGGTGATTCGACCTACACGTTATTACTTGATTCCCCTCGTTTTTTCAACAACCATCACTATCAGACCACACTGTTGGAGGCAACACGATAATGCAACCAACGTAATCGATTCGGCCTTTCCTATTTTATGATGTATCAGTTTCCTCATATTCTTGTAATTTCATTTTGCCTCTCTTTTTCTATTATTCCTATTTCACAGCCCCTGTTGATTGGAATCGAATAGGAATAAAATTACTTTCATAATCGTAGGTGTTGCTGTTGTTGTTGTTTTGTGGTTATTCTAGTTTTTGTTTATTATGATTTTGTATTTCATGTATTCTTGTTACCAATGGAATTCTATAAATACTCATCCGGTCTAGTCATTACTGATATTACGGAATTGAAGGAGTTTTAAAATGAGTAATACGAATATGAACGGTACCGTTCCTAGGGAATTGTGAATTCGTAGGTAATTCGTATCCAGCAAGTACAAATTCCAAAGGATGGAACAAGGAACGACATACGATTTCTGAATTCTTCAATCGACCGCGTGCTCGTCCTACAACACCAACTCCCATGACGAATCCACTCTCCCCCATGAATGGCGTTTCGTCAACCAATCTTTCCTCGTCAATGCAATCCATGCCTCCTCCCATTCACGATGGTTATTATCCAGAGAACAAGAACAACCCTCCGACCTACTACTATCCACCCCCTTACAGTAATGCGAGTAGTTTCGCTCCTCCTTATTCAAATCATCCCTCCTATCCGCCTCCACAGCCCTATCCGATGAATCCAAGCATGCATCCGATGAACTACCCGCATGGACAAGAGAACTACGCTTATCCGCCCTCTCCTCCGCAACCCATGATGAATTCCCCGCCAAATACGATGCAGAATCCGTATTATCGAAACACAAATGGAAACACAAACACAATGAAGCCTTCGTCAATTCCATCGAATTCATTTTCGTCCAATGCTTCCACCTATTTTCAATCCTCTTTCCAACAGACTTCTTCTTCTTCCGCTCCAATCCAGGGAGTTTCATCGGTCCCTCACCCTCCAAATGATTCGTCGATCAAGCTGCAATATCATTTGTCATCCACACAGCCACGAGCGCCAGTGATGCGTCGGCCAGGCCAAATTCGAAGACCCAACGTGGAGGTTTCGGAGCCGATGACGTCTTCGCGAGGAATTCGAGCGTGTTATTATGAAACGATCAGTCAAAACCGCGAAGCACCGAGCGGATTTGTGTTTCGACCGTGCGTGATGGTGGAAAAGGAGATCGTGGAAACGGGGGTGGATGGACTTCGCAGTCCATTGGTTCGATTCGAAGATGAAATGAAACGAGTTTTGGATTTGGCGATCGATGAGGAGAAGAAAGAAAAAGAAAAAGAAAAAGAAAATGGAAATTGGACGGAAGCGAGCGCGATGGAGAGTCAAAATACAATTCGATTGGAGGAGAATCGATCGGAAACGGAAACAGAAAAGAACGGTGGAATGGTGGAAATGAAATCGGAGAAATTATTGTGGAATCGGGAGATTACGCAGAGTGTGGAAGCAACGCAAAGCGTGGAAACCACGCAGGATTGGGAGGCGACGCAGGATGTGGAAACTCCACAGAGCATGAGAAGAATGCAAAGCGTGGAAGCGACGCAAAGCGTGGAAGCGACGCAAAGCGTCAAAGAAACTCGAAGTGCAGAGGCGACGCAGGAAATGAGTGAAAGCGAAATGGAAAAGAGTGGAATGAAGGAAAGGGAAACGAGTTCGCAGCAGAATGAACGGAATGATTCTGAAACAAAAGTGGAAGTGGAGGAGAATGGGGAAACGTCGAACCAAACGCAGATTCAATCAGTTGAGAAGGGTGAAATGGTTAGTTCCAATGAAGCAGCGTCGCTTCAAACCGATGAGAAAGAAATTATGAGTCAAAAACAAACTCCAATCAAGCAAATGAAAACGACTGTTAATGAAAATGAAAATGAGAATAACGTGAAGAATGAAATGAATGATAGCAAACCATTCATGGAATCCCATCAAAACAAAACCACTCCTAAAAAAACCAATCAAAAGGAATCACTTTCCTCATCTACAGACCCATCAACATCTTCTTCTTCTTCTTCTTCTTCTTCCACGATAATTCCATCTGTCATCCACAAAAAATCACTTCATTCTGTTCATTCTACCGATTCAGAAGACTCGCTTTTCTCCAATGAAACCGAATCGCCTGCTTCCAGAGAATCGAATCAACCTACCATCCATTCCTTATTCAAAAAGGAGAAACCAACAACCCCTCTCTCGACTTCCAAAGCCACAAAGAGTGTTCCAACACCCACCAAAGAAACCATAGAAGAAACCAAAAAGCCCTCTTCGCCTCTGTTCATTGATTCTTCTTCCGATTCTGAAACAGAAACAGAAACAGAAACAGAATCGACTGCCTCGATGGAAGAAGATGAAGAAGGAGGAAAGCCCACCATCATTCAAATGGTGGATTCAAACCCTGAAATCATTGGCCAATCCAATTCCAGAACGTCCGTGCTCCAACAAACCGCTTCGGATCGATCGATTTTGGTGTCGCAGCTCAGTCAAATGGACGGATTTTCGTCCGAATCGTCCTCAGAAGACGAGGAATCGCAAGAAACGCACGTGCTACGCGAAGGCGAAGCGGAGGCTCGCAACACGGCCATGTCTTCTCTGCTTTCCCTCATGCAGATGAACAAAGCCATCACGAAAACGGTGCAGGAAAGCGAGAAACAAAAGCAAATCCAGTCCTCCAATCATCCATCGCACGTCGTTTCGCGTCGCCCCAACGCGCTTTCCCAGCCCCAATTCATCAACCCTCGGCAGTTTTTAATCGATACGGTGTGTCAGCTGAACGTGATGGAGAGCTATCATTTCCAAAACAGTCGAAACATCACGCTGAGCCAGACGTACAGCTCGTAGGCTTCTTTCTTCTTTCCGTTGAGTTTTCTAGTCTTTCAAAATACGTGGAAGCGATGATGTTCTGCATTCTCGAAGAGCTTTCCTTCGCCATCTCCGAAGCGCTCTCCGTTCTTTTCGCCACCTACGGAATCGAACGCAACACTTCCTCGTCGTCCAACAACAATAATAACAACAACAACAACAACAACAAAGAAGCAGAAGCAAACGTGGAGGAAGACAATCCGGACTTTGAAAAGCCGCTCAAAGGCAAACACGACTTCCAAATGATCGCAGCGCGGGTTACCGAAGCCGGACAAGCGGAGAGCGGCTTCATCCACGTTCGATCCGACACCTCCGACCTCACTTCGTACAAATGGGCGGAATCTGTAGTCCTCATCGCCTCCGAAAAGCTCTCCAAGAAGAAAAAGAAGGCCAACATCCAGCTGGCGCTCGGCGTCTGCACCCTTCTCGACACAAACAGCGCCAAACCCGAATGTACCGTCTATCTCAGTCCGCGCGTGCAGCTCCCTATCGGGTCCGAGATCGTTCTTTACTCGCTCGTCGGCTTCACGAGCTTCTGCAGAGAGTTCATCGCCGTCTCCAGCCTTCAGAAAAACCCGTTGCGATCGCAATGGGCCACGCAATTAACGCAGAAATACCCGCAAACCGCGTCCAAACTCAACAAAACGCTCGCTTCCCACATCGATCCCGTACGTTTCTCCGTTTCTCCCATTCCTCTCAGACTCTCTACGATGCCCTGCGTCGCCAACTCAATGTGTTTCAACTCGAAGTCGTCACTGCATTATCGCGTCCCGGATTGAGCGGAGTTTATCTCGTCGAAGGACCGCCAGGAACCGGCAAAACCACCACAATCGTCTCCATCGTGCAGACCATCGTCGCCACCTACCCGGTTTCCACGTTTCCACGCTCTGACATGCAGCATCTGCGCATTCTAATCGCGGCTCCGTCGAACGCCGCGGTCGATACGCTGCTGGAGAAGCTGGTCATCAGCATTCCGTCGACGCAAAACCCGAACGTGATTCGCTTGGGCCGCGTGGGCGGCGACGCCAGCGTGAAGGACCATCCCGAGCGCGCGTTCCTGCAGAAATACGAGCTGGACGGGATGGTGGATCGGCAGATCAAGAAGTTCCGAAGCGACGCAGCGAACCGACTCTCCACCGAAACCGACGGGTATCTCCGAAAGAAGTTCGAGCAGTCCACGCTGATGAACGCGCGCGTGGTACCCCTTTTCCCCTGTTTGTTTGATTCGTGATAGATCGTGTCCACGCTGGCCACGTCGTCCAACACGCAGGTGACTTCCTTTCTCTCGCAAGGCACGCAGCTGCCCATCGTTATCGTCGACGAAGCCACCCAATGCACAGAGCCTCATTGCTTGATTCCGCTCTGCGTGAAGCCTTCTCTCTTCATTCTCGTCGGAGATTCCCATCAACTCGCTGCCACCATCCTCAATCCCACCATCAAACGCTTAGGATACGGAAAATCGCTCTTCGAGCGACTCGTTCTCAACAAATTCCCGCGGCTATCGCTTCGAATTCAGTTCCGAATGACGCCCTCCATCTCTCTCTGGCCCAATCAATACGTCTATCAAAGCCAGCTCATCGACAGCAAGCGTGTTCGCCAGCCCTCCTTCTGCTACATCTTCCAAAACTCCTCCGTGCCTTCCTACGCGTTCCTCGATGTTCCCGAAGTACTTCTCTTCGAATTCGATGCGATCCAGGGAATCTGCGCCAAGCATCGATCCAGTTTCCACAATCTCCGCGAAGCGGAAATCGTCGTCGATCTCATTCACCGACTCTTCCTCCAACTCCCTCCCTCGACCATCGGCTACTCCATCGGCGTCATTTCGCCCTACACCGCGCAAGTGCATCAAATCCGCAATCGAATGAACAGCGTCATCGATTGTGCACAGTTCGAAAAAGACCTGAAATTGGTCAAAATCAGCTCGGTGGACGCGTTTCAAGGCGGCGAAAGCGACATCATCATTCTTTCGTGCGTTCGATCCACCTTGAAAGACGCGCAGGCCATCAAATCGGTGGGCTTTCTCTCCAACCTGCAGAGATTGAACGTGGCGTTGACACGAGCCAAGCAGGCTTTGTGGATCGTGGGGAATGCCCAGCATTTGCAGATTAATTTCCATTGGAAGTGGCGATTGGGAAGGTTTTTTAGTGTAGAATGCTGATTGATAACTGCAAGCAGCGGAATGTGGTGTACTCGGTGAGTTCGCTTTTGGATTCCTTCCGAAGCGTTTTGTCGATTGAACGCGTGCTGGCCAGTCGAGAAGTGTTGCGGCTGTTCCACGATGATGGAGACTATTCGGAGGAAATTCGAGGTAATGAGTGGCGGGTGGACCGAATCAACTGTAGAAAGCGAACAGAATGAAAAGCGAACTCAAAAGCGGCAAAGCGAAGGTGGAACGGGGTCTGGAACACCGAAGAAACATCGAAATGCATAGCGAGTGTGTGTGTTTTTAGATTTCAATTTACTTTGAATCAATTTAATTAATATGTATAACTATTGATGAGATGTTTGTTTGAAACAATAAAGAAAGAGAGAAAGAAAGAAAAGAAAACGAAGCATCTCAGGTCAATCTCGTTTCTTCATCTTTTCGATTCTTTTATTTCCTTTAGGAGCGCATTTCTAACCCAATCCAATGCGTATGATTGTCCATCTTGTCGAGTTACAATAATGAGTTTGAATTCAATTTTTATCTGAATGGAAACCTCGGTGGACTGGCCCTGCGTGGATCTCCTTGTATCGGATCTAAACGGTGTGTTTGACCCACACGCGGACGGAGAAACAATTCAGGAAGCATTGGGAGTTCTAGAGACCAAAAGAGAAGAAATGAAGAATCGCGAGGAGTCCAAGCGCGAAATGATAAAGGGTATCCTTGATTATCTCTCTTTCCTTTGTAGAAATGGAACATGAGCTCCAAGAATTGGAGAGTGACGCGATTCGGATAGACGAGATCGAGAAAGAAAAGGAGCGAATTGAATCCCTGAGCAAGGAAAAAGGAGAAGTGAGATCGCGAATGGAACGAGTTCAAAGAGATATAGCGTACATTTGCTGATAACAATGTTATATAGATCCAAGGAAAACGAAGTAAAACAAGCCGAACTTGAGTATCAAGACTTGGTAAACAAAATAAACCAGGAAAAGGAGGAAAAGAATGTTACAAAAATGAAAGTGAAGTAGGGGTGGGCGTGTTCTATCAACTAGAAATGTATTTTTGCTGTATCACCAGCTCACGGGCATCAAATGGGATTTTAACTCCCCGATGATAAAGGGCGTGATGACGAGATCCAAATTCAACGACATAATCGACTTCGAGATCGATCCCACAGACAAGAGTGATTACGACATATCGAACATGTTGTGGGACCTAATGGAAGGTGAGGAGTCAACCGTGCTTGTACCATGCCTTGATTGTTCAACAAACAACCCATCCACACCAACAACAGCCCTTTTACTCTGCTCTCTTCGGTCCTTCTTAAGGCTCCACACGTCCACGAATACGTCCAGTGCGACGAGCAGCAATCAGACCCACCTTCTTTCCGGGGCAAGTGCCACGGCTGCGAGTCGAAGGCTTACCAATGTGCTGGTGGTTACCTCCTCCGTGCGGGTGATCCACAGGGTTCATGCACACACCGCGCACCTTCGGCCACTCATTGCGCTTCACAGCGAACTTGTGGTACGCACGACCCGCCTTCAGCATCGGCTTGTCCATGCGGCCTCCGCCAGCCACGATTCCCACCATGCCACGGCAGCTACGCGTTACAACCAACACAAAGAGAGAAAAACATACCTCGAAGAAACCGTCTTCTTGATGCCCGAGGGCAGACGGATGAACGTCATGCTGCGGTCATCCGAGTGGCCAATCACAGTCACGTAGTCGCCAGAGCAACGAGCCAGACTGCCGCGATCGCCCACCTTGTGCTCCACGTTGCACACAACAGTTCCTTCAGGAAGCTCACGCAGAGGAAGCACGTTACCGACGCTGATATCGGCCTTCTTACCGCAGAACACGCTCTGGCCAGTGAACATACCCTCAGCAGCCAGGAACAGCTCCTTGTCCACCTTGAAGTGGTAACTACCCATTAGCCACCTTCTGTCAAACAAAAATACGGATTGCGGAAAGTGACGCGAGCAAGAGGAGCGCCACGACCGGAATCGTGAACGATCTCTCTCACCACTCCCTTCAAGAATCCGTTGCGCTCAGAATAGTCCAAGGCACGGAATTGAGGCACTCCCTTGCGCAGGTGAGTGTGAGCCTGGAAGACAGCTCCTTTAGCTCCCTTTCTTTGTCCTACACACGCCGTTAGATGAATTCAGCAAGGAACAACAGAAATCACAAAAAAACAAATCAACCGAGCGTAATGCACTACACTTGCTACCCAACCGTACCTCTAATAACACGACCCATGAAAGCTTGTCTTAGTGTGGTTAATACTGATAAGAAGAAAACCACAAAGCAAAATTAGGGTCAGAAAGGGGCAAATGGTCCCTATTAATTAGAGACAAATCGGGAATCAGCCCCAATACGCAGTCTTTTGCAACAAACAATGTACTAGTACGATTTATGGCGCTTGTAATCATAACCTGAATCGTTTCCATATCTCGATCGAGAATCGTTATACCGAGAATTGTAGCCTCCGTCACGATCTCGCTTCCGGTTATCACGATAACCATGGTTGTCTTGCTTTTTGTCCAGATTCTGTCCCTTCGTTATAATATCCTTTACATAGTGTCGAATCTGACCTCCGTCCACCGCACGTCCATATTGACGGCCATCTGAATAACCCCAGTCCATCTCTACACGAATGTTCCTTCCGTCAATCTTTAAGCCACTCATAAAGTCCACAGCATTCTGGGCCGCTTCGTGAGTGTAAAATCTACATCGTTACAATAACCGAGCAAATTAACATTACAAAACAGAATCCACAAGGGGCTAATGTGCGTCGATTGATTCCCATTATCACTTTGTCAATTGGACCACAACAACTAAAAGCTGCAAAAATGCGCTCTTCCGTGGTGGAGAAATTCAAATTACCAACATATATCGTAGAAGAGCTCTTTAAAGCATTGAGTTGATCCTCTTTCGAAGAGAAGTAGTCCCTGTAGAACTTGGGCTCTTTTCGAATCGGAACATTGTAGAGTGTCGCCATTATCAACAGAAACTGAGATCAACAATGAATTGAAAAAGTCCCGCGGTTATGCCTTATCTCACAAAATTCTGTTTCTCTCGTAGGAATTAGAGTGTTGTTGTGTGGTATCATATATTTACCAGCGCATAGGAACCTTCCGCGTAGCAAACGCCCATGGCTGCCAAGACTGTTGCAAAGAGAATCGTAGAAGTATTGGGTGAGCGGGGTGGAAGTAATCGATAGCTATTAGAGATACCGACATGTGGATCTTCAAAGCTTGCCAGCAAGTTGAGCATATTTGAAGGAGATATTACAAGTTTAAATGTGCAGTGTATTGTAAACGATGTAAATAGCGATTTCTCGAAGCCAAGTGGGTTTTTTCGAAAAGAGTCATCGACAGAGGGCGTAGCAAATGTCATTAACAAAGCAGGCGGTCATTTACTCCGAAACGATTGTAAGCGGTTAAAGAAGTGCGATGTGGGTTCTGTGGTGATTGGTCACGGCTTTGATCTTCCGTGTAAATGGGTAATCCACGCAGCATCTCCGACGTAGCTTTGCGTTTGTATGTTTTTCAATCGCAGCGTGTCATATACTCGCATTCATCCCACCGAACTGGAGGAAAGCCAATTATCGAGCTGCTACCGCGAGGCCCTGATGCTGAGTATTAAAAAGAAGATCAGCACGATCGCGTTCCCTTGTCTGGCCACGCGTGCACATCGCTATCCGATCGCCGAAGCCTCGAAAACGGAAATCCAAACGATTCTGAACGTGCTGAAAGAGCAGCCCGACGCCTTCGAGCGCATCGTGCTGTGCACTCACAACGCGCGGGACACCGAAGTCGTGCGCTCCACGCTGGAGGCGCTGTTAGAACCGGACTCGGCTTCCATTGTTTCCAACAAACACTCGAAATCCCATCAATCCCGCAAACCTTCAATCAATCATTCATTCAATCATTCAATCTTTCATTCATTCAATCTTTCAATCTTTCATTCATTCAATCTTTCATTCACTGGCTCAACTCTTGATTCACGAACCCCTTAATCAGCGACGGCGCCATGTACTCCTTCGGCTCCACGCCCACCAGACGCAAACACGTCGCCGCGACATTCTCCACGGAGTACTCCTCCACTACACCTCACTCCCTTCCCTCTCTCTCCCACAATCCTCCTTCTCCAGCGCCTCGCCCCGCGCCGGCACCACCACGCACGGCACTTTCACCACCGGGAACGCGACCTCCTCTCGCTGCGGCACGCGCGTCGCCAGCCCATCGGTGCCCACAATCACCACGGCGTAGCCGTGCTGCGTCGCGGCCTCGCAGACCTGCTTCAGCAGACGATCGATCTCCATGCACATCACCGTCGTCAGCATCTCGCTCTGCTTCAGCGCCGCGACGATCGCTCCCGCGAAGCTGAGATACACGGCGTCGTAGCGCTGCGCCGCCATCGCCATGCACGCCATGCTGGCCACGCCCTACGCCTGATCCGATCGCTCAACGCGAACCTGCATGTGCTGCAGCGCCAAATCGTCGGTCATCTTCTTCTTCTTGATGAGATTGTTGATCCGCACCACGTCGCTCACGCCCTTCCCCTTCTCCTCGCTCTGCAGCAGCTGGAAGAGCTTCGCCGTGTTGTCCTCCATCACGAACAGCTGTCTGCGTGAGCCCTCTTCGCCGCTCTCACCTCTTCCCCGCCTCGCTCAGCGCGCTGCTGAACGCGGGCCGCAGCACGTCGGACGCGAACAGGAACGGACAGGGCATCGAGTCCATCGCGATGAGCATCGCGAGGTGGATGTTCGGCTTCACCGCGGTGCTGAGGAACGCGAGGTTCTTGAGGATGGTCTTAGCGTTGTCGTCGAGCGTCAGCGACGTGTCGCACAGACTGAACACCGATTTCAGAATGTAGTTGCTCGACGTGTTGTGGTTGAACAGCACCACGTGCTACCCGTCAGCCCTCTCCCTCTCTGTCACGTCGCCGTCCTGCAGCTGCGCGCTGGGCGTCAGCAGCGCGGGCGTCAAGTCGCTGTCGGTTTCCTTCGCGTCGTAGCGCTGCTGCAAGTACTCGCTCGCGGACAGCGTCGTGGTGTTCGAGCCCTGCATCAGCATCTTGTAGAACGCTTCCACGCGCGCCAGCAACGCGTAAACGCCGATCAGACCCTGCATGCCGCTCAGAGAACCGAACTTCGCGCACTGCTCCTCCTCCAACCACGACTCAAGGTCCTTCACCACGAGCATGTCGCTGAGGCATCAATCGATTACGAGGAGGGTACGCGTTCTCGGTGCTGCTGTCGTTTCCCGTGAAACCGTGGATGTAGATCTCACTCACTCCGGCGACCTTCGCAGCGGTGACCAGCTCCTTCAGATGCTGCATCTTGCTATATATTTCATTCACAAATTCTTCTAGTACGCTACATCCTCATCTCCCAAACAACCGACAAAATGAATTCTTCCATTTCCTTCTATGACATCGGCGAGCAATTTAGTAAGAGCTTCGCTGGTTTGGAATGTTCCGGCTTCGATCAAGTGGTCCAGGACCGTGTTATTGGGGTAACGTCTCTTTCCAGAGGAAATGACGGACGCAGATAAGGTCGTAGGAGCGGCCTGGTCCTCTTTCAGTCCCACCTACCATGAAAGTGGAAGCCAAAACATACGCACAAACCGGATGCATCCAACTCACGGTAGACGCAATTTTCATTTACCTTCAGAGAATTTAGGTATTCCATGTGGGCTTTCTTCACAGCGTTCCGTTCGTCACTGTCGCTGCAGCCGATCCCTTCTAAAAGGACCATACAAAATTTTCCACCAGCAGGAGCTTCACTCATTGAATATTTAAAACAAGGTAAGGAGGTTTGGGATCCCATATATTACCTATTCGTGAGTGATGAATTGGATTCTCAGCTTTCCTCTGCATATCTTGCTGTAGTCTGCTGCACCTATCCACTATTTGTAGTTTGACAATCGAATACTTGATTCCCGGATATCGGAGCTTTTTAGCACTCGCTCGAAATGAAAAGGAGGAAGTCCGCATGAATTTGCAGTACTGGTACTTTATTGGCTCTGCTATTTCCCTTCAGGACTGTTTTGATGGTTGCCGAGTTGATAATTGCTCCCATCGAACCTATATTCGAAAGACTGTAGTCTATTTTGAAAGGTGTGATGAGTAGATTGTTTAATGCGGATCTTCTCAAAATCCCCTTTTTCATTTGGTTCAGCAATCCAGCAACAATGGGGTACCGCATGTTTTATGATGTGTTGCAGTCGAAAGTCATTTCGCCCTACTCTGAAACAATTGAAGAGCTGTTGTCAAAAGTATCTTCAGAAGTGAACAAATATGTGCAATTAATATCGGATCGTGTTCAAAGGAAACAGGTTGAAAAAAAAGAGTAACACTCGAATCTTTATCTTTGTTAGAACATCTCATGCACTCTCTTCTCTAAGTTGGTTGTGTACGCATCCACTTTCTTGATCATCTTCAACAACTCTTCAGAACTATCATGAACTGCCTCGACATTCGTTAGGAAAGGGGTTAATCCATCCACTAGAATATAAAACAACTTTGAAAAATCGGTACATAGATCACTTCTTGTTTCAAACCACTTTTCCCCTTCGACTTGGATTTGCTGATGAATGTCCTTTAGTTTCAACAACATCATTTTCGTTAACTCGTCCAGATTCTTATACTCACTACTTAGCGCTACGCCAATCACAAATATAGAATGCAATCTACCCGTAATTGCCGTACTTACCGAAGCGACGGAGGAATCGAGCACCGATTGGAAAGAGTCGGTGATTGTCTCTTCTTCTAAAGGCTATGCATCACCATGATCCAGTTGTGGATTCTACCTGAAGCTTACTCTTTGGATCGCTCTCCATAACAATTATGATTCCAACAAAAAACACAACTAAAACATATCACGAAGAATCGCTAACGTTTGGTCCAGCTTCAAAATCGACATGTCCATACAGCACAGTCCGTTCTCCATCTCCGTCATCTGAATCTTTTGCTCCTTGCTCAGATTTCCTCTCTTTTCGACTTCATAAAGGCTCTACTTGTCATCCTTCGCTCCAGCCCTCACCGCATGCTTCATAACCACCACCTTCTGTCGCGATCGTAAATTCAAAATAATGACGTAAATGAAGTCGATAATATTCTTCACCGTATACTCCAAATTCATCGTGAACAAGTAAATCGTGGTCTGCGTGCTATGATCCGGCTTCCTCGGCACTTCCTGCGTGCAAATGAACCGATCATTCAGCAGCGCCAGCACCGACTATTCCTCACTTTCTCCGCTCATTCCCACCGATCGGCAGATTTTCTCGGGCAGCATACAAATATTCGCGATCTCCTGCTCGTCCAGCTTCTTATGCTTGATCAGCGCGCGGATGATGCTCGCGCACACGCGCTGCTCCCTCGCCTACCGCTCAGTTCCTTCCTCGGCATTGCCCACCTCCACGAACGCTGCGATCGTGTCCTCCACGATCAGCTGCATGACGCCCTTGTAGTTCACGCGGTACTCGCCGCCCGTCGCGTCCAGCGCCGAGTCGCACGGCGTGACGACGCTCAGACAGCTCACTCGCGGCGACGCCAGCGCGGCCAGGTGCTTCAAGAAGAGCGTCCACGTGGTCTCCACCTCGCTTTGGAGTCGCGAGAAGGCCTGCTGCCCCGAGAACATCGCCGAGGATTCGGTGCGCGCGTGCGGAGCGATCCCCACCACCGTGAAAATGCTCTCCAGCACCTTCCGCGACGTCGCGTTCAGCTGCACTCGACACGGAATAGTGTTCCTACGCGCTCCTCCACGTACTGCAGGATCAGCTGCTGCTGCAGAATGCACGTGTATCGCTCGATGTTCACGCAGAACAGCATCGATTTCCGCTCGCTGTCCACCGCCGACAGCGCTTCCTTCGGTGCCGGCCTACGCGTTACCCCGTTTCCTCGTTTCCACTCGTCCTTGCTCTTCTTCCCCGGCAATTCCAGGCAGTCGCCCAGCGTTTTTCCGCGTCGTTTCACCACCGGACGGTCCAGATCTTTCCACTCTTTTTCTCCCGCCAGCGCCGCGGCGCGGTTCACTTTCCCTCCACGGCCGCCTCGCGCAGACTTCCCGCCGCGGCCGCGTGTGGGGCGGCTGGTGACGGACTGCGCGGTGAGCTCGGCGTCCTGCTCGCGCGCGTAGGTCGCGATGTCCTTCTTCTGGCAGACCAGGTTGCGAGCGATCAGCATGTCGATGGCACGCTGCAGAGAACCGATGGTGAATTGGTCTGGGGGTAAAAGGAAGACGAGGAAGCTGCCTGGGTAGTTTTGGGTGATGCTGTTGATAATGTCTTCCAGGGTGGCGGCTCCGCGGATTCCAAATTCAGTAATGATGCAGGCGCACTGAGAGAGAATCGAAATTTGTAAAAAATACTTCATCACCCAGCTCTTCTCGGACATATTGAATGAAAGCGCCTAACCGCAATCGATACAGAGCTGCTTTTGTGTCGAACTGCAGTAATCAAAAAATAAACATCAATACAGTATAACGAGCGGAAATCAGCTTCTTGCAATCTACAGAGGGAACGATCGGAACAAGAATGGAGTGAAGCGTCAGAGACAACACGCATTCCGTTGTCTATTCCAGTTAAAGCAGCCTACAGAGCAAACTTACTTTGGCATCATTTGTTTTCGATTTAAATACGTTTCTCGCATTACGCAATATTTCAGGAAATGTGGGATGTCCCTGATTTGATACAAAACGACAGACTTCCTTAGGATGACCCAAACAATTGATTCCCCACTTCAGCAAGAATACCAAATTGGTCCTTTACAATACGCAGTGCCAAATCTTTCGTAGACATCGATTTGACCTATCCAAAAATCAAGAAATCGCCCCGAATTCTGGAATTCCAAACAAACAGGCAAAAGCGAGTAAAACAAAACAACACACACACAATACATCCTCACAAGCATCACTCGTTTCATGAGCAGCACCCTTCGATGTGATATTGAATTTTCCATCTCTCGAATGCTAGCTTTTCTTCACTCCACTTTGGCACTGACAGCATTTGATTTAATAGAAACTCGATGCTCTTTGTGTAGTAAAGGTAAGGATTGCGAACAACTAAATCCAATAATAAGTATAGCGCCTTCTCATCTTCGTGCTTCCGCATATAAATCGAATACAACATTTCTGCAGCTTTACTGATCATCAGCGGGTCTCTACTGCTCAGAAAATAGAAAAATCAACGACTCGCTGAAGCTAATCACTCTCTGCAAACTCTCTTCGGCACGGTCAGACTTCATCATTTTCATTCCTTCCACAAACTCATTCAGCATCGAATCGGAATTCTTGTGGAACATCTCTCCTTTGCACAGATCGAATTTCGAGTCGGGCGCATTCTCTTGAAGAAAACAATCCAAAAGGTGGAAAAGGAGAACGAAAGTGGGAAGTTGGAGGGAAAAGTGGATGGGAAGCCAGTTTGCCACAAGATTTTTTACTTGAGAGAATTTAACTATATTCTATGAAGAGTTGCTAAGACTGTGTACATTTCGAAGCGTAATAGTTCAAGAGCTTGTCCTCGATGGAGATGATCATGGAGGTAGCCTAGATTACTCATGCTAATAAAATCGACTTCCTCTTTAGAAAGTTGTAAACAGCTTCGATAGAGTGGAGAGTCATCCTCATTTTCTTGGATGCAATTAAACAACATGGAGAGATAGCGGAGCAAGAAGTTGCACTCCTCTATCTCAGAAGCACCGATCTGAAACAAAAAATCGGCATAAAGCACGGCCAGCCGAAATGGCCATCCACCGAGAGAGTAGACCTTGGTGTTATCCAGGAAGGATTCTGGAAAGGGAGCCAAGTCTTCGAAGCAAGTGACATCCATGTGGCAAATCTCCGAAAAGCAATGATTGAAGAGAGGGCACAACTCGCTGGCCAGAGCATTGGTTTCCTTGGGAGATTGGCTAGCGGGGATTGCGCTACCTGTATTGCCTGTACTGCTTGTATTACCTGCATTGCTTGTATTGCTTGCACTACTCGCTTGATGAATCTTCTGTAAACTGAGAATCATGTAATACTATGGAGCAGAACACACGCTCAGCCTACGCTAGTCAGCACGTCTTGATACTGGGTCGATGAGAAATGCTCAACGATCGTTTGAAACATCAACTTCGAAGCGAGATAGCTAATGTCATCCAGCACGACCTCACAACAGTTGATTTTGCAATGGCTCAAAAGCCTTTTGAATACAGAGTCCTTTCCACTCTAAATGGAAGCAAACGATCGACCAAACCTCATCATTCATAGAATCATCGGAGTAGGTGGCATAAAGAGAAGAACTCGCTGCATATTACTTCACCGACAAAATAAAAATACACTTCGACTCTCCTAGCGTATGTTTCAAAAAGGGATTGTACCCAGGCGTTTGCACGGTATTTCTTGTAAATGGATTGACGGGTTTGTTCACATCTACAACGAAAAGCAGCAATGCTCCAAACTCTTGTTAAACGGGTTTTCTGCCTTTTGATCACTCACCACAGGCGATTTCTCTGAGGAGTGAGAAGGAAACAAACGGGAAGTACCAATCCACTGGGAGGAGGTCTGGGTGGTCGTTGCGGCTGTTTCAAAGAATTGCTCAGCGTCCTCGCTCGCATCCATCACTGTCCTGCTCCTACAAGAAACAATTTTCTAAGGTTATGTTTGCAAGCCGTAATCTACGTAATGTAGATGTGATATCCTTCTGTGATATTTGAAAATAAAATAAAGAGTCGAACACGCAAATATCAGGCGTTTCAAAATCGAACCAATACAACATAATTATTATTACTATTATTGGAATACTTATTTGTATTTTTGGTACAAATGAACGAATCCAATGCAGACGAGCCGGATTCATCGTCATCGAAACATTTGAATGCTCCAACACAACTAAACGCAAATCCCGTGAATCAAGTCTTGGTAAATCGAAGGACCCAATCACAGCAGAGAATATACATCGAGATCCAACCCAATGATGCAGTGGCCGAGGTGCTCTCTAGTTGATGGAAATTCTTTGTAGATGGGGAATGTTGGCATTTCTCGCAGAATACAGTCAAGTCGAGATGATTCATCCCATTCGATTCGAAGTGGGATAGGAACCATCGTACTTTTAGATTTTAAAAAATAAGCACTCTTAGATTTTTAATAGCTATCAAGAGCCAAACTCATCAGACCGCGATATCTCTCGCATTAAATCGGTATGATCTCTGGAATCTCCGATATCGCACAGCCCTCCTCCCCTCGCCGTGAGGTTCGCGACCCCCGAGAGTCCCGCGACCTCCGCGAAATCGAGGAATCCAAAGTCCTCCGCGACCAGCGCAATTTCTTCCGCAACTGCGCAATCGGCCTTGTGGAGCTTCTCGGTTTCTCTCTCTCTCTCTCCTTTCTCTAACAAACAGACAAAACATCGGCGCCCGTGCGCTTCGAGCAGGGCGCGGAAGTCCTGAAATGCGGCGTGCTGCTCAAGAAATCGTCCCACAATCTCTTCCGGCTCTGGAAAGAGAAGCTCGTCATCGTAACCATCGGCAAGATCATCTGGTTCCCGCTCCCTTCCTACCGCCGACGCGCCAGCGACATCACCATCACCGATGCCATGCGCGCCCAGCAGCGCGAGCTCGGTATCCTTGTCCTCTCCTTCTCATCCAGTCCTCGACGAGCACACCGAATTCCGCGGGAGCCTCTCCCTCAACCCGCGCAAGGCGCGCGGCTTCGACGTCCTCACCAAGCGCGTCGCCGAAACGCCGCTCCAGCTCCGCTCCGTCGATTCGCTCCGCAGCTACATCCACTCCACCTCCCAGGCAGATTCTGCCGTGACGCCCTGCCACGCCGCCACCGCGGAAGACGACGAAGAAAACGTCGAGGAAACCGCGGAAGACCTCGAGGAAAAACACTTCCGCTGCCAGAGCGACGAGGAGCGCGAGTCCTGGCTGCGCGTCCTCCGCCAAGCCAGGTTTCCCCGTTTCCCCTTTTCGAGGTAGACTGGGCCGGTTCCACGACCCGTCGATGTGGTTCAGCCAGCACGTCTTCACCGCGGTGCGCGACCTGGCGGGCCGCGCGGCGTCGCTCGCGGAGCTCTGCCTGGTGCTGCGCACGCTGGAGGGACTGCCGCTGCGCGTGCCGGTGTACTTCGTGCAGTCGCTCTCGCAGGGCTGCCGCGGGCCATCGCAGGACCCGCAGCTCACGCAGCTGATCCGCGACCTCGGACGCGAGGCGGTGATCATTAATGACCGGGAGTTCCGAGCACTGGGCAGTGACGAGGAAGGCCAGGATTTCGCGTCGAAGGTACTCTTCATTCTCGGAGAGTCCGTGCGGAGGGCAGATTCCACGATGCGCGAGTGGGACGCGCTGAGACTGGCACGGAAAGCACTGCTACGCACGTATCGGAGCCAGACGGGCGGCGATTGCTTCGATGCAGTGAGTACGCTGCTCGGGCATTGCCAGCTCGCTGTGGTGGCGCCGGTGAACGTGGCGGCGTCGAAAAACCCAATTCGGATCTCGGTGACGGAGCAGATCCCAACGGTGAGCGATGTAGGGAAGAGAGGCGGAAATGACGCCGTCAGAGCGAAAATCGGGAAGGTCCGTATGTGACGTCGCGCGTGGTGTCGTTTTTTAATATTTGTGAAAGAGCGAGTCGGAGGGAAATGTTTAATGTGAAAGCCACGGTGACGTCGGTGGTGGGGAAGGAAAATTACGACACGCCGTGGGTGATGGAGTTCGTGGTGACGGAGTGCAAGGACACTCGAAAAGCTTAGTTGAAATCTTGTTAGTTTGATTGTCTGTTTGAAGTTAGTTGTACGATATGTTTGTTAGAATGACGTTGAGTGGATCGACGGAATGGAAATAAAATGGAAACAAAAAAACGATCCCCTAACATGACTGCTGTTTCTATTTTTTCAAAGTTAAAATAGGTTTAAGAATTCTAGAATCAGCTAGTTAGATGCAGCTGGCCCTAAATGTTATGTTATTACAAACTACAAGATAACAAATCGACATTCTACGGGTGAATGGCTGCCAAAAGGCTCTCCTCGTGTTCTTTATACGATATGCATCCCATTGGGTGTGTCCCTCCGTTTGAAAGATTCATTGAAAGAATATCTAATTAAGGCCTGAAACCCTGGCTATAGCATCTTCAGGACGATACCTACTTAACTACAAAAAACGGAGGATAGAATCTTCTACGCACTCGATAGGGTACAAATCAAAAACACATTATTTTTTACTGCGTAACAAATACCCTTAAGAGTTCCCGCTGCGTGGAACCATGGATGATTTTTATTTTCTTGATATGCAGCAAGCATATTATAGCTATTTGATAACCATGATAGATGATAACTCTTCGGTAGGATCGGCGTCCACGAATCATGTGTAGAGGAGAGAAGATATCGATCACCAACTCTATTTTAGAAAGAGTAACCCACAAGCACTTCGGGTTTTTATTGCCTAGTACTTGCGATTTTGAGTCCTAATTCCTTAGTGTTTTTACCAACATGAATTGTAGTTTAGAAGTCTATGTCCTTTCTTTATTATACCTTGAAAGACTTCATGAAAAATGTCCTTGCTTACTCTGCTATAACAATGCAGAGCTCTTAATTTTGATATCGTACGGTTGTTTCCTATTCCATAAGGCGCAGGATAATTCTTGCTCATAAATATCACGAAGAGACTAGCTATTGTCCTTCCTTTTACACTAAGTTAGCGAATGTGCCTATTTCCCACCTTAATCGTTTGGAAGTTGATTTCATTAATCGTATCGAGTTCGCGCTCTACGTATCTGCCTCCGCTTATTATAAGTTTTATCGTCGTTTAACGTCTCTTACGACATCTCCTACCACTCCTTTTCGTACTTCTTTACCCTCTCCCTTTTTAATCCCAGCGAATATTTGCTTACCCTCCCTTTTATCAGTTCCAACTTCTGCTAGTTATTCTCTTATCTATGCAAACGATCCTCATGAATTCCAGCGACGTGCCCGCTTTTTCCAGTACCAGCAACTCTGTCTCCCTCAGATTTACGCGATCCCCGCGGGAACGTTCCCATCAACCTTTTTGAGTCAGGGAGCGACCTGCGGTCGTCTCGGTTCTGTCGAACCCTCGCTTTGCTACTCTGCCGCTTGTTGTGGCTATGATCAGTATCCGGTCAAACAAGATGTCCCGATCGGCTGCGTATTTACGGGAGTGTGCTGTTTTGTGGGCGTACAGGTGCAAAAGCCAGTTTTCGTGACTGGAGTACGCTGGGGAGTACCGATGCAGTGGAGATAGAGCCTTGATTCAGTGAACTTTTGATTTTGTCGTGCCAGTTGTATATTCACTCAGTGTAAAGATCAATGAAACTAATGGGAGTGTTTGTTTGATACGTTGAGAGAGAGTTGGGTGCTGATGTCGTTTTCCAGCGCGAGATGTGGAGCTACCGGAGTGTTGTAGCAGGAATCCAAACAAAAATAAAGAGAAAAGGTGTGAACTACAAAGCTTGTTTCTCTTTTGTTGGTTCCCGCGGGAATTGCAGATTGGAGTTTTTGTCAATTTCGTGTCGAATTGAAGGATGTTTGCTAGATTGGTTCGTAAAATACCTGTGCAGAGACTTGTGCGATGCATCCATGAAGAGGCAGCGCAAGAAGCCGCTCCCAAGATGTTTGGTGTAGGGAGAAATAATCTTTGAGTTATGAAATAGGGAAAGCACGCGAGAGAGTCGTGGGAACTCCCCACATATATCTTTTTGGCCGGTGGTATGGTGATGGGAGCGATTGGTCTCTGGGCTCAGAAGAACACCTCAATCACTACATGGGCCAGAGAGAAGGCGTCCAAGAGACTTGAAAATTAAGTTTACAGAAGGCAGAGCGAAATCAATATTGTATAAAGGAACGATAAAGTATCAACGTCGTGTTTGTTCCAACGAAACAGAGCACCCTTCTCCCAAAAACTTATCAATCTGTTCAGACGACAAATTCAGTGTGCGCAAATAATCGCGAAGCTTCTTCATATTTTCCGGCGTATTCTGCACCTCCGGAAGTCTCGCCACTCCGTCCGCATTTCCAGAGACCCTCGCGATGGAGTTGAGTAGATTCTGATACTCCCGATCTCCCTGCACGTTCTTCGCAAACAAATTCCGCAGCTCCTGCCTTCCGCTCGCCGTCATCGTGCGTCTCGACGCGTTCGCCACGCTCGGACGCTTCGCCTGCGCCGACGCGGCCTCGCCTCGACTCTCTCGATCCCGCAATCGCGCGATTTCGTCCACTGAATAGATGCTCATCACATCGAAAAGCTCGAAATCGTCCTCAGCACCGCTCGGTTTCTCTGGTTTCTCTGGTTTCTCTGGTTTCTCTGGTTTCTCTTTTTGGGGAGGGACTTGAGAGCGTTTCCGGGGTTTCTCGGCCTTTCCCAGGTTCTTCAATTTCTCCGGTTTCTCCAATATCTCTTGTTTCTCCAATTTCCCTGATTTCTCCGGTTTCTCCGTTTGCACACACCCTTGACTTCGCTTGAGAGGTTTCTCTGGTTTCTCCAGTTTCTCCAGTTTCCCCCATTTCGCGCTTGCATTGCCGCCCTCGGGTTTCCCCGCATTTCTCCTCTCTCCACATCCCCGTCTCCCCGGTTTCCCCGGTTTCCCCGTTTCCCCGTTGCCTGAAAAAGCGCCCTCTCTCTCGACGTCCCCCTCGACGTGCCCCAAATTCATGAGCACGTCCTCGGCGTCGTCGATCACCACGCTGCCCGACCGCTTCTCCAGCTTCCTGCGGAGCTCCTCGCTGAGCACTCCCTCCGCGGCGGGCTCGCGCGGCTCCTCCTCGCTCTGCGCGCGTCTCTGCTGCTCGATCTGCCGGTACCGGAGGATATCGCCCTCGTGGAAGAGCGCGAGCGCGAGCATGCGGTTGCCCAGCAAGTACTCCTCGACGTCCTGCTCCTCCACCGACAGGCCGCCGCGCCGCGCAGCGAACGCCCACACCGCGGAGGGCAGCAGCGAACGCCGCGCCGAGGACAGGCGCTTGATGGACTGCAGCTGCGCGCTGTAGACGAGCGACCGCGACCCCACGAAGCTGCCCTCGACGCAGCGACCCGCCTCCGAGGCCCAGACGCGAAGCGTGGAGCAGCCGGGACCGAAGGAGGGCGACGAAGACGCCGGCAGAGAAGAGGAAGAAGAAGAAGAAGAAGAAGAAGAGGAAGAAGGTGGGGGTAAAATCGACGACGAGGATGGTAAAATCGACGACGAGGATGGAGGAAAGGAGGGTTGAGGGGATGAAGGTGGAAACGGAGAAACCGGTTGGGAGGGAGGAGAGAAATGGGCGAAGTGGATGGATCCGCGGGAATCGCCGAAGAGGAGATTGGCGTGGGGGGAAACAAAGGAGGCAATGGTGGAAACGGGGAAAGGGAGGGACTGGAAGAGAAGGAGCTGCTCGGTACGAAGGCTCCAGGCCTCTAGAAGGCAGCGAGAGAAGGAGATACGACGAGATGATTGGCCGTGTCCAGGCAGAGAAGAACGTCGTCGAGGAGGACTGCCGAGAAAAGGGGAAACGGGGAACCGGAGAGATCGTGGACCAATGAATTGGACTGCAGATCGATGAGCTGGAAGTGAAGGAAGAGATAATGGGAAAAACATAAAGATGACAATTCTTCGTAGCGAGGCAGGCGAAGCCAGCACAATAAAACGCGGATTCACAAGGCGTGTCTGCCATAAATAGGCTCGAAAATTGGAGAGATATGGTGGAGGATAAGAGAGGGAAGGACTAGGGAAAGAGGAGGAAGGGAGAATGTACGATGATGCTTCCATGCTCATCGATGAGGTATATAGAACTATTCAGTTCGAAACAACAGATAACGTGATCCACGTTTAATCTGTTTTCTCCAACTACCAAGCCAGATATATTTGTTATCTAGATCAAAGGAAGAATAGAAACGTACGACAACTAGACCTGAAGTAAAAACAAGGAAAATTCGGTAATTTGACATAAAAATACCACACACTGTTTCAACCATAGATAGATGAAAAGAAAAAAATATCTCTCGGTTCTCCAGGTTATAGATCTACTTCGAAACCGAGAAAAAAACAAAACAAAGACACGATTATCTAAAGAAGTGGATATCAACCAATTCTGGTAGATACAAACAGCTGTAAACTGAGAGGAATCAGAATGAAGTAAACACTGGATAGAATCATCTTTTAGGTCAACACACTACATCCTCAGTTCAAAAACATTCCAAAACTTTAATATCACAGGACTGGGAATGGATCAAGAGAAGGGACTCAAATGAGAATATCTTCTTTGTTTCCCGCTCCGATACTTTCAATTTCTTTAAAAATCTCAATCGTTCCATCTCTAAACTATATTTACAAAACAAACAATTTACTATACAATTATCCTTTACCTTTTCTTTTTCTTTGTTTCTTTGTTTCTTTGTTTTCTTTCTTTGTTTTGTTTATTTATCTTTAGTCGGAATTAGTTACTCATTCATTCATTCATTCATTCATTCATTCATTCGAACTCCAGTTATTATCATCACTCACTCACTCATTCTAATTGTCTCCATCCATTTTAGGAGCCAAATAGAAACAGAGATTACCTAAACCTTCGATCGTGTATTCCACTTTCAATGGCATTTCGTTTGTTAATGTAAGCTTCACACGCTCAGATAACGAACTCGCTTTCGTAAACATTATCAAATAACGAAGAGCAAACTTTTGTTCGATTGCTTCTTTCATGTCGATCGAAACACCGTTCTTACCTTCCATACTTTCACCTTGACGAAGCGTCACACTTCCTTTACCAATATCACCATCAACACTGAAACGAACTCCTTCTTTCGTTACACTGATACAACAAGAATCTCCAAGTGTACCCAAATCGCGACACAAACGTTGGAATTCACTCGAATTCATACTTATCACAGATTGACTTTCTTCTTCAGGAATATCCAAATGCTCTGCATCCAAATCGATCAATTTCAATTCAAAATTGCTTATACGATCAGCATTCTCGTTCTCAAATTCCAAAATCAAAGTGTCACCTTCATCTTCAGCTTTCAGTGATATCATGTCCCCTCCGTCAGCACACTTCAATATTTTAGCTATTGAGCTCATTCGAAGTCCCATTGTTAGTGTTTGGTCACAACGATAGTGAGTGAAGCCCTCCTTACGTAGACAAAGCGTTATCAGCGATACATGAGACGAATCCATTGCCTATTCATCGTTTCATTAAAACAACACTACTTGAACAGCTATCTCGTTATCCGAACATTCAAAGTTCGCATCCGATACTAAATCCTTCATTGCATCGATTATTAGCTTCAAAATGTTTCCCTGGGCAAGTCTTGCTTCGAACATTCTTTCTATACTATTGTGAGTATATTTCAATATAGAATCAATAAATAGTTACATTGATAAATAGATAAGTTGGAATGGAATAGAATAGAAATGTTGTGAATGGATGAAATGAATTTGGCGGTTGTTTTGCCGCGTATTTGATTCTATCGATTTTTGGAATTGTAAAAATAGGGTGATTGGAATATGAAAAGTGAAAGAATGAAAGAATGAACGAATGAACAAACGAACGAATAAACAAACGAACAAGTAATCCCGAATAGAATGAATATGGATATAATATAGATATGAATATAGAATATAACAATAATAATGATTGAAACAAACTAATAATGTGTTGAAATCGAAAACACAAATTGGAAAACAAACAATTTTGATAGTAAAAGAATATGAGTGAAAATCGAGGAGTTGTAATAGTGGAGGCATCGAGTCCAAGAAGTATTGGAGAGAGTGTTGAAGTGTTGAATGGAATTGTAGTGTACGAAGCTCTAAATATGCAAATGATAATATAGAGAAAGTAATGGTAATAATGGAAATATAAATTCGAATGGATTCATCGAAGCAGTCGAAGTGTAGTATATCGAAATGAAAGCATAATAAATAGAAATAATGGAATGAATGTCGACGAAATGAACGATCTAGCAGTGGAAGGAGAAGTGTTAAAGAGTGAAAATGGTGCTGTGGTTGAAGGTGTAATAATTCCTCCGGATAAAGATGGAGATAATATGGAGAGTTTTGAAATCGAAGCAGGACTTGTCGATTTTGACCCGTAAGTAAAGTAGTGTAATAATGAAATAGGATTCTTCAATTAGAGCTAGTGAGTCTAATATCAATAACAAGAACATGTCGACTCTTGTTGTATTTGAACTTGTTATGTTGTATATCGCTTTTGGTATTATTATGTATTGACAAATCGTATTTGTATTTGATATGTGGAGTTTTGAATGTATTGATTGGAGTGTTGGTGTTGATATGGTCATATCGCTATTGTTTGAAATTATACATAGCAATATCCTTAATAGAACAATGAATTGAATGATAATAGTGTATGTGTATGTGTATGTGTATGTGTATGTGTGTGTATACGATATATAAAATGGTTCCTTGACAATAGTGTTTGATTTTGTTGGTAGTGTCGATGGTGTCGATGTTTGTATATCCGATTGTGGAACTTGTGTTTTTGAAAGAAATAAGCACAGTGAAAATGATAACGATAGCGGTCCACACAATAAGCATAATAATGAGTGTAACGATTGTTTTCGTGATGTAAGTAAAAGGTGTTTGAGTTTGGAATCTTTTGGATATTGAAACGCGATATAAAACGAATTCCGCGTAAAGGTGAAAAGTAATGGAACGGAAATGAGATATAGAGCGTGAATATATAAAGTTTATGGAGAAAGAAAACAAAGGAACAATAAAGCCTTCGTTGTAAAGTGAATTGAATTGTAAAGTTTTGTTAATGATGTTGTTGTTTGTTGTTTGTTGTTGCATATGAGATATGAAAGTAATATAAAGTAAAAACGAATGGTTGTTTAAAATGGAGTGATATTTGAATATTGAATGAAATGGAATGAATGAAAAGTAATTTGAAAGAATGTTTGACACGAAGCTGCGAAGTGGATTCATTACTCCACATAGGCTCAAACGAATTCCATTTACTTGGCCTCAACAGAGTTTGAATCACATTGGAACTACAAGAATCCCTTGAAACACAAGATTATCTACAAATGATTGTGTTATCGGTAATAGAGTCCAGGATTTGGCTATAAATGCTTTAAAAATCCTGTATTATTAAGAAATAATCACATTCCATATTCTTCAACAAAAAACTACTACAAACTTATTTTAAAACATTTCCTATCATGGCTGATACTGCAGAAGAACTCCATTTGTTACAGAATACATGGGTTATATCTGAACAATATCAACAGGAAGAGAAAGCTGATAAAGCTCGCGATTATGAGAGTTCGTTTGAGAAGATCTGTTCATTCAACACGATCGAAGATTTTTGGGGTTATTGGAACAAGCTTCCGCGAATTTCGTATTCTTGTCGTATTCGCATTTGATGTATCTAGGGATGTATTCTTTGACGGTAATGAAAAGATTGTAATCCGAAATGACGAAAGAAATCCTGGCGAAGGAAGTCGAAAGTACAAAGTAGTTTTGAATGGTAATGGATAATGAATATTAGATCCAGAGCCAGTGTCTATTCAAGGAAGGAGTTGAGCCAAAGTACGAAGACGCTCAGAACCGTCGAGGAGGTAATATGCGTGTATTATTTGGAAGTATGATAGTTGTTGGTAATGATAATAGTAATTGTGTAGAAGAGGATCACGCGAAGTTGTCGGATGTTTGGGAAACAGTGGTTCTGAGTCTGATCGGTGAAAGTCTTGACGATGGGGATAACATAACGGGCGCTCGTGTGGTTGACAAATCGGTTCCGTATAAGAAACAAATCAATCACCGAATTGAGATTTGGTTCCGTGAGTGGAACGACGAAGGTTTCCGCAATGTATTGAAAGAGCGAGTGGAGGGAATATTGCGCGATAATGGACTGGAAGGGCGAGAAATCTCGTTCTATCAAAACGATTATTCGAAATGGAAGTGATGGAAGCGATTGTTGGATTGTTTGTTGGATTCTTGGATCGATTGTAATTGAATGAATGAATGAATGAATGGATGGATGGATGAATAGAATAGAAGGGACTCAAATGAGAATATCTTCTTTGTTTCCCGCTCCGATACTTTCAATTTCTTTAAAAATCTCAATCGTTCCATCTCTAAACTATATTTACAAAACAAACAATTTACTATACAATTATCCTTTACCTTTTCTTTTTCTTTGTTTCTTTGTTTTCTTTCTTTGTTTGTTTATTTATCTTTAGTCGGAATTAGTTACTCATTCATTCATTCATTCATTCATTCATTCATTCGAACTCCAGTTATTATCATCACTCACTCACTCATTCTTTCTAATTGTCTCCATCCATTTTAGGAGCCAAATAGAAACAGAGATTACCTAAACCTTCGATCGTGTATTCCACTTTCAATGGCATTTCGTTTGTTAATGTAAGCTTCACACGCTCAGATAACGAACTCGCTTTCGTAAACATTATCAAATAACGAAGAGCAAACTTTTGTTCGATTGCTTCTTTCATGTCGATCGAAACACCGTTCTTACCTTCCATACTTTCACCTTGACGAAGCGTCACACTTCCTTTACCAATATCACCATCAACACTGAAACGAACTCCTTCTTTCGTTACACTGATACAACAAGAATCTCCAAGTGTACCCAAATCGCGACACAAACGTTGGAATTCACTCGAATTCATACTTATCACAGATTGACTTTCTTCTTCAGGAATATCCAAATGCTCTGCATCCAAATCGATCAATTTCAATTCAAAATTGCTTATACGATCAGCATTCTCGTTCTCAAATTCCAAAATCAAAGTGTCACCTTCATCTTCAGCTTTCAGTGATATCATATCCCCTCCGTCAGCACACTTCAATATTTTAGCTATTGAGCTCATTCGAAGTCCCATTGTTAGTGTTTGGTCACAACGATAATGAGTGAAGCCCTCCTTACGTAGACAAAGCGTTATCAGCGATACATGAGACGAATCCATTGCCTATTCATCGTTTCATTAAAACAACACTACTTGAACAGCTATCTCGTTATCCGAACATTCAAAGTTCGCATCCGATACTAAATCCTTCATTGCATCGATTATTAGCTTCAAAATGTTTCCCTGGGCAAGTCTTGCTTCGAACATTCTTTCTATACTATTGTGAGTATATTTCAATACAGGATCAATAAATAGTTACATTGATAAATAGATAAGTTGGAATGAAATAGAATAGAAATGTTGTGAATGGATGAAATGAATTTGGCGGTTGTTTTGCCGCGTATTTGATTCTATCGATTTTTGGAATTGTAAAACACCAACAAATTTTCAACAAACAACACCTAATGTACATTGGTGGACATTTTCATCGCTTCTCTCTCCTGCCAAGCAGCTACCTCCTGTTCAATGGCTTTACCTTCCGCTTCAGCTTCCTTGATCAGCAACGAGCCATCATCTTCGTCTCTAAAACCATAGTAATCCATCGTAATCATGCTGTAGAGCTCATAACGACTCTTTTTCGGCACCTACAAAATCACAGGGAAAAGTGGAATTCCACTTCTTCTGGATCCTTTTTCATTGCTGCTCGGACTTCGGGAAGGTCTTTCGCTGCACCGTAATATCTGTTTCGTTACGGAGGACCAATATTCACTACTTATATGTGTTGCCTCCTCCAATAAACAAGGCGGAGTCAGGTTCTTCATCTTCATCGTTTTGATCAGCTGCATCACGGATTGATCCTCCCAACTCTCGAATACGACGATCCCAGTGACCTTTTGAACGAATTAACCGATTAATCTCATCGTTTAAATCTCGAATGGTGTTAGGAGGCAGATTGGCTATAGAATAAGTGGCAAATCAAATGAGCTATACGGTTGTTGATTTGACCGATCTTTTTCTGAATCTCCTTTACTACATCATTTCTCCAATACAAGCACTCAGTGGCAGTCTTGCACTCGTATGCAGAGAGAGGCCGATGCCTAAATGAAACCGAATAATGCAGGAATACGCTGTTTGACCCATTCGCATTCGGTGCACACTGGTGACCCACTTATTCATCAGTGTATGCGCTTTTTCCTGTGTTCGGGCCATTTGAACAGTACTTTAGACAAAAAGTGAAAATCCCAAATTGTTTTTTGTTTTGAATTAATGTCCTATCATTTACGGAAATGGAATGAGAGGAAGAAGAACGGACCATGCCCTGTTGTCGATAAGTTATATTATCTTCCGTATCCTGTTTTTGAGAAAATATTCTTGTAGATACGTTAAAGATAACGAGCCTGTCGCAGCTATTATGAAGAAGTTTGAAATGATGGAAAACATCAGAAAGAAAGAAGAGGATGAGAAAGAAACAAACTCCTCTAAAGTAAGTTTGTATTAGCAGTGTTTAAACTGTAGGTTACAAGAGAGCAGGAAGACTTGTATGGTGATGAGTAGTTATTTGCTTTCGTATGGATTGTAGTGGTGCATTGGGCGAAGAATCACTCCACGAGCTGTATCGTAAAATCGGTACCGTAATGGATGATCCCCAAGAAGAAAAAGCAGAACTTGGAGACGAGTTGTTCTCTTCTGGTTTCCTAACATCCAGCGATTTTCAGTACATTGAAGAAGAAGACGAAGACGATTTCATATACTTTGATGATCTTGACGATGAGTACCACGTTTCTCCTTTTCCTCACTCTGCAGCGTAATGCGAAGGCACTTACGTTACTCCAACGCATTTCGCTATGTTCTTTCCCATAGTCGCCAATTGGTCGAGACCATTTCTCCCCTCTCCGTCCCTCGGTTTCCCCGTTTCCCCATTTCTCATGTAGAAAATGCTACCGAATCGACGAAGATTCCACCGGGGACGTTTCGCTCCATCCCATCGGTGAAACCACCGTTCCGTACCCCTATCTCTACATTCGCGTCCCAGCGTACCTCCGTTTCCACGTTTCTCCGTAGAACGATTCCTTCGACGCTCTGTCGCACGGTTCTTCCCTATACTCCGCCCAATTCCCCCACGGTTCTCTACACTCCGGACCCGCTTCGCTTCAACTTCCTCTCCCTGAACAAGCAGTTCAACGTTTCCCCCGTTTCTCCCTTTGAGCTAGGTGATTTTCTTCGATATCCCTACCGATTTTGACGTGCTTCGTCTTCGCACTGTCCATTTGCCCCGCGCGCTGATCGCGGAAGGCTTCGTTTTGATTTGGGCGGACTACTCCACGCTCTCTACGCTCCTCGACCTCTTCGAAAGCAAGGGCTTCTTCTACGTGGAGAATCTATCGATGATCTATCCTCACACGGAGGATTCGCCGGCTGTTTGGAAGGCGTGATGAATGAGAGATAGACGCAAACGTCGCTGCTGCGGTCGCGGAAGCGAATGCTGCTGCTGCTTCGGCGAGGCAGAATGGTCGGGAAGGGGAACATTGTGTTCGACCCGGTGGATCTGCGCCATCAGCGCACGGTGGACGTGGTGTTCGCGGCGTACAGCGAGAATCCGAGTAGAGCAAAGCGAGGAGTGCGAGGTAGACTCGTTGATGCAGCAGAGCGTGTATTCGATGATCGAGACGCTGGTTCCGCGCGGTGAAGACGGAGGGCTGAAGAACCGCAACGAATATCTGCAAGTGTTCGGCAAAGGAAGCAATGGACGGCCGCACTGGGTCGTGATCCTCGAACAGCCATGCTCTGTTTGTAACAAACACTCGAATACAGGTGGGAAGGGGCTCGCTCCATCTCCGGTTCCATCGCGATGGGCTCGGGATGCGAAGGCACGGACTCGATGGGAGGAATGATAATGAGATTGGGGTGGGCGACTTGCTGCTCGTTGAGAAGATCCAAATCGACGTGATCCATCTGCGTCACAAACAAATCAGGCTTCTCTTGTATCAACGGGTTGGGCTGGATAATCGGCTTGGAGGATTGGGCCAACGTTTCCCTATCGATCATTCGTTCAAGAGCAATAGTACTGGTCATACAGAGCCTTCTTTGACTTCGGAATTCGACCCAAAATGATCATATGATCCTTTCGATACTGCGCATTCTCCAGCTTCAACGCTTTGTTGCTCTCCAAAACCGCGTGCAAATGGCTCTCCATCTTCTCTAATCGCTCCTAAACTTCGCAAAACACAAACAAGCAACACCTTATTCCGCTGAAGAACCTTCAGGTATTTCTCACGAAGCTGCTGCTCCACCTGAGATTCGGTTCCTTTGCTGTTGTGCCAGACCGCTTGATGCTTGCGAAGACTTTTGACTGACGAGAAACAGCGATTACAATTATTTATCTTACATTTATAGGGCTCCTCCTCCTCATGTAGACGACGATGGGCGTCTAGCAATCAAAAATGTAAAAAAAAAGTTCACCTAAATAGTCCCGAGACTTGAATGTTTTGTCACAACCGGGATGAGGGCATTTATATGGTTTGGTGTGATCATGGCTGCTCGCGTGGCGCTTTAGGCCGCATTTTTCGGAAAAACTCTTCCCACAGCCGGGGTAATTACACTTAAACGGCTTCTCTTTTGTATGAGTACGAATATGGCGAGTAAGCCCCCACTGTGAATCAAAGGACTTTCCACAGCCATCAAAAGAACACTGAAATACCTTGGGTCGTCGGCGCTTAGAATCTGTATTTACTTTTTGAATTGGAACATCTGCTATATCTTGTACAATCATTTGTGCCGGGAAAGACGTGAGGGCAGCATTAGGCAAGGGCTGAATTCCAGGCAAATCACTTGGAACCACGATCTTTCCGGCTTGGTGGTCATATCCACTGGCTACGCCAATGGAGGAAGGCAATCCCACAATTCCTGAAGTTTGAATAGGTACAGCTGAGTTCTCTTCGTTATTTACATAATCCGTCGAAAAATCATAACCTTGGTTCCTAAAATCGTAAATCTGTCAGAAAATCGAATACATTAGCCTCCTCTGCTTGTTGCTCAACTTCTGGTGATCTGCTTCTGAATCTGACTACTCTCTACGGTTTGACCCCTGTCACAGCCGAATATGAAGTAACAATGCGTGCCCAGAAAACCGCGGTTTCAAACAAACAATCCATTTAGGGACAATTTACATTAACTTGTATCCATCTTGTGCTCACTACGTACGGGTTCGGCATATCTCCTGCAACGGGGTCATAGGTCACATAGAAATTCAGGCGTACCCAGTATACCGAACCTAGACTTTAGAATTTATGAAGAAAAAGTACCTCTTGCCACGTTCACCGTGTATGTGGGAGGACAACTGGTGCTCGTACAATTCGGAATCTCATAGCTGGTGCTGGGAGTTTCTTGAGTCGTAGTCTGTACAGGAGCGATCGACACGGTGACCCTATGTATGATCCATCTATCTTTTGCCCCTACTTGTTCACTGTACCCAGGTTAAGCAAGGACTGGAAGCTCGGAATCGTCACTTCAATTGCACACGACGTGCTGGAAGCACGAGGAAGCAATGCCATGGAGGCTTCTATCGTCTGCGTGAGACGCTGTTCTGCCAGCAGAGAAGGCGCGGGACCGGTAGCTCCAGTCACTCCAGGCTCTCCGCTTGGTCCCATCGGTCCTTGTGGTCCAGGCTCTCCGCTCGGTCCCTGCTCTCCAGTCACACCCGGATCACCCGAAGGTCCCATCGGTCCAGAGGGTCCAGAGGGTCCAGTCGGTCCAGTGGGTCCAGTAGGACCGGGTTCTCCAGAAGGTCCTTGTGTTCCGGGTTCTCCAGAAGGTCCAGTAGGTCCAGGCTCTCCCGTGTATCCAGGCTCACCAGAGGGTCCAGTAGGTCCAGGCTCTCCGGACGGACCAGGCTCTCCAGAGGGTCCTTGCTCTCCCATTTCTCCCACATCTCCTTCAATACCGGGCACTCCACTGGGACCAGGCTCTCCAGATGGACCGGGCTCTCCAGAGGGTCCAGTCGGTCCAGCAGGTCCAGCCCGTCCGTCCGCTCCTGCAGGACCGCGCGGTCCCATGCGTCCTTGCACTCCTACATCACCAGGCTCTCCGCTGGGTCCTTCCTCACCAGTGGGTCCGGTAGGTCCGACAGGTCCAGTGGGCCCAGTGGGTCCGACGGGTCCGCGAGGACCGGGCGGGCAGTTCTTGCAGGGAGTGGGTCCGATCGAAGGAGTGGGGACGGGAGAAGTGGGGACGGGAGTGGTGGGGAGAGTGGAGGGCGTCGGGAAGGGAGTGAGAGTGGGGTCTGGAGAACAGAACTGCTCTTGAATGATCTCTCCGTTGAGGCACTTGAAGCCCATTTCCACATCGAAGAAGCTCGGAACGGTGTTGTTGCAGGTGGCATAGGCATCGGTGCACTGGTTGTAGACGATGTTTCGGTTAGCGTCCACACAGCGCTTATCACAGAAGTCGCACTTTTTATCGTCCAGAATCACATCACAACTCGTAGCATACACAAAGCCACCGTTCTTACACTTCATAAAGGGAGGAGCGGCCACTGGATAGGTCGTGAGACCGTTCACACACATTATGAAATAGCTTGTCGCCTCGTTCGGCTGTGCTTGATAGCCGAACTCCGTGATACACTGAAGCCCATTGAAGCTGCACCGATGAATCACTTCGAAACAGCTGCAGTTGTCACATGTCTCGATCTTTCCCTGCAGGCAAAGATTTCCTTGACCCACATACGTCGGAATCGAAAGGATTCCATTGGTGCAGGTACGATACCACTCTTGGCAACCCTCGTTCGTGAACACACCGTTGACGTTAAGGCAGCGAATTCCATCGAACGTACAGGAATCGTCACCATCCGGGGCAGGAGGGCTATTGGGAGCAATAATGCCCATTCCGTTGTAGCAACGGACTCCAGGAGCCACAGGGAGCGGATAGGTAGGAGTACCATCGATACACTCCACGTAGTAATCCGTAAACGTATCGTTCACGATCTGTCCATTATTAGTCACACACCGAGCTCCCAGGAACGAGCAAGTGGGAGGCGGACACACAGAAGAGTTAACCATAGCTCCATCCAGACATCTCGAATCGGGGTCAACTCGAGTAGGGATAGAGACAACACCACCTTCGCAAGTAACGTAATAATTCGTGCAAGCTCCCGTAATCATCTCTCCCAGACTGTTGGTGCAACGCATCCCAGTGAAGGAGCACTTGGTGGAAGCACTATACGAGCAATAGGGAGACTCGATCTGCTGTCCAGCAAAGCACTTGTATCCTTCTGGTACAGGAATGGGCAGAGACCACACCGTTCCATTCAAAATGGATATGTAGTCAGAACAACGCTGCGTCTCGTCCTGTCCTAAACTGTTGACACACTTTACTTCTGAAGCGTAGCCTAAAAATAAGCCGTGCAAATCAACCCTACTCAAAGCAGCACAGATCAGAAAGATATGGAATAACACTTTGAATTTCATAAAAAGAATGAGATTCATAATGTAGTATGGAATATGGATAGTGTCAATTGAAAGACTTGAGATCTTCGCTTTTCAAACGAAGACGAAGAAACTCATGACAAAACGAAACTCCAGGACTCACTAAGGACGAAGAATTCATGGGAAATCGAATTGAAGAGTACTTGTCAAACAAACAACAATTAAGCACTAAGATCAACAGGATTTGACCATCCGGAGTACAACACAACAGGACCGCTATCAGGAAGGGTGAATTCCAGGCGAACACGAGCTGAGCACAATTCTGTGGTGTTTGTGAGTTCTATATGTTATTTCCTTCTCAAGTCATTTACGGTAGCTGATGCCGATAGTATTGGGGCACGAAGAATTGGTGCAAGGCCACGACTCTCCTCCAATGTTCGATGGATCTGCGCTGCAGCTGTATTCCACGTAACGTCTAGGGTGCAATTCCAATTCGCCACCTACTCGAAAGGATACGACAGAGGACCGAAGAGTTCCTGCGGATCTGTATGAGTCACCAGCACAGCCTGGTTCGTTCCATTCTTCACATTATCCAGTCGAGAGTCTTCCAAGAAGGTCGAGGCGGCCAAATAGAATTCGAACAGCGTAGTATTGGTAACAGGACCGGTCGCTCCAGTTGCTCCCGGCTCTCCCGTCGGACCAGTCGCTCCGGTCGCTCCGGTAACACCCGGCTCTCCAGTGGGTCCGGTGGGTCCAGTAGGTCCAATCGGTCCAGTCGGTCCCGTCGCTCCGGTGCTTCCAGTGGCTCCGGCGGGTCCAGTCGGTCCCGTCGCGGTGAAGTTGCTTCTCTGCATGGCGAAGTCCACAGCGGACAATCCAGTCGGTCCAGTCGGTCCAGTCGGTCCCGTCGCTCCGGTCGGTCCCATCGGTCCCATCGGTCCTCTCGGTCCAGTCGGTCCAGTCCGTCCCACAAAGCCGCGTGGTCCCCGCAAGCCCGGCTCTCCGGTCGGTCCCGTGGGACCCTGCGGACCCTGCGGACCGGGCGATCCAGCCACTCCCTGACTTCCCGTAATACCCGTAGGACCGGTCGGACCCGTGGGACCCGTGGCTCCCGGCTCACCGGTGGCTCCCGGCTCACCGCTCGGACCGTGCTCTCCCATAGGACCTTGAATACCCTTATGACCGGGAACTCCTCGGATTCCACGCGCTCCCATGGGACCTGCAGGACCCGTGGGACCCGTAGCTCCGGTAGGACCACGAGGACACTCGGGACAATCAGGATCGACAGGGCAGAATCCGGAGGGAATGATCGAATCGCGGAAGCACTGGTAGTTGCTGGGAGTTTCCTGGATGCCCGAAGTAACGCCATCCACGCAGGACACATAGTAGCTGGTGCACTTTGCGTCCTCGAAGAGGCCGTTGTTGTTCACGCAGCGCACGCGGCAGAAATCGCAGCTGCCGAAAGTGAACTTCTGGCAGAGAGACATGGGGATAAACGCGCTGTTGTAGCAGGAATAGCCAGCAGGAACGGCTTCGACGGTGGTCGTCACGCCGTTGTTGCAACCGTAGTAGTATGCGGTGCATTCGTTCTCGACCATGGATCCGTATTGCGTGGTACAGATGATTTCGGACTGCGAGCATGCCTTCACGCCTGGGTTACAATCGATGAGCTCGTCCTGAATGAACACACCATTGAAGCAGACAGAACCCGCAGGCACTTCGATGGGATCGGTAACCTTACCGTCCTCGCAGAGAACGTAATGCTTCAAAGCGATGTCGCGACGCACTTGGCCACGAATATCCACACAACGAACACCCACGAAGTCGCAGATATCGTTGCTCAGGACACTTTCACAATCTTGGAGCATCACAGCTTGTCCATTCAAGCAAGCACGTCGATATCCCACTTGAATAGGCTCTGAAAGAATTCCACTCGAGCAGGTAATAAAGTTTGTAGTACACTCGTTTTGGGCAGGAACATAGAAAGCATTCACACACTGAATTCCATTGAATGAGCACTCTGGCTGAACGCACTCGGATGAGCGAATCATTTGGCCATTAAAACAACTCATTCCACCTATCTCTCAAAACCAATTTGAAAAGCTCACTGATAACATTGATAGGAGAAGAGAGGAATCCGTTCTGGCACAGCACAATTCTACTATTCAAACTGATCGAAAGGTCTACTGAGATGTACAGGCCGTATTCGTGATCACCGAGTTCGAATCAATGCAGCGGAAGCCAGTGAACGTACACTCCGGCTCGGGAGGCATTTCTCCGCAGTACGAAGCCGGCAGAATGGTATTCAGGTAACAAATTTTCTCATCTGGAACAAGCATAGGCTCGGACCACTGTCCCGTTTGGCACTTTTGATATAATCTACTACGTCTATCCACCACAGGGTCTCCCATAAGATTCACACATCGTATGGTTCCGATAGAACAACCTAGACATTTGAGAGATATTTGAAAAGCCAACATTCTGTACAATCCAATTCACAAGGGATGGATAAGACGGCCGTAATTCCGATTATTAATAACAACGGCAATAACATATCAAAATAGTGAACCTATAGATAGTTTTATAATAGATATATTGACAGGTATATCTGAAGAAATCAATCCACTTCGCAGCTTCGTGTCAAACATTCTTTCAAATTACTTTTCATTCATTCCATTTCATTCAATATTCAAATATCACTCCATTTTAAACAACCATTCGTTTTTACTTTATATTACTTTCATATCTCATATGCAACAACAAACAACAAACAACAACATCATTAACAAAACTTTACAATTCAATTCACTTTACAACGAAGGCTTTATTGTTCCTTTGTTTTCTTTCTCCATAAACTTTATATATTCACGCTCTATATCTCATTTCCATTCCATTACTTTTCACCTTTACGCGGAATTCGTTTTATATCGCGTTTCAATATCCAAAAGATTCCAAACTCAAACACCTTTTACTTACATCACGAAAACAATCGTTACACTCATTATTATGCTTATTGTGTGGACCGCTATCGTTATCATTTTCACTGTGCTTATTTCTTTCAAAAACACAAGTTCCACAATCGGATATACAAACATCGACACCATCGACACTACCAACAAAATCAAACACTATTGTCAAGGAACCATTTTATATATCGTATACACACACATACACATACACATACACATATACATACACATACACTATTATCATTCAATTCATTGTTCTATTAAGGATATTGCTATGTATAATTTCAAACAATAGCGATATGACCATATCAACACCAACACTCCAATCAATACATTCAAAACTCCACATATCAAATACAAATACGATTTGTCAATACATAATAATACCAAAAGCGATATACAACATAACAAGTTCAAATACAACAAGAGTCGACATGTTCTTGTTATTGATATTAGACTCACTAGCTCTAATTGAAGAATCCTATTTCATTATTACACTACTTTACTTACGGGTCAAAATCGACAAGTCCTGCTTCGATTTCAAAACTCTCCATATTATCTCCATCTTTATCCGGAGGAATTATTACACCTTCAACCACAGCACCATTTTCACTCTTTAACACTTCTCCTTCCACTGCTAGATCGTTCATTTCGTCGACATTCATTCCATTATTTCTATTTATTATGCTTTCATTTCGATATACTACACTTCGACTGCTTCGATGAATCCATTCGAATTTATATTTCCATTATTACCATTACTTTCTCTATATTATCATTTGCATATTTAGAGCTTCGTACACTACAATTCCATTCAACACTTCAACACTCTCTCCAATACTTCTTGGACTCGATGCCTCCACTATTACAACTCCTCGATTTTCACTCATATTCTTTTACTATCAAAATTGTTTGTTTTCCAATTTGTGTTTTCGATTTCAACACATTATTAGTTTGTTTCAATCATTATTATTATTATATTCTATATTCATATCTATATTATATCCATATTCATTCTATTCGGGATTACTTGTTCGTTTGTTTATTCGTTCGTTTGTTCATTCGTTCATTCATTCTTTCATTCTTTCATTCTTTCATTCATTCTTTCATTCTTTCACTTTTCATATTCCAATCACCCTATTTTTACAATTCCAAAAATCGATAGAATCAAATACGCGGCAAAACAACCGCCAAATTCATTTCATCCATTCACAACATTTCTATTCTATTCCATTCCAACTTATCTATTTATCAATGTAACTATTTATTGATTCTATATTGAAATATACTCACAATAGTATAGAAAGAATGTTCGAAGCAAGACTTGCCCAAGGAAACATTTTGAAGCTAATAATCGATGCAATGAAGGATTTAGTATCGGATGCGAACTTTGAATGTTCGGATAACGAGATAGCTGTTCAAGTAGTGTTGTTTTAATGAAACGATGAATAGGCAATGGATTCGTCTCATGTATCGCTGATAACGCTTTGTCTACGTAAGGAGGGCTTCACTCATTATCGTTGTGACCAAACACTAACAATGGGACTTCGAATGAGCTCAATAGCTAAAATATTGAAGTGTGCTGACGGAGGGGATATGATATCACTGAAAGCTGAAGATGAAGGTGACACTTTGATTTTGGAATTTGAGAACGAGAATGCTGATCGTATAAGCAATTTTGAATTGAAATTGATCGATTTGGACGCAGAGCATTTGGATATTCCTGAAGAAGAAAGTCAATCTGTGATAAGTATGAATTCGAGTGAATTCCAACGTTTGTGTCGCGATTTGGGTACACTTGGAGATTCTTGTTGTATCAGTGTAACGAAAGAAGGAGTTCGTTTCAGTGTTGATGGTGATATTGGTAAAGGAAGTGTGACGCTTCGTCAAGGTGAAAGTATGGAAGGTAAGAACGGTGTTTCGATCGACATGAAAGAAGCAATCGAACAAAAGTTTGCTCTTCGTTATTTGATAATGTTTACGAAAGCGAGTTCGTTATCTGAGCGTGTGAAGCTTACATTAACAAACGAAATGCCATTGAAAGTGGAATACACGATCGAAGGTTTAGGTAATCTCTGTTTCTATTTGGCTCCTAAAATGGATGGAGACAATTAGAAAGAATGAGTGATGATGATAATAACTGGAGTTCGAATGAATGAATGAATGAATGAATGAATGAATGAGTAACTAATTCCGACTAAAGATAAACAAACAAAACAAAGAAAGAAAACAAACAAAGAAAAAGAAAAGGTAAAGGATAATTGTATAGTAAATTGTTTGTTTTGTAAATATAGTTTAGAGATGGAACGATTGAGATTTTTAAAGAAATTGAAAGTATCGGAGCGGGAAACAAAGAAGATATTCTCATTTGAGTCCCTTCTATTCTATTCTATTCTATTCATTCATTCAATTACAATCGATCCAAGAATCCAACAAACAATCCAACAATCGCTTCCATCACTTCCATTTCGAATAATCGTTTTGATAGAACGAGATTTCTCGCCCTTCCAGTCCATTATCGCGCAATATTCCCTCCACTCGCTCTTTCAATACATTGCGGAAACCTTCGTCGTTCCACTCACGGAACCAAATCTCAATTCGGTGGTTGATTTGTTTCTTATACGGAACCGATTTGTCAACCACACGAGCGCCCGTTATGTTATCCCCATCGTCAAGACTTTCACCGATCAGACTCAGAACCACTGTTTCCCAAACATCCGACAACTTCGCGTGATCCTCTTCTACACAATTACTATTATCATTACCAACAACTATCATACTTCCAAATAATACACGCATATTACCTCCTCGACGGTTCTGAGCGTCTTCGTACTTTGGCTCAACTCCTTCCTTGAATAGACACTGGCTCTGGATCTAATATTCATTATCCATTACCATTCAAAACTACTTTGTACTTTCGACTTCCTTCGCCAGGATTTCTTTCGTCATTTCGGATTACAATCTTTTCATTACCGTCAAAGAATACATCCCTAGATACATCAAATGCGAATACGACAAGAATACGAAATGCGCGGAAGCTTGTTCCAATAACCCCAAAAATCTTCGATCGTGTTGAATGAACAGATCTTCTCAAACGAACTCTCATAATCGCGAGCTTTATCAGCTTTCTCTTCCTGTTGATATTGTTCAGATATAACCCATGTATTCTGTAACAAATGGAGTTCTTCTGCAGTATCAGCCATGATAGGAAATGTTTTAAAATAAGTTTGTAGTAGTTTTTTGTTGAAGAATATGGAATGTGATTATTTCTTAATATCACAGTATTCACATCATGAATATGATACTATTATTACACTATGGTTTCAGATTTGGATAATTCCCATTCAAGAGTATTGATTTCTTTACCATTTGTATAATATTGTGGTTCTGACAATAGGAGACATGCCAATTGGTTTCGTGTTGGATGAAATTATTATTGAAAATAGGAGTGTAGGGGTGAAATAAAATTACTGTAATTTTATTTATATTATTGTTTTTATTGTAATGTGTGTTTTTTCTATTGTTTTGATTATATTATACACCTTTTCTTATTAAACAAATGCGGAAAATGCCATTCATAGGGATATTATACATAGGGAATGGTAATGACCAGTTTAAGGCCATTATCACTCACTAAAACACATATAATACTCATTGGAAAGATTTTTGTATTATGCAGATTGGAGAAACAACAGAAACACAACTGTCAATTAACTCCAGTTTCTCCATTTCAAAATAAAATGACAGAAAAGCCAACCAAGAATCCACAGGTAGTAGACCCCGAAGGAATTATTATGGCAAGCAGTGGAGCCTCCAAAGCTTCCATGTCTTATGTTGAAGTCCCGAATCCCACAATTAGTAAAAGTAAAGACGACGAGGAGGCCGCCAAGAAGGCTGCTTTTTTGGGTGAAGGTCATTTAGGGAAGACTATTTGGAAGTTGACATGGCCTGATTTCATCGGTAAAGTTGTTCAGGCACTTTATGTGATGATTGATGCTATCTATATCGGTAACATGGCTGGAAATAATCAACAGGAAAAGTCTCTCTCGTTAGCAGCTTGTACATTGGCCATGCCTGTCGATCAGTTATTTCATATTGCATTAGGTCTTTTAGTTGGTGTGGGTACAAGTGCATGCTATGGTCAGAATCTGGGTCGTAAGGACTTTAAGACAGCGAAGAAGATCATCGGAAACATGTACATTATGTGTATTATTATTGGGGTTTGCTATCCTCTTATTATGTATTGGTTTGTCGATGATGTTCTCATGCTGGCTGGAGCGAGTGAAGCTGATGGAACACTGAAGCTGGCTCGGGAATACTTCCTTCCTCTTATGTTTGGTATGATTTTAATGTGCTTGGCCTGCTGCCATAACAACTCAATTCGTGGAGAGGGTAACTCGGTGTTCTCTGCTACCTGCATGCTTCTTGGAGGTATTCTGAATATCATTATGGATCCTATTATGATTCGTGCTACTGGCAATTCGGTCAAGGGAGCTGCTTACGCCACCATGTTCGGTAATTGCCTAACATCGATTATGGGAATGTGCTATTTCTTCGGTCGGAAGGGCGCTGTGGTGTTGGAGTTGAAAGATTTCAAGCCCGATATCAAGATTATGTTTACCATTTTGAACATTGGTGTGTCCGGTCTGATCTCGACCGCCTCGAGTAGTATCGTGTCGATCATTATGAACAACTTGCTTTTGAAATACGCTTCATACAACTACAACTCGTTACAGGTTACCGAGATCTTGGCAGTCGTGGGTGCGTGCGGTAAATTCTCCTTTTTCTGCTTTATGCCCATGCTTTCTCTTTCTCATGGCTGCCTGCCCATCTATTCGTACTGCTATGGAGCGAAGAACTTCACTCGATTCATCAATACGATCAAGATCCATTTCATCAGCGAAATCCTGCTGGGTGGCGCGCTGACGGTCCTCGGAGCCACGTGTGGTCAGTATCTAGCGCGGATGTTCTCCTCTTCAATCTTCTTTAAGAACATTTTTGCGGAGGCTCTGCGCTATGTTACTAGCGGACTTGTCTTTAACGCTTTCACTATGACCATCTTCCCCCCTCTTCAGGCTACGGGACGTGGTATTCCCTCTGCGCTCATTCTATTCTTCAAGCAGCTGGTCTTCCTGCTGGCGTTCGCACAGATTTTCTGTATGACGTTGCATGACTGGTGGGGTAACATGTATGCCTATCCCTTGGCTGAGATCTGCGGAGCCTTCATCTCTCTGGGAGCTTTCTTCCTCTACAAAAAGGTCTTCTATGGAAAGAAGGAATAATTCTTCTTGTTTCTTAACAAACACATTTACAATGTAACAGTCTTAGGAGCTGGTGCTGGTGCTGGTGCAGGAGCCGGAGCAGGAGCCGGAGCAGGTGCCGGAGCAGGAGCCGGAGCGGGGGCTGGAGCTGGGGCAGGGGCAGGGGCGGGTGCAGGAGCGACCGGCACTGGAGAAGGAGCAGCCGGTACAGGGGAAGGCATAGCGGGCACTGGAGAAGGCATAGCCGGCACAGGGGAAGGAGCCATCGGAATCGGTGAAGGAGGAGCAGTCTTGGAAGCAGGCTTCTTAGGCAGGGTCTTTCTGTCTCTCTTGACCATGAAGAGAATGCCGAGAACCAGCAGAACAACACCGATGATGATCAGAACAATTCCGATCAAGAAGTACAGATCCAGCTTATCCTCCACACAATACGAAGTCGGAATCGCCCACGAAGCCGTAGCCTTGTCCTCGTTCAACACGCACGTTCGCTCGCTCACTCCCTTGTAGCCAGAGATCTGCGTGCAATCGAACGAATAACTCTCGTTCGCGGCGGTTCGCGGGAAATCGGCCATCGCCGGGCAGTGAGGCACCTCCACAGTGAGGAAGATCGTCACGTTGGTGCTGCCAGCAGAGTTGCTCGCAGTCACCACGAACTCTGTGCGATCCAAAGCCGTCGCCGAGGTTCCATAGATAGCACCCGAATCCGAGGCAATGCCCATTCCCTCGGGCAATTCCGGCGAGATCATGAACGACTCCACCGTTCCGTTGTACATAGCGCTCAATCCCTCGTAGTTCACGTTGGTGGTAACCACAATCTCCTTCTCCTTGTAATCCAGATTGGTCGGCAAGTCCAGCACGCACTCGTCCATCTTCAGAATCGACAGTTCGCCATTGCTGCAAGTACGATACGCCACACCGTGGTAGTTCTCGGGGCAGGGCTCTTCGTAGCGCTCTCCGTCAGCCAGCGAGATTCCCTCCACTCCCGAGCAACCAATCGGCGTGACCGTGATGGTCACGGTCGCCTGGGCGGAGCCCGCGTCGTTGCTCGCAGTCACAGTGAAGGTGTAGGTGTCCGCCTCCTTGATCGATCCGGCGATCACTCCGTTGTCCAGCAGCTGCAGACCACTGGGGAGCGAGGGACACGAGAACACGTCCACCTTGTTCGACACAGAGGGCTCGATGCGGATCGCTTCCAGCGAGTCGCGGCTCATCGAAGCGGGCGAATAGGAGAAGCTGGAAGGAGCCAGCAGCGTGCATCCCTCATAGTTGATGGGCTGAAACACGCCATTGACACACTCACGCGTCGCCATGCCCGAATAACCTTCAGGACACACAGCAGCCTCCGAGGTCGCTCCGTTCATCACAGCAGGGAACTCGTCCAGAGCCTCGCAGCCATTATCTTCCACCGTGATGCTGATCGTCACCGACTTGGATTCCGCGCTGTTGGTTCCGGTAATCTCGTACTCGGCAGCAGGCGAAGCCACAGTGGGCGTACCCGAGATGGTTCCGTCCTCACCCAGCACCAGACCCTCCGGCAGATCCTTGTTGCATGAGATCGAAGGGAACGCTCCGTCCGTCAGCAGAGAGATCGGGGTCAGTTCCTGGTTCGTCTTCAGCACGATCGAGTTCACTCCGTAGGTGAAGAAACCGCTCAGACGCGGCGTGCAGTGCTCCAGATTGGGCTCCTCGAACTCGCCTCCCATGCAGCGAGCCATCGCGTAACCCGTGTAGTACTCAGGACACACAGCCACCGAGTACTCGCCGTGGTTCGTGGCCAGATACTCAGCCGTGGCCTCGCAGTTCACAACGATCGAGGTGAGAGAAATCTCGGTCTGCAGCGATCCAGCCGAGTTGGTCGCTGTGATGGTGTACTTGTTTCCAGTCTGCGTGCTCTGCAAAGCTCCGGAAATCACTCCAGTGGTGGGATCGAGCGTCAGATCGGCAGGCAGCTCGGGAGCCACGCTGTAGGACTCGACCGATCCGCTGACCGTGGGCTCGAAGGACTGTTGCTTCTGGTAGATGATGGTCACTTGGTTGTTAATGCCGTAGATCACAGCGATGGGAGGCAGCAGCGTGCACTGGTTGTCCTCTTCCTCCTCCAGCTGGTTGCCCGTCGGCGTCGACACGCAGGTACGATAGATGAAGCCAGTGTATCCAGTGGGGCAGGAAATGAACGCCTTGCTGCCCACGTACGCGCTCGAATAGTTGTCCTGCGAGGCGCAAATCTCAGCAGCCTTGGTGTTTCCGAAGTAGACCTCGGCCATTTCGATACCCTGCAGATTGGACTTGTAGGCCTCCAGCTTGTACATGTTGTAAGCTACCGTGTTCGTGAACGAGTACTCTCGGTTGTAGCCATAGCCTCCAGCAGACTCCCAGGTAGGCTGCTGCGCCATCAACAATTGCCAGGTCGCACCATTATCGTTCGATCCGTACAGATCCAGATGCTTGGGACGACGAGGAGCCTCACTTCCAGCATAGAAGCGAAGGTAGTTGATGATCACACGGCGGTTGTTGTTGTAGGTCCAGGCAGCCCACACGTGGTACGTTCCGATCATCGCATCCTCGTTCATGACGTTGAACTTGGTATTGATGTTCTTATCGAAAATGTTGGCGTTGGTCTCATGCCACTGATCATCATCGTAACCGAAATCCGAAGCGCTCATCGTTCCATCCACCACCAGATCGGTCGAAGTGTACACGAACTCCACTTCCACGTTGAACTCGTTCTCTTCAGGGATGCTGATCGTGTGGGTTTCCACGCACAGCACGTTATTCTGGTTGGAGATGTGGCTCATATCGATCGAGATGCGAATGCCCGTAGCGGCCTCCGCCTCGGTCACAGGCTGCGTCAGATGGTTCGTGGCTCCCTGAGGCAGGTTGTAGCGAGCGTTCTCCTCGTCATCGATGTACAGAATGAAACCTCCACGCGTGTGCACAGTCACATCCATGGTGGCATAGGGCAGAGCCGAGTACAGATTGAACGTGGTGCAGTAGTAGGCAGCAGTGTACTGAGGAGCAGGCATATCGGCGAGCTTGCTGGTCTGCCACTCGCCATTGAACGAACTCGTGTACCAGTTGGAAACAGGATCGGTGTTGTCCATCAGATAGCGCCAATCCAAATCATCGCTGTAGCCCTCTCGAGGGAAGAACGATTCCGTCTTGGGAGTCACGCTTCCACCCACAGTGAACGAGGTCAAAAGCTTCTTGGAGGCCGTCAGAATCTCAAGGCTACCCGGCCAAGCGACACGCGAGTAATCCTTCATAGTGATCTGGTAGTTGCGCAGACCCAGGCAATAGGGATGATACATGTACAAAGCGTTGTTGTCGAACTCGCTGCGGCTACCCACCACAGTGCCCGAAACAGGATCCACCAATTCGTATCCCATGTAATAACCACGCGAGTCAGTGTCGGTGATGTGGACATACACAAGGGACTCATCTCCAGTGCACTGCTTGATATCAATGGCCACAGTGGTGTTGAAGGCCTCGCCGTTGATCGAGATACCGGTGATCGTGTACACACCCGAAGCGGTCTCGGTGGGAGTTCCGTAGATCGCTCCGTTGCTTCCGAATTCCAGACCAGCGGGCAGAGCGGGGCTCGAAGAGAACTCCTCGTAGTAGGGATTGGCAGGAACGATGGGCTCGATCGGGACGTTGACGATTCCACTGATGGCAGCAGGAGAGAAGGAGAGATCGGGAAGAACCTTGTCCGTGTTCTCCTCCAGGAAATCGAACAGAGCCAGCTCCACGGTGGTGCTCTCGGGCGCAGCCACAGCGGTGAACTCGAGCTTCATGCCCTGGATGGCTACAGGGTTGGAGAGGTAGAAGCACTGGCGCTGAGTACGCTCGGTCCAGTACACACCCGTGTAGGTTCCCACAGGGGTCCAGTTCTCTCCGTTCAGAGTGGACACAGTGAACGCAGAAGGCTCGTTACCCGGAGCGTTGGCAGCGGACACCAGGCAGAACTTGTTCACTTGCTGGCGACGATACTGCGTATCCGTCCACTGGAACTGGAGGAAGGCACCGCTCAGCTCCGCGCTCCACTTGTTCGCGATGTTTCCGTTGAAAGCGTTTCCAGCAGTACCGCCAGAGGCAGAGGAAGAGATCTGGGTTCCATGGGCGAGATCGGCAGTCGCCGCACGCAGATTCAGAGTGGCAGTGAAGTCAATGGCTCGCTCCGTGGCATCTCTGTTCACAACAGCAATAGCGAACACGTTGCTTCCCTCCTTCAGGTAGTTGGCACCCACCAATCCGACGAGCACATGAGGATTCAAGCTGTCGCTATTGATCGTGGAGGTGCTTCCAGAAGTCACCTCTCCTTCCACGCCCACACGGTACACTTCAACACCGTTCAGATACACAACCACACCTGCACGGCAGTTCATGTTCAGCTCGTAGCTGTTGTAGCCCTGGATGGTGTCCATCTCCACAGTCGAGCGGAACAGCCACACAGACTGCGACACCGTGTTGCCTTCGGTCAGAGTCGTCCACGAACCGCCGAACTCCACAGTGTTCCATCCCTCAGGCACCGTTCCGTCAGCCAGATAGGTCCACTTGTCCATCTCTCCGCTCATCAAGAACTTGTTCGAGAACGTGATGCGATCGCCATTTCTCATTCCAGAGTACACTCCAATGAAGTAGCTCGCCGCAGTGTGCGTGTAGGTGTTCAGCGTGATGGACGATCCGTCCACCCATTTCTCAAATCCATTCTCCGTGTGGAAGACCATCTCATAGCTTCCTTCAGGCAGACAGAAATAGTCGGTCTGGGAGGACGACGATGTGTCAGTTCCAGTATAAGAATTGTACACTTCGATCAGATTGACCGACTCCACGACTTCTCCATTGGACACGATATCGTAGCTCTGGCGAGCACGGCGATTTCCCTTGATCGCATCGATCTTCACACGACGATATCCATTGCCCAAGCAGGTATGGAAGTTGATAGAGACCACACCGGTCACAGGTTCCTCCGCACCCGCCAGCGTAGCCGACACGGTGTAAGTCTTCTGACCCACCTCCACACCCGAAGGCACGGTTCCCGCAATGAGACCGGAATTGGGGTTGATCGACATGCCGTTAGGAAGAGCGGGGGTGATGCTCCAGTCGGAGAATCCCCTTGCGACAGGGAATACATTCACGGGCTGTCCAGGGTAGAACACGAAGTTCTTGCCGTAGGAGATCTCCTTGGGAGCGATCTCCAGATCCATCGCGTAGAGCGAGACATCCGAAGTCTCGGCCTCGTTCATTCCCGAAGCCTGCAGCGTGAACTTGAACATTCTGTATCCCTTGGCCACCTGGGGAATGGGGAAATGCTCAGTGTTACCGTAGCCATCCCACGAATAGCCGATGTGCGCGTCCAGCAAATCCCAGTTCTCTCCGTCATTGCTTCCCTCCAGCTTCCACTGCGTGGGGCGACGCTCCACATCCTGGTTACCGGTGGTGATGGTGTAGTAGTTCACGTACTCCGCGCGATTGCTGTTGAACGTGTAGATGTTCTGCGCGGGGAAGCCCTTGTTGTACCACTTGTTGCACAGCTGGTTGTCCCACAGATTCGCACCCAATTCATCCCAATAATCCTCCAGATGATCTCCCGACACCGATCCATCGAAGGTACGGTGCGAGTTGCCGTACACCAGATTCACGAACGCGTTGAACGGATCCACGATGGGCGCGTGATCAGCAGGGAAATGAATCTCCACAGCCAGCACAGCCGATCCGTCGAGCAAGTGGCGATTCGCAAAAGCACGATGATAGTACGCCTCCTCCTCCTCTGCTTCCACGGGAGTGGTGGCCGAAGCGTCAGCAAGCAGGTTGTGGCGATAGATTTCTTGTCCATTCACGTACATGGCGATACCGTAGTTTGTGTTCACAGCCAGCTCGAAGGAAGCAAAGCCTGCCAAATCACCGAATGAAACGGTCTTGCGGTAGTAGCGAGTGATAACGTCCGTGTTGGCGACAGGGAAGTAGGAACCCGAGGACCAACCAGCATCATCAAAGTCTTGCGTGTTCCAATTCTCAGCATAGGTGCTCGAGTACTTCCAGGATGAACCCTTCTCCATAACCGAATGGGGCTGGAACTTGAACTCGCGGCGTGAATACTTATCAAGGGTGTAGCGGCCAATCATGATACCACCTTCCTGCGAGATGGTCATGTAGGAGTCACGGGTCCAATAGTTTTCGCCACTAGACATTAATCACGAGTCGTGTTTCGTACGCATCCAAAAGAACCAAAGTATGAAGAGCCTTATTCAAGCAAACCTCATAATTTTGTTGAGTATTTGCCAAGTCGAGGCCATTCTTCTCGTACATCAGAGTACCCGTTTTGGGCTCTCCCTCCCAAATCTGGAAGGTTTCCTCAAACGCATTTGACTTATATATGCGATTGATGTAGATCGGGACCATTCCGGTCTCGCATTCAATGGCAAACGAAACTACATATGACCATTCCCATGGGTTTGTTACATGCAAGCAGCAATAATAGAACGGAAACTACCTTCATTAAAGTTCGAATGAAGAATCCTTAAATAAATCATGAGGTTTGTGTATTTATGGGGGTGATTTCGTGGCGAACTTTTGGAGATTTTACCGCGGTAATTATTCTCTCTACGAAGTAATTGGTGTTTTCGATAAACGCATAGAAAAGTGCTCTACGCCTTCTAGGAAGGACAAACCACGTAAATCGTCCAAATATGGGACACAACGTTTCGTAAACACACACCTTCAACACACAGGTATACAACAAACAGTCGAAAGCAAATTCAATAATATCAGCCTAGTTCGTCTCGGTAGCGCTCTGTTCTGGCTGGGGAGGCACATATAGATCGTTGCTCAATTCCGGAGTTATCATCTACCTAGAACATCTTCCCCAGGCCTACCTTCCCACGAATATTCAATCCATCCTGGATTGGCTTCTTCGTCTGCCAATGTTGTTCGAACACCACCGTGGCCTCGTTATTCGTCACCGCCACGCTCCTCACCCCCACATAATTCTTCAGCGCGCTCCGCACATCCTCCTCGCTCGCCCCGTCCAGTCCTTTGAGATACACTACGTTCGGCCGGAAATCCAGCTGATATTTCGACACATCCACGCGCGGACGGAACGCTCCGCGCCCTCCACGACCTCGATAGCCTCCTCCGCGTCCACGGTACCCGCCCCGTCCGCGTCCACGCGAGGTGGTCCGCATGGCGTTCTGCTGGATCTGGATCTCCTGCGCAGTCTGGTCGAGCACTTGCTTCGCGAGATCGTTCGCTTTCGCGTTGATTTCTTCGAAGATCGCCGTCGACCGCACCGCATCACGCACCTGGTCCAGCAGAGCGAACAGCTGCGTCTGCGCTCGCTCGCCATTGTCCGGCATTTCCGAGCTCTCCGAGGATTCCCCGGCCTCCATCGAGTTCGACGCGTTCGACATGTTCGATGAATTCGATGGATTGGGAGCCTCTCCACTCTCTTCCAAGGGTTTCTCCGTTTCCCCGTTTCCCCGTTTCTCCTTCTCTTTCTCCTTCTCTTCGAGTTTGTCGATGCCGCACTTGATGAGTCCGTACAGATCGCGAGAAAACCCGAAGATCTTCATGGCGACATCGCGGATTCGGTCCTCCTGCGCGGCGCGCGATTCGTCGGACGATCGCTCCCACAGCGACACGTAGAGCGGCAGCAGCTTGAGCAGCTTGGCGACCTGCGTGCGATAGAACGTCAGCTCTTTGATCTTCTGCATCTGCCGCTGGTGGATCAGACTCAGTTTCTTGTCCATTTCGTCCTGTTTCCCGCGGTTTCCCGCGGCCTTCCCCGCGGTAGAGTCCGCGTCGGCGGGGAGAGAGGCGGTGGGGGCGTGGAGAAGGTCGCTGGAGCAGGCGTGGACCTCGATGAGGCGGTCGTTGAAGACGGGAACGTTGGATTGGAGAGCCTGGCGAGCCTCGGAGGGCGAGGAGAACTGCACGATGGCGGACTGAGAGTCGACGATCTAGAGGAGAGAGAGAGAAAGGAGGCAGCTACGCGGACGCCGCAGATGGTGCCGAACTGCTTGAAGTAGTTGCTGAGCGTGAGGACCTAGCGGGGAGGGAAAGAAAAAGGGGAAACGTCGCGGTTTTTGCCGACGAGATGGTCCACTTTGATGCAGTTCTCGAGGTTCTCTTCTGAGGGAGAGCGAGAAAGGAAAGAGAGTACTGGGCTCGGCGGGCTCGGTTTCGAGCTGCGAGAACGAGGCCTGGTCTGCAAGAGATTAAAAGAAGAGAGGAAAAGGGAGTACCTTGCTTCTGATCCGAAGGCTTCGATACCAGATGGATCAGTTGTTGCATCATTTCTTTGATCATGTAGCTGTTGTTCATCGGACCACGACCACGGGGACCCGAATCGACTCGATTGCCATCTACACATGTCATCGCACGAAACACCCCAATTACACTGTCCTCCTTTCTACTCATTAGTTAAAACACGCATAATCATTACTTGGTTGTCATAAGTACGATAGCGATTTCGATATTGTTCTCGACGATTTTCGTTTGATCGACTGCGAGAGCGCGAATAGCGGCGACGGTCGTTGCGACTTCCAGAGCGACGGCGTCCATACGAGCGACTTCGAGAATGCGACCGAGAGTAGGAACGCGATCGGCTACGCGATCGGCTCCGAGTGTGACTACGAGAGTGGCTGCGAGAGCGACTGCGAGAGCGACCCGATTGAGGAGAAGCAGAATGACTGTAAGAACGACTATCTCTCGAGCCTCTTGGCTTATCGCTCGATTCCTAAACCATCAATATATTCCACAACGTGAACAGAGTAGCGATGAGCTAAATCCAGCAGACTATCAACAACGATGTCGAGATCTATATGAATCGATTCAGCACACAACGCACTACCCTTCGTGACGATTTGATTTAACTCTTCTCGCAACGCTTGCCGAATCGTGTTGTCGTCCCCTTTCTCCACAAGCAGCTTATCAAATGCGAACTGAGCAGTCTTTAAAAGGATCTTATTATCTCTGTGACTCAGCATCGGCTACAGCGACCCTACGTTCGTCCTTCCAGTACTTTCTGAATGCTATTCTTCATAGCCTTTCTTCTCTCAGGGTCTTTGGTGATATACATTTTCCAGAGAAAGTGTGTGAAAAAACAAACAAAAATTCAAAAAGAAATCGCCCACATGGGGGCTCGAACCCCAGACCGTTAAGTTAAAAGCCTAACGCTCTACCGACTGAGCTATGTGGGCTCTGTTTGTCCCTCTCTATTTCGATATTTGTGAAAAACATTCACTTTCAATTCGATTTGGTAATATTAATCTGGGGTGAATTTATGTCTTCGGTACAATTGATACATCTATTCTTTTTACATGTAGTTTAGCGATAACATATGCGCTATTTGTGAACGCCCTAATTGTCCAGTCCGCTGTTCAGGGGGATGCTTGAGATCATTTCACATACAATGGTACGGTGAGCCATTCTATGAGTTGATTGATAGTTTAAGACTCACTTCTGTTCCTGATCGAAGCTGGAAGTGCAACGATTGTGTGAAACGATCTGTATTGGCGACTGCCGTTCATAATGAATAGCACGAATGCTTCGAGTGTAAACAGCGCGAATTAGATTCTGAGCTTGTTCAGTGCTCCTATCCGGATTGCAGACGGTACTTCCACAAACGAGAAGCGTGTTGCCGCTGCAACCCACGGTCTTTGTCTACTCTCGATTTTGTGTGCCCTTCTCACCGCTGCTATGCCTGCCACGGTCCCAGCGATATGAATAATCCTTTACTCAAATGTTTCCGCTGCACAAAGTGTTACCATTATTCCTGTTTACCCCCCTCGGTACAGAGCTTGGACAGCAAGTACTTTCTGTGCCTTTCACATCGTTCTGTTTGCTTTTTGTTGCAAAACTCCTGACTTTCTAGGAGGATCCGCGAATGCCTCCAGCCCAAGCCAACATGGCGCGGAATCCGAAGCAAATGCCTTCTCCGCTCAATTACTCCCCGATGACACAGCCACCGATGCAAAGTCCGATGCAAGGTTTAATGCAAGGTCCGATGCAGCCGATATATCCGAATCCGATGCAGTCGATGCAGTCGATGCAGTCAATGCAGCCAATGCAAGGCATGATGCCGAGCCCCATGCAGGGAGTGATGCCCCGTCCGCTGCAGTCGATGCAAGGCATGATGCCCGGCGCGAGGCCTCCGATGCAGGCGGGCTACCGCCGACCGCCGATGCCGATGCCAGTCGTGGAGCCGAAGCGTCCGAAGATGACGAACATGGACCGTGTGCAGCAGGACAACGACCAGAAGATGATCGAATCGCTGCTGAGCCGATGGTACGAAGTGCGGAAAGCAGGCATCGAGGTAGGTGTGGATCGAAGCGGTGAGGGGTAGTTGACAGAGAAACGAATCAAAGAGAGAGGGACGCTGCTGAAGAAGATTCGCGAGGAGACGATCCAGCAGCAGCAAGCGACGCGAAGAACCGAAGAACAACTCATTCAAGACAGAAACAACCTTAATTTGGGTGTTTGTAACAAACAGAACGCTAATATTTGTTATTTTACATAACATAGATATATCCAGATACACAAAACTTACTCAGCATCATCCACCTCTTCCATCTCCAACTCCTTCTCATCCTCCTCAATTCCGTCCTTTCCGATAAGAGTGGGCTGAATGTACGGAACGACACCTCCTCCAGCAATCGTAGCCTTGACAAGAGTATCCAACTCTTCGTCTCCGCGAATAGCGAGCTGCAGATGGCGGGGAGTGATACGCTTCACCTTCAGGTCCTTGGAAGCATTTCCAGCCAACTCCAGCACTTCGGCGCTCAGATATTCCAAAATGGCAGCAATATACACGGCAGCAGTGGCTCCCACACGCTGTCTAGAAGATACACGACCCTTCAGGAATCTGTGAATACGACCGACAGGGAACTGAAGTCCTGCCTTTGTCGAACGGGTCGTCACCTGCTTCTTTGTCGAGGGGGCCTTTCCTCCCTTTCCTCCTTTTCCACCTTTTCCAGCCTACACAAGGAATGAGCCGCTATCCTCTCAAAATCTTCGCCATTCGTCACGATCTTTACACCACACCTACCATTTGCGAATAGTAATTGAAAACTGAATGCAATAATGACAACTCAAAGATAAATTCGAAATGGAAATGATTGGTCTAACAAAATCCGACCAGATTTCGATTGCCCTATAATTCTGTGCGCTCGTATTTGATTGGTCAAACAAAATCACAGACATATCATTATAGAACCATAGGATTCACCATCGTGGACGCAATGCGCGGATGCGCCTCAAGGGCAGCTTCGTAGTGACTCCAGTGATCCGGATGCGCTAGATACCAGGCAACTATAATTTCATCGTGTCAACTCCACGCGCCTACCAGTCTCCTTCATTCCATCCTCGAAATCCGTCTCCGCTTTCCAGCCTAGTTTCTCCAACTTGCGACCATCGATCGCATATCGATAATCATTAAACTCGCGGTCCTTCACGTACTGGATGTGTTCCTCCACGTCTCCTTCCATTCCCATCAGTCTCCAAATGACTCGGGCCACTTCGTGCACAGTCACCTCACTTCGACCCGCGATGTTGTACAACTCGTCCGTCCTGCCTTTGTGGAGAATCAGATCGAACGCTTTCGCGATATCACGCACATAGAGGAATGTTCGGAGATTGTTTCCCTTGCCGTGGATCGTCCTATGGGATTACACACTTGATGTCGTCGATTGCTTACATGGGACGTCCGCGCTTCACCAAGTTAATGAACTTAGGAATTACTTTCTCGGGATACTGATGAGGACCATAGACGTTGTTGGAGCGAGTGATGATGATCGGCATCTTGTAGGAGTGCTGGTAGCCCTTCACAATGAACTCCGCGGCGGCCTTCGTGGCAGCGTACGGGTTTGTAGGGTTCAATAGAGCCGTTTCAGTCACGTTCTCCTGACCATCCTGCTGCTCACCGTACACCTCGTCTGTACTGACGTGGATGAACCGCTTGATGCCATGGAGCCGGCAGGCCTCGAGCATCACGTGCGTTCCCACAACGTTGTTATACGTGAATGTCAGACTGTTTCCATAGGAGTTATCTATGAGGGATACAGTGCAGAATGCTGCGTACCGACGTGGCTCTGCGCGGCAAAATGGATCACAGTATCAATTTCTTCACTTTTCAGAACATAACGGACAAAGCAGGAACTCATGATATTTCCCTTCGGATCAAATGTTATAATAGATATGTACCTCTACAAACTTGTAATTCGGCTTGTTCTCGACCTCCTTGAGATTATTCAATGTACCGCAATAATCCAGACAATCTAGATTCACGATCTTGTACTGGGGGTACTTGTTCACCAGCAGGGTCACCACATGAGACGCTCTGGATTTGAGTGCTGAGAATTGCCACTACATAAAACCTGCTCCTCCCGTAATGAGGATGTTCTTCGGGACGTATCCACTTTCCGTTTCCATAAAGTATTACAAACAACGACTATTTTCTGTCCCAATTTGACAAACCTGTCAATTCTAAACAGAGCTGCAAGAAAATGAGATTTTTTGGTTTGTTATGTAAAGATATATTGATATGGACTCAACAAACAAGAGAAAACACAGCCAAATCACTAAACAAGATAAGTATATGCCATTTCAGGACTACGATGCCACCAAGCAGCGTAGTTGCATCTATCTGCAGCTCTCTATCTACCATCAAGAGCGATGTTTCAGACTCTTGGAACTTTTGTGAAATCGAAGAGTGCGTCGAAGACACAAAAGTCAGTAGAATTGTAGCAATAAAAGTCACCTACTTACTCCCCCTACAACAAAAAAAAGAGGAAAATCTTTCGTTTTTCGGTGGTGAAAGTTTTTTGGATCCCCGCGATTTTGTAGCCACCCTTCTCCTTTCTCACATTCATATTCGAACTTCGTTTGATATCCCTTTTCTTATATTATGGAGTAGGGCCGATGCAAAGCGTTTTGAGCCAATAGAGAAGTTGTTGTCCACTACTTTCGTACTCCCGGTCTCACTGAGGCAGCCACCGACAACCTTTTGAGAAAGTCGAGAAAGAATGTTTCTGAGAAGATTGTGAAGATCGAAACGGAGTTTTGCTACAACATCCAGATTTCGTCCGAGTTCACTCCTGAGCAGAAGATCGTTGGGCTCGTGTGCGCGTATCTAATCGCTAGGTGCTTACCTGGTTGCTCAGCGAGAGCTACAACCCGAAGGGTTTCGGAAGCGAGCCTTTCCTGAAGGAGAACGATGAGAAGGACTATCTGACCGAGGTGGGTCCTCGTCTGAACTTCTCTACTGCCTGGTCTACGAACGCGATCAGCATTTTCCATGCCTGCGGTCTGGACAACATTCCCCGTGCGGAGTGCTCTCGTCGCTACCTTCTGCACTGCAGCGAGCCCCTCACTGCCGAGGAGAAGGACGCGTTCACCAGTGAGTGCTTCTGGACCGCGTGACCGCTAGAATCGGTGCATGATCGCATGACCGAGCAGCCCTACCTGACCCGTTTGACGTCCTTTAAGCTGGGCATCGAGCCCGCTCCGATCAAGACCTACCCCGTGCTGGCTCGCGGCAAGGAAGAGCTGAAAGAGGTGTGTGGCGGCAGCGATTCTTCACACGTAGCTCGACGCCGAGTTCGGTCTGTCGTTCGATGAGCAGGATCTGGCGTACTACACGCACCTGTTCTGCGATATTCTGAAGCGTGACCCCACGGACGTGGAGCTGTTCGATATCGCCCAGTCCAACAGCGAGCACTCGCGTCACTGGTTCTTCGGTGGCAACATGGTGATCGACGGGGAGAAGAAGGACCGCTCGCTGTTCCGCATTGTGAAGGACACGCTCACCGAGGAGCGCCGATCCAACAGCGTGATCGCCTTCAACGACAACTCCTCCGCCATTCGCGGATTCGAGATCTCCACCATCCAGCCCGAGACCCCCGGCAAGCCCTCCAAGTTCGTGCAGCAGAAGTTCATGTCGCACATTCTGCTCAGTGCCGAGACGCACAACTTCCCCTCGGGCGTGGCTCCCTTCCCCGGCGCCGAGTCGGCTGTGGTTCAAGGCGGTGACGTGTAGAACCGGCACGGGAGGCCGAATCCGCGATGTGCAGGCGACCGGCACCGGCGCCAACGTGACTGCGGGTACGGCGGCCTACGCGGTGGGCTCGCTGAACATTCCCGGCTATGATCTGCCCTGGGAGGAGAAGTGGGAGTATCCCAGTAAGCGCGTTGCCTTTTTTGTCACGCCTAGGCAACCTCGCGAAGCCGCTCACCATCGAGATCGAGGCGTCCAACGGCGCTTCGGACTACGGCAACAAGTTCGGCGAGCCGGTGATCACCGGATTCACGCGCTCGTTCGGTCTGCGCCTCCCCAACGGCGAGCGCCGCGAGTACATCAAGCCCATCATGTTCTCGGGCGGCGTGGGCCAGCTGGACGACCGCCATCTGCACAAGGGCCAGCCCGAGAAGGGCATGCTGGTGGTGAAGGTCGGCGGACCCGCCTATCGCATCGGTCTGGGCGGCGGTGCGGCCTCTTCGCGTGTGCAGGACGCCGCGCAGGCCGCGCTGGACTTCGACGCGGTGCAGCGAGGTGATGCGGAGATGGAGAACAAGATGAACCGCGTGATCCGCGCGGCGATCGAGTGCCGCGACGCGAACCCGATCGTGTCGATCCACGACCAGGGCGCCGGAGGCAACGGTAACGTGCTGAAGGAGATTTCGGCGCCGAACGGAGCGGAGCTGGACATCCGCAAGGTGGTGGTGGGCGACCCCACGATGTCCGTGCGCGAGCTGTGGGGCGCGGAGTTCCAGGAGAACGACGCGATCCTGATCCGCCCCGAGGACCGTGAGTTCATCGAGGAGGTGGGCCGTCGCGAGAACGTGCCCGTGATGATCCTGGGCGAGATCACCGACACCGGCCACATGGTCGTCAAGGACAGCAAGACCGGCGAGACCGCCGTCGATCTGGACCTGGACCTGGTGCTCGGCGATATGCCTAAGAAGACCTTCGTCGACCACCACGTGCCCATGCAGCTGCAGCCGCTGACGCTGCCCGCGGACCTCACCGTGAGCGGCGCTCTGGACCGCGTGCTGCGCCTGCTCTCCGTGGGCAGCAAGCGCTTCCTGACCACCAAAGTGGACCGTTCCGTGACGGGCCTGATCGCTCGCCAGCAGTGCTGCGGCCCGCTGCATCTCCCGCTGAGCGACGTGGCCGTGTTCTGCCAGAGCCACTTCTCCACGACGGGCTGCGCGACGGCCATCGGCGAGCAGCCGGTGAAGGGTCTGGTGAACCCCGCGGCGATGGGCCGTCTGACGGTGGGCGAGGCCTGCACCAACCTGGTGTGGGCGGCGATCACGGACCTGGCGGACGTGAAGTGCTCGGGCAACTGGATGTGGGCGAGCAAGCTGGAGGGCGAGGGCGCCGCCATGTACGACTGCTGCGAGGCGATGGGCAAGGCCATGCTGGAGCTGGGCATCGCCGTGGACGGAGGCAAGGACTCGCTCTCCATGGCCGCGAAGGTCGGCGATGAGCTGGTCAAGGCTCCCGGCACGCTCGTCGTGTCCGTCTACGCCGCCTGTCCCGACGTGTCGCTCACCGTGACGCCCGATCTCAAGCACCCGGGCGAGTCCGTGCTGCTCTTCGTCGACCTGTCTGCGGGCCACTGCCGTCTCGGCGGCTCCGCGCTCGCGCAGACCTTCAAGCAGGTCGGCGACGACTGCCCCGACTGCGACACCGCGCTGCTGGACCGCGGCTTCCGCGCCACGCAGCGTCTGCTCCGCGAGCGCGCGCTGCTGGCCGGCCACGACCGCTCGGACGGCGGTCTGATCACCACGCTGCTGGAGATGGCGTTCGGCGGCAACTGCGGAATCGAGGTGGAGCTGAAGAGCGAGACCGACTCGCTGCTGAACGTGCTCTTCTGCGAGGAGCTGGGCCTGGTGGTGGAGGTGGCGGAGGCCAACCTGCCGCGCGTGCTGGAGGTGTACCGCGAGGCGCAGGTGCCCGTGCAGCAGATCGGCCGCTCGGTGGCGGGCGACCGCGTGACGGTGCGGTTCAACGGCGAGGTGGTGCTGGACGACGCGATGACGGCGCTGCGCGACCTGTGGGAGGCCACGTCCTTCGAGCTGGAGAAGCTGCAGTGCAACCCCGAGTGCGTAGCGCAGGAGCAGGCGGGCCTGAAGAAGCGCCACGCGCCGCGCTGGGAGCTCACCTACACGCCGCGCGAGACGCCTGCGGAGTGGAAGGCGGAGGCGAGCAAGTACAAGGTGGCGATCATCCGCGAGGAGGGCTCCAACGGCGATCGCGAGATGGCCGCCGCGATGTTCGCCGCGGGCTTCGAGCCGTGGGACGTGCACGTGCGCGACCTGCTGAGCGGCGCGGTGACGCTGGACCAGTTCCGCGGCGTGGTGTTCGTGGGCGGGTTCAGCTACGCGGACGTGCTGGAGAGCGCGCGCGGATGGGCGGCGACGATCCTGTTCAACAAGGAGCTGAAGGAGCAGTTCGACCGGTTCTACGCGCGGCCGGACACGTTCTCGCTGGGCATCTGCAACGGCTGCCAGCTGATGGCGCAGCTGAACTTCGTGCCGTGGCGCGGCATCGAGGAGACGAAGCAGCCGCGGTTCCTGCAGAACAAGTCGGGCCGGTTCGAGTCGCGGTTCGTGAACGTGCGCGTGGAGAAGAGCAACGCGGTGATGCTGCAGGGCATGGAGGGCAGCACGCTGGGCGTGTGGGTGTGCCACGGCGAGGGCCGCTGCTTCTGGCCCGACGAGGAGGTCCGCAAGGCCGCCTTCGAGCAGAACTGCGTCGCTCTGCGGTATGTGGATGACGATGGCCAACCCACCATGGAGTATCCGATGAACCCTAACGGGTCGGAGTATTCGGTGGTGGGACTCACTTCTCCCGACGGACGCCATCTCTGCATGATGCCGCATCCCGAGAGAGTGTTCATGAAGTTCCAGTGGCCCTATTGGCCCGAGAAGTGGACCAACCCTGTGTCCCCGTGGCTCAAGATGTTCCAGAACGCGCGCGAGTGGTGCGAATCTCATTATTCTCTTTGTTAAAAACCCGTCATAACGAAGAACATAACGACAAGTGATACGGTTCTTTGCGATCCAGTTGGTACACGGTTTTCGGATTAGTGAGTCGGTGTGGATTTGTCTATAATTCTTCATTCCAAACATTTATTAATTCATAAGAGATTGATGATAGGTTCTTTGGCATCAACTGAACGACCTGAGTAGAAGCCCCCTTATCTTACAAACTTATGTATTCAACAAAAAGGAAAAAAGAAAGGCAAGAGTGAAGACAGCCGGTAGAGAGACACATTTCCCGAAGGATACACGCCTGAAATGGTCCCAAACATGTAGAGAAGGAATTGATAAGCATGTAAAGCAATCCAAAACAGGAATTAATAGAAAATGCAGAACAACCCATAGGAGCTTTTTGGTAGGGTATCATCCATTTCTCTCGATGTTGATGAGAGGCTTTCCTTAATCTCATTAGCCACAAACACTCTATGGCGATTTGCCTCTGGTATATTTGAATAATGGCAGGAGTTGTCGAAAACGTTATATCCCTGCTTGATTCTTTCATCTTCTTTGTTAAACGGTACAAGATTACTCATTTAAAAAAAAAATGTCAAATTACTGTAAGAAATTTACGATCTCTCTTTCCGACGCTTAATATCAAAACTGATTCATGGGTTAAGTCATCGTGGCAAAGGGGCCGATCCCTGTCGAGTACTTGGTCATTAACATATACTCCCTTCCCTAAAATAAGTCGCTTTGCAGCTTCTACATATCGATCCAAACAACAAGCATAATCAACTTTTGCTAGGCGCTAACCCCAACAAGACGATTAAGTCAGCCATCGATTTTCCGGCTAACTCCGCTTCGCGGAACTCCGAAATGGGCAATTCGTCCAAAACATCGAAAAGAGACGATCGATCAACGCGCTTGCTCTTTCCATAAAGGAGCTCTGCGCACTTTTTCGCCTTTTGCAAATCCAGCTCTGAACGAACCGAACGCATCATTTCTTCTGCTGATTATCCCCTTGCTCTTTGTCGTACCAGCGAGAACTCCTTGCGCTTCCCGCTTCTCCGGGCATTTTTGATGCTCCGCTAGCAGCGCATCAATCTGATCCAAAGGCAGGTCCGTGAGCAATCGGAACAGAATGGGAAGGTCCGCGTCTTCCGTTCGCAGAAAGAACTGATAGAAGTCGTGCTACCAAAGAAGAGCATTATTATTGCGCGTACGTTTGAGGTCCTCGATTTGTTGATCCAGATCGCGTTTCCCTCCGACTTGCCAAACTTTTGGCCTTTGCTGTTCGTCAGCAGCGGAACCGTAATCCCGTGAACCACCTGCGTTTGATTCGCCGAAAGCAAAAAGGCTTACGTCTCCTGTCTTCCGTTTGACGAAATCGATGCCGGAAGTGATGTTTCCCCACTGATCGCTCCCGCCAATTTGGCACACACAGCCGTACTGCGTGTGGAGGTGCAGGAAGTCGTTGGCCTGCAAGCATTGATAGGCAAACTCAGCAAAACTCAGACTGTTCGGGGAATTAATGCGCTTGCTCACGCTGTCCTTGGCTAGCATGCTCTGCACGCGCATATTTCTATCGTCTTTCAAATCAAGTCGGGAAAGGCTACTTTCCGACGTCTCGCAAAAAGTCGATCACTCCCATGTTTTTGTACCAATCATAGTTGTTCACGAACAGAAGGTTGTCATCGCCATTGCTGTTTAGAACTCGCTTCAAATCGTTCTGGATCTCTTTCACATTTTCCTGCACATCGTCTGCGCTTAAAATATCTCTTTCTTTCACCTTAAAGCTCGGATCTCCGATCAATGCTGTCGCTCCACCCACCTAAATATCATTCTTTTCTGTCAGAATGGGATACCAGAGCAATGCACTTTGTTCCCGCATCATGGAATCGCTTTAAGATGCGACAGGCCATAAGATGTCCGATATGAAGCCCCTTTGCGGTTGGATCGACTCCCAAATAAATCGACTGGTTAGGAAGTATCGATTTGAGAGCTTCTTCCGCCAGTTGAGAAGTCTGGTAAATGAGTCCACGATTCTTGAGATATTGAAATGCCTGCATTCTGCTGTTTCACTACCAATGATTATAGCAAAACGAAGGGTGTGATGGGTTTTTTTGTTTTTTGTTATTCCGTGTCATTCTTCAAGAGGTATTTCACATTATTTTAAAAAAACACACAGCAATCGATAGTTACGAACCGATTCATTTTTTTACCGTCATGCCTGACAGTGCATATTCTTGGATAAAAGTGAAAAATATCCGAGATAATTCAGTGTTGGTGATCTATTTTGGTGCGAATATAGGTACTATGTTCATGTTCTGTCTGGAAAGGAATACGCGGAGCTTCCCGAAAATTGCAACAAAGAGCTAAGTCCGTATTTATGGGAGGAAAGTCGAAATTCGGATAATAGTCTGCATGGATATCGTTGTGCCGATATTAAGGACTATTATGTAATATCACATGGCCACTTGGTAGGCATCCTATCACGAGGTGAACATTAGATTTTGGTTCCTCATGTGCCTAATTCGGTGAATAGCCGAGAGAGCCGTTCCTATTCGGATCATGCAGGTGCGGGAATATCAGAATCGGTGAAGGCGCGAATCAATGCTTCCTTTTCAAATCGCAGCGATTCCTATTCACAAACCCATCCAATCAACCCATCTTCCGGTTCTGTTTCAACTAGCCATCCTCGTACCAAGAAGACCGTCAACCAAATCTACCAAACCCTCAAAGAAGATACCCAAGTCACCGTAAACGCCGCCCTCAACAAAGACGACGCTGTCAAAAAAGACTCCAAAGCGAAAGCCGCCGATCTGATGAACAAGCTTCACCCCGAAGCCTCCATCAGCAGCCACGACGACTGGTACTTCCTTCAGAACCGTATATACTTTCTTCCTCTCTCTCTTCCCCACAGCCTCCGGCGAGACCGTCTACTACCAAGGCAGCACCGGCGTGATCTCTCGCCTCCTCCCCGACGGCTACGTCACCACCGAAGGCGAGCCGCTCGCTCCGGATTTCCCGGCCTCCGACCTTTCCTTCGACTCGCTCGACCGCATCTGCCGCGCCAACCACTTGATCTCCAGCTGCCGCGTCGTCGCCGAGTCGCAGAAGCTCTTCCGGCGGCGCAGCACGCTCAGCGGCGCGCCCTCCTTCGTCTCGGGGCGGCGGCAGAGCGACGGGGAAACGGGGAACTGGACGCGGTCGGTGGGGCGGCGCGACAGCAACGCGTCGAGTCTGCATCAGTCCGTGGAGTCGCGGGAAAGCGAGCCGCGCGAGGCGATGGAGTTCGTGCCGCCGGAGATGAAGCGAAATAGCTCGCTTTCCCGCGAAGATCGCGCGGGAGCGGGGCGTGGCGGCGCGACGACGCACGAAGAACGGCCGATGCTGACGCGTCTGACGTCGACGTTGCATGTCGGCGCGCTGGATCGGCGGCAGAACCAGTCGTTTTATAAGGCGGGGCTGGGACAGCTGTTCACGGTGGCGTCGTCGAGCGGGTATTTGGCGGAGCTGAAGGAAATGCTGTTTGAAGGTGAGGAAAAAAAGGGCGGGTGAGGAGTAGAAGGCGAAGAAGTGCCGCTGACGCTGAGGCCGGTGATTGATGGTAGAGAATGGAAGAGAAAGAGGTGATGAATGCAGATTACACGAGCGGATTGGTGGAGAAGAAGAATTATGAAGCGACGGGAGAGTATCACATCAAAGCGAAGCCGTCGTTGTTGTAGGCGTGGAGCGATGAGTGCGATGCAGTGTGCATTTTGATTTGCTGCAAGTCACGGGAACCATGGTCTCGTTCATCGGAAATGTTCGGGTTGGAAGGGAAAGTGAGGAGTAGAGGCGGGAAAACAAAACGTTCGATGAGATCGCGGGGGTTTGCGTGGTGGACGAGCATGGACATGTGTGCAACGGAGATCGGTCGACGTGTCGCGGAGTGATGATCTTCTTTCGAATTCCGGATCGCTTGTCGATGTAGAGAGTGCGGAGAACGCGATGAATGTAGATATGATTCGGTGAAGTATCGCGTGATGAAGCCGCTTTGTGTGTTTTTTGAGTCTGTGGCGGACAGACAACACTTTGTTCGATTGTTTTGCAATTATAAACGAATGTACCACGAATCGCGGATTCGAAATGAATTGCTTTACGAGTATCGGCACGATCAGAAGAAGGGATATGTCACTTGGCTTGCAGCAGAAGTCGAACTAGGCGGTGTAGTGAAGTGTAGATCACGATTCGAGGCGTGTATCCATGCAAATTGAAGTGGATGTTGCCGAAAGCCGCGTTGGATGCAGGGAAAATCGCGGTGTATTCGCGATTGAATGAGTTGATGTGAGTGAAAAAAGAGGGAGGGTGAGCGGTAGACATATGATCGCGGTGGATTCGATCACAAGTGTGCTGCTGGGGAAAGTGGGTCGAAATGGATTGAGTGCTGTAGGGATGGAGAAAGGGGGTGAGAGAGTAGGTGCATGTGCTGATGAAGGAGGAGACGAAATACACGTTTGTGTTCGAGAATGAGGAGCATGCGCAGATTTTCAAGAAGTTGGGAGACGAGGCGTTGGAGAAAATGGAGAAGAAGGTGTAGAATTGTATAGTAGTAATTGCGAATGGCTTCGATCGCTGTGCGATTGTTTGTTTGAAAGAGGCGATGTGTGGATGTCGTTGCTGGGGATGGAATGGGTGAGAGGGGTGGTGAGATTCGAAGCGAGATTGATGAATTGATCGATCGGTTGAATGAGTCGTGTATTCCATTCTCTCAATCGATTCGACTGATGTTCGATTGTTTCCTTCACTTCTTCAAGCAATCAACTTCTATTCATTCTTCCTAACAATCATTCTCTCTTTATCCTCCCTAACCATCATCCTCTCTTTATCCCCATCCCACACACAAACACACAAACACAACAAATCACAACACTTCTCCAACAAACACTCCCCCAAAACTCTCTGTCCCTTCCCTTAATCCTGCATGAAGAAATAGTTTCCGCTCGCCTTCTGCTCCTTATCCTTCTGCGAGTCCATCTTGTTAATTCTCGGTCTGTAGTTATTCGGGTCGCGTCGGAACGTGATCGACAGATGCTTCAAGAATCGGTTCATTCCCGTCAGCAAGCTCTCCGGCGACTTCGCCGTGCACTCCACGCCCGGCTGTCCCTCGTACACCACCACGCGATCGGCCAGATAGGTCGCCTACAGTCATGATGCGGTCTCTTCGTCCTACCATAATAAAATCGTGCTCTACGATGAACGCTGTGCGCTTCGCGTGCAGAATGAATCGCTTGATAATCTACGCCTCACCGCCGCTCTCCTCGCCCACTCGCGCGCACACAATACGCTGCTCGGAGTCCAAATACGCCGACGGCTCATCGATCAGATAGATATTCGCGGGCTTGCCGAGCGCCAGCACCAGCGCCACGCGCTGCAGCTCGCCTCCCGACAGCACGGACAGCGGCTGGTCCATGATTCCGTCGAGATTCATCGGCTTCAGCACGTCGGTTTGGAACTGCGGGTGGATGTACGCGGCGCGGATCTTCGTCTGGAAGAGGTCCTCCACGGAGCCCTGGAACTTCGGAGAGATCGTCTGCGGCTTGTACGACACGGAGAGCGCGGGGATGGACGGGGCGCGGCCAGCCTCCTCCTCGTCGCTCTTCATGAGTCCGGCGAGCATGCGGATGAAGGTGGTCTTGCCGGTTCCGTTCTCTCCGAGCATCACGATGATCTCCGACTCGCTGAAGTTGCCCTTCTCCACGTGCAGAACGAACTTGTGTCCCTTCCCCTGCAGCGTCTTCGTCATCGCCTCGTACTCGTACAGACTGTCGCGCTTGCCCTTCTTCACGTCGTCCGCCGTCTGCGCCACCTTGAAGGTCAGCTCCAGCTCGCGGAAGCGGAGGTTCTCGGTGGGGACGAAGCCCGCGAGGAACACGTTGATGCCATCGCGCACGTTGAACGGCATCGTGACCACGCCGTACGCGCCGGGACGGCCGTACAGCACGCAGACGAAGTCGGAGAGATAGTCCAGCACGGCGAGGTCGTGCTCCACGACGATCACGTACACGCCGTCCTTCGCCTCCAGCACCGAGCGGATCACTTCGGCGGCGCGCAGACGCTGCTTGACGTCCAGGTAGGACGACGGCTCGTCGAACATGTACACGTCCGACTTCGCCATGGCGGTGATCGCGATCGCGAAGCGCTGAAGCTCACCGCCAGAGAGCTGGTCGATGTCACGACTCATGAGGTGGTTCAGCTCCAGCACAGAGCAGATCGAGTCGCGGATCCCACGCTTGTCGCGCGCGTTGATCAGCTTCTCCACTTGCCCGCGGAGATGCTTCGGAATGATGTCCACGTACTGGATCTTCGTCACCGCCGTCAGATCGTCCAACAGAATTCGCTTTAAGTAGTTCTGCAACTCACTGCCGCGGTAATACTTCAAAATGTCTTCCCAATCCGGAGGGTTGTTGAAGCTACCCAGGTTCGGCTTCAGCTTGCCCGCAAGGATCTTCAGGGCTGTCGACTTACCGATACCGTTCGTTCCGACCAAACCTAACACTTGATTCGGACGAGGAGTGGGAAGTCTAGTGTTGGACCATTCGATCGTATTCCTACCTGTGCAGCTTGAAAGAGTTCGGTCCGAATCGGTGTGTCGTTTCGTTCTCAAGACTCTAGAGGTCGATTTCACAACACTGACCTACTTTAGGAAGATTGATAATGCTGATTGCCTTGTAGGGGCATTTCTTCACACAAATACCACATCCAATGCACAGCTCTTCCGAGATGAAACTGATCTTGGAGGTAGACTTGACTTCTACACACAGCTTCCCCATCTTCACAAGGGGACAGTATCTCTTACATTCCAAATTGCAACGGCTAGGTTTACACTAGCAATCACCTCAAACCCTCCGCACCCACCTTTTCACCATCCACAATAGCGATACGAGTGCTTGCTTCCGACATTGCTTCCAACGAATCACGAAAGGACGAGTTTGATGTAGAACATCAAACTGCGAATTGATTGGATGCACCAATATTGGATTGGCCAGGGTTTTCTCTGCAACTCGAGCCTATTTGAAATTAAAAATGGTCCGAAATGATTATCACAAACGTTATCATTTGATTGTATGAAAGTGCTGAAAGGAAGGTTAAAGAGTTTGGTCTACCGACTGTTGAGAGTAGAAATCATATGTAAGTGATATTTCTATTTGCTAGATGCAGAATCTTTTTTGATTGTTGAAATGCCTCCCAGCTTCCGATTCTCCTTCATTTGAGAACCATTTCTGAACAGGCAGACTCTCTATTCCACAACTCTAGAAGGAACTTCCATTGGCTTTGAAAGAAACACCAAAACCCGATCACTTCCATTCACTCCTTTGAACAATACAATTTCTTTCTGTGCGTATTTTGTACGAATGAATGAAATCTAGTTACTTAGTCTATCATCATGTCGACAGACCGCGGAATGCCAGTGAAGAGAGATGCGAACATCCAAGACGTGGAAAATGACGAGTTTCCAATCTTGTGTGAAACTTGTCTGGGAAACAACCCCTACGTCCGAATGATTCGCGTTCCTTATGGAAAGGGGTGTAAGAGTTGTGGCAGACCCTTTACGAATTTCCGATGGAAGGCAGGGACGGACGCACGATATAAATCTACGCAAGTTTGCCAAATGTGTGCAAAAACGAAAAATGTTTGCCAGTGCTGCGTTCTGGATTTGACATTTGGCTTGCCCACACAGGTGCGAGATACATTCCTTGCCCGGCAGCAAGTTTTGACGATGCCCATTGAGAAGGCAAATCGTGCAGTATATATGCAGGAAATGGAAAAGAAGGTACTGCCCCCTTATCGGACATTATTCGTAGGCCTCTGTCGGCGACCTTCCCTATGCAAAGACTGAAGTCAACGCTACATTGCTACGACTGGCGCGAAAGAAGCCTTTCTACCAGCGAAACCTTCCTCAATTGTGTTCTTTTTATGCACGCGGCTGCTGCACACGAGGAAAGAGCTGTCCTTACAGGTATTCTTCGCATGGCGGCATTCTCTGTAGACATGAGCTTCCCCACGATCCGAACGACCCCCTGAACAAACAAAACGTGAAAGATCGGTTTGACGGCAAAAATGATCCAGTGGCTCAGAAGATTCTGGAACGAATAAAGCAGCAAGAAAAGGACGAAGAGCGCGAGAGAAAGGAGGTAATTTCCCGCTATTTGATTAAAGGATAGGAGGAGGAAGAGTCAAGTAGCGACCTTGGGTCCGACGATGATTCGGATTAAATTGTATACTTTGTTGTTTGTTTTAATCATTTGCGTGACTTAAACTGTTCCGCGGGGATGGGGTGGATTTGGCGATTATTTGAATTGTTCTTTTTCCATTTATGTCGTTAAGCTATTTCCTGTTTAGAATGATGAAATATTTCGTATTTGTATGCAATTGGTAACTTGGCGTAACATATTAGCTATTCATAGTCAGTCTGGTAACTGCTCAGGAATGGGGTGGAATCTGTCCCCAGGTGGACGACCCTCCACTTCCTGAAGCTGGTTTCATGACCCAAGTCGTTCTTGACTGCAAGGACAATCTTTATGGCAAGATTTTCTATACTTGTTACGGCGGGCGTTGGAACCTTAATGAAGAATGCCGTTCGATTCGAGATAGGTGTCTGATGCATAGGATGCCGTTATGAAGTCGATGATTTAGGATTCCGATGGTGGGGTGTAAAGGTGAATAAGACTGAAGTGATTGAGACCTCGACAGGTACGCTGAAGCGTTTCTGCAAGGCCTCTGGGTGGGGGAACTACGACGGTTCTCTCGCTTCTAGTAAAGACTCCGACTTTTGTTCACGTGATAGAGTGTAAAGGTTTTGATAAGTATCCGGATACCCCTCGTGGAGATACGATCAATATGTGCGACGGAGTGGGTACACGCCAAGTCATGTGCGATTACTCCGGCAAGTGGGTTTACATTGCTGGAGAGTGTTGTAAGCGTTTCTCTCTTCGTCTCCAACACAGACTGCCCTGCCCAGGATGGCTGGGAAACTGCTTTAGAGGATACTGTCCAAGAACGTTTCTGCGGTTCAAACATCGAGTACCGTCAATGCTCGTTTGGCGGTGTCTGGGGCGAAACGGATTCTTCGAATTGCTGTGCGTGCTGGCCGAGGGTGTTGAACGAATAGACTGTGAGGACGATGGCTACTTCCATTCCACCGCCTACAACGAAACGAATACCGAGAACCGCTGCGACAACGGCGTTGTGGTGAGTCGCACGTGCTCCAGCGAAGGCGTCTGGGGCGCGATCAGCTACGATGGACTGTGCAGTAGGCGTCGTCTGGCCCTTCTGAAGCGTAGAATGCCTGGCCGAACCCGGCTGGCAGGAAGGTTTGGTGGGGGATGATCTCTCCCATGTTTGCTCGTATGGCCGCGTGGAGGTGGTTTGCAACAGCGTGGGACACTGGGAGCTCGTGGTGAACGACTGCGCGTGCGCGCAGGAAGGCATCTGGGAGCAGGCGGAGCTGGGCACCACGCACGAAGTGGTCTGCGGAATGGGCCGCAAGCGACGAACCTGCGGAACCGACGGATTCTGGGAGGAGGAGCAGGACTTCGCGTGCAGTAGGCGTCGTGGCGGCGTGTGAGCGATAGAGTGCCCTGCTGACGGAATGTGGAGCGAGACGCCCGCTGGCGAGTACGCTCGCATGGGCTGCTCGAACGGCTTTATTCAGCGCTACTGCGGCGAGGACGGCCAGTGGACCGAGGAGATCGATACGTCTTCGTGCTGTCGGCATGAGCGAGGGGAGTGACGTGTAGATTGCGCGCCGCAGGAAGGCTGGCAACTCACCCTGACGGGCAACGAGGCGATGAAGGCGTGCCCGAGCGGCTACCAGACGCGCATGTGCGGCGAATTTGGCGTGTGGAGCGACATCGACTACAGCAACTGCCGCTGCAAGGCGATGGACGGCTTCGAGGACACGCCGGTGAACACGTATGCGAACACGACGTGCTTCGATATGGACGGCGTGCCGGACGAGGTGTACACGCAGACGCGCTTCTGCGGACCGAACGGCGAGTGGGGCGAGGTGGATCAGAGCCAGTGCCCGGTGAAGTGGTGCCCGTCGGAGCCGAGCTGGTACAAGGTGCCCGTGGGCAATCGGCCCACGAAGGTGGTGATGGGCTGCATGAGCGGCGAGCGCTATCGTGTGTGCAACGTGAACGGCGAGTGGGGTCCGGTGGACACGTCGAACTGCAACTGCGTGTACTCGCTGGAGGACGAAATCGAGCGCCTGCTCACTCCCGGAGACAGCTACGCGCTGCCTTGCTCGCTGGGAGAGCGAACGTACAAGTGTAACGAGGACTCGGGCTACTTCGACCCGGTGGATCTGTCGAACTGCAAGTGCGGAACGGACGGGCGATTCGCCACCACCGCCGCCGGAAACCTGGCTTCGGTGGCCTGCTCGGAAGGAACGGCCACGCGTATCTGCAGTCTGAACGGCCAGTGGGAAGAGGTGGACAACACGCGCTGCTTCTGCAAGGGCTCGGACGTGTGGAGACAGGCCAACGTGAACACGACCGTCTCGATCCTCTGCGATATCGGCTATCGCAGCCGCGTCTGCTCGGAGTGGGGAGAGTGGGAAGAGCCCGAGCAGGACACCTGCAAGTGCAGCTGGAACGGACTGGAAGCGGCGTTCGGTTCCTCGGCCACGGTGCCCTGCGAGGAAGGCGTGATTGAATACCGCTGCGGTCTGGACGGTCACTTCAGCGAGCCGATCAAGGACACCTGCTTCTGCGCGTCCCGCGAGGAGTACGAGATCATCTGGAACCGCCTGCCTGCTGGAGGCGAGTCGACGCCGATGAACTGCATGAACGGAGTGACCATCACGCGAACCTGCAACGCCACGACCGGCCACTGGGACGATCTGGACGCCTCGGTCTGCCGCTGCACCGAGGAAGGCGACTGGGCCGAGACGGGCGTGGGCGAGTACGCGCTCGCTGCCTGCAGTGGCCACGCGACGGGCATGGCGCGCCGCCAGTGCCATGGAAACCACTGGGGCCTGGTGGACGACTCCACGTGTCTGAGCGAGTGCCAGTACGACGCGGGAACGGGCGAGATCGTGTACATCCCTGTGGGCGAGACGCACGAGTTCGACTGCTACGTGAACCTGGCGGGATCGGAAACCTACCGCTGCCAGTACGACGAGGCGACCAAGGAATCAGTGCTGGTGTTGGTGAACAGCACCTGCGTGCGTCTGAACTGCCCCACCGATCTTCCGCCCTTCTACGTGGATGCTGGAGAGACCGAGTCGCGTCCCTGCCCTGAAGGCTTCCGCGGCAACCGCACGCGTGTGTGCCAGACCGAGGGCGAGTGGTCCGACTACGATATGAGCGGCTGCGAGGCGCTGATCTGCCCCGCGATCACCGTGGACGGCTTCATGTTCAACATGACGCTGGCGGGAATGTACGCGAAGGCGGAGTGTCCGGAGGGCTACAGCGGCAACCGCAAGCTGTACTGCGATCTGAACGGCAACTGGAATACGACGATCATCATGGACTGCACCAAGAACATCTGCCCCGCCGAGGACGGCTGGCCCGAGACCGAGGCGCTGTCGAACTCCACCATCAACTGCCCTTCAGACTACACGGGAACCTGGACGCGCCAGTGCCTGGCCAACGGCGAGTGGGAGCCCTACGTCATTCCGGACAGCTGCGTCCCCATTCCGCCTGCGATCAAGACGATGCCCTACGAAGGCATGAAACACGTGTCTCGCACGCCTTCGGCGGCTCTGTTCTCCTCGCTGGCGATCCGCAACGCCAACGCGTCCTGCACGGTGTCGATCCAGTCGACCACCAAGCCCGAAGAGGTCTACATGCTGGAGGTGAACCGCACCAAGACCGCCATGGTGGGTCGCTACCGCAACGGCGGTGTGTTCGCGGACTTCGTGCTCTCGGAGAACGACCTGTACGATCCGGAGAAGTATCTGGGCTACGGCGAATACAAGGTGATCTTCTATTCCTGCTGGGAGGCTCTCAACGGCGCGCCGATCCCCGAGTCGGACCTGGAAGTGACCTTCCACACGGCGCCCGTCCCGCCCAGCGCGCCCGTCAACATCACGCTCCGCACCGAGGCCAGCAGCTTCTACGTCACGTTCGAGGCTCCGCTCTACGTGGACGAGGCGTACCCGGTCACTGGCTACTACCTCGCTTTCCAGCCCCCAATCCGTCCCGAGATCTACGTGGACGCTTCGCACCACTCCTTCGGCCCGTTCCCCTACTTCGCGGGCCAGGTGACGCTTCTGCTTCGTGCGGAGAACGCTTACGGACTGAGCTCGCCCGACGTGGAGGTGCCGTACAGCTTCGACGACATCCTCGTGGACACGACAGGCACGCTGCAGATCCCTCTCCCGGCGCCCATCATCTCGCTGCGTCGCCAGGTTAAGAGCCAGACCAACACCGTCAATGTGACCGTCGCGGTCGCGGCGCCTGTGGAGCTGCACGACTACGTCCGCTACCTGGAGGTCACCTGCGCTTCGCAGCGCGCTCCGGACTTCACCTCGGCGGAGCCCGTGGAGTTCTCGACGTCCGTGATGGCCGGCGAGGACTACAGCATTCTGTGCTACTTCACGCTGGGCGGACAGGTCGGCGAGAACGGCGTGTTCTCCAGCAACAGCGAGATGCCCGACGCGCCGTACGCGGCGGTGGCCGTGCAGGCGGAAGAGGTCGAGGCGCAGGTGCTCCGCTTGGAGTGGCAGCAGCCCGTGAGCTACACGACGTCCCCGATCGAGGGCTATCGCGTTGAGTGCCGTCTTGCGAACGACGTGGACCCGAGCGTCTATCCCATCGCGTTCAACGTGACCGCGGAAGAAGCCCTCTTCTCCGTGGCCAACTTCAACGCGGGACCGGTGCTGTGCCGCGTGGCTGCCATCGCGCAGGAGAGCATGCAGCTGGGCGAGTGGGGCGAGGTGACCATCCAGGAGCTGCACACCTTCCCCACGGCGATGAGCATGTCGGTGGAGGTGCAGGGCGTGGCGCTGCTGGTGCGGCTGTCGAGCTCCTACTGCGTGGGCGCGACGGCCACGGTGAGCCACGGCTCCACGACGGTGTCGCAGACCATGCAGTGCACGGGCGACGCCATCACGACCACGTTCTATGGACTGGAGGCCAACACCTTCTACGATGTGACCGTGATGGTGCCTGCGAAGGCTCTGAAGTTCGCCGCGTCGGTGAGCACCACGACCGCGATCGCTGCCTCGATGGACATCTCCGTGGAGAGCTCGCTGCTGTCCTCCTCCGTGGCGGTCCTGAAGGTGGTGACCGACATCCCGGAATCTGTCTACTGCCTCGCCCACACCACGTCGCTGAGTCCCGAGTCCATCCAGGCGCAGGCTCAAGCCGGACTTTTCGATGGTCGCTACGAGCCTGCAGGAGAGCCCGTGCTGGAGCACCTGATCATTCTGGCCGATCTGCAGCCGAGCACGGCCTACCACGTCTCTTGCGTGGCTCGCTCCTCGCACACGGTGAAGCAGGCGATCAATCTGTTCACCACGCCTGCGACCGTGTCGCCTCTGCACGTCGTGGAGGTGGAGTCGGTCTACCCGCTCTCTCACAAGCCTACCTTCCGTCTCACCTTCGATGACCACATCATGCTCGGCGAGGCCGCTGCGGCGTCCGCGATGTGCGGCGGACTGACGCTCGACGCGCCGCTCTCCATCGACGAGACCGCTCCCAAGCAGAACATCGCGGTCGTGTCGTTCGCCGATCTCCCCGCCTCTCCTTCCTGCGTCCTCTTCTTCTCGTCGCTCGCCGCTGTGCGTCGTGCCTCCTTCTATCGCCAAGAGACGGGTCTGCTCAGCGAGACGCCGTTCCCCAACAACGCCGCTTCCTTCGCCTTCTCCGTGAGCACAGACTCCATCCGTCCGGCGCTGCACACCCTGGCCATCGTCAAGATGTCGGAGAGCGCGATGCTGTTCGCCACGACCAGCGAGGCGCTTCTGGACCACTCCTTCGAGTACGAGGTGTCCTGTCTGAAGGACGGCCAGCCCTCCGTGCACCGCACCTTCCACACCGCCGCCCATCCGCTGGAGGTCCGCAGCGGCCGCGACGCGAAGGAGGGCTACATGGACGTGCTGCTCTACGCGGGCTTGCTGCCTCACATGCACACCTGCCAGCTGTTCTTCCCCGCCGACGCGGTCACGGATCGCTTCGGCAACGCCGTGCAGTGCCAGCTCTCCGAGGATCGCTGCGTCTACGAGTTCGTCGTGCAGGCCGCGCAGAGTGAACGTAGGAACAGGTTGTGACCCCTCATATGACTAGCGGTGCCGCTCGTTCTCCAGAGTCTCTTCCCTGCGGACGGCGCGCAGTTCGTCCCGATCAACGCGGCGGTGAAGCTGGAGTTCAACCAGGACGCGAAGGCGAACAAGGCGGTTCGGTTCCGCTGCCCGGACTGCGCGCTGACCATCGTGTCGCTCCCGGCGCTCTGCGAGCAGCAGACCTGCGTGATCGAGAACCCGAATCGATGGGAGGCCGGCCGGACGTACTACATGGAGTTGGACGCGACGACGTTCGAGGCGAAGTGGGAGAACTCCTTCTACCAGCCCACGGCGCGCTACCCGAGTTTCACCACGGCGGAAGCGCTGTGTAACATGGAGTTCGTGACGGAGGGATGGAACTCGAACTGCAACTGTATCAACACGGGATCGCACTGCCAGTGCAACTGTGGAAGCACCGCAATCTTGAAGGCGTTCTAAGGAGGAGTGGATGTGTGTATTAGTTTTGGGTTGTTTGTGGCAGAAAACAGCTACATGGGTTTGATTCTGTGTTACAAAAAGGGGGATGCAGGGAGAGAAAGAACACGTCGCACAGTTAATTGCGGTTGTTGTTCCTTGACTTGGTCAAGCCTTTGAGCAATCGGATCTGTTGCGAGTTGTATTTCCTGTTCACCACAAACGCCATCGAAGAGAAGTAGAGCACAAACAGCGCAGTGAGGAACTACAGATGAGACAGCAACAGCTGCTCTACGTGGAAGATAAATAAACTAACATAGATGATTCCAGAATAGCTAATCATGCTCGTGATGCTCAAGTACACCCAAACAGCCTTGTACAGATCGTACTACCGTTAATCGAAAAAGGTTAAAAACCAAACCACCACTATGAAAACGATGGTATACGTACAGAGATATAGACTTGATAATAGCAGAACAAGGAAATAACTGACATTAAATAATAACAATAATATCCACTATCAAATAAAAATGATCACAAGGGAATACATCACAAACTACAACAGCTATCAACAATGGGTAAAACGCATACAACCGCCTCAAATCATCGTTAATTCTGCATAATATAAGCAACAAGTAGAGAATACTCTGGAGTAACCGTACTGGGACGCGGGTTAACAACACCATAATTTGTAGAGATCACTGTTGCGCGCACTGGAGCACCTGCAGAAGCAGGTATAGACTGCGGACTGACATAAGCAGCAGTAGGAATCGCAGGACGGGCTTGCGAAGGGTAATACGCTTGCTGGGGATAGGGAACTTCTGAAACTGGATAGACAGCAACAGGCTGAACGTCGACAGCTACCGGAATTGCAGAAGAAGGATTCCCTGGAAAAAGTTGAGTAGGAACTGCAGTTACTAGATTAGGTTTGGGAGGTTGAGAGCTATTTTCAGGATTCATATGAAATAATGAATAGAATTATATAATTATTATTGAAAAAAAGGAATTAACTTTAATACTAAATGTACAGTGGTTCGAGTAGTTGATGAAGAACAAACAATTACTTTCGAAAGTGAAGGAGACGAAAGATAACCGTGTGTATACGATGGATAGGTTTGATTTTAATTCGTTCATAAGGATACAATAGCGAATAGAAGAAACCAATACTTTTTATGCATGGTGGGGAACTGTAGGTAGTATTGGGATAGAGTGGTGAAGTGAATGTGATGGAAATGACAGTCAGGTAAGGAAGATGGGTGAGAACGAGATAGGGTGATTATGGGTCTTGTCATTGTTGATAATGAAGCAGAAATGAGTAATACATTGGTATACGATGATTGTTACTAGGGAGTTGAAAGGTAAGGATCAGGATTGCTTTTTCAAGGGAGAAAGAGACTGCGAAAGTATGTAAGTAGAAGAGAATCAAGTACAGGAATAGTAGAATAATGTTGAAAATAACAGTTCCGTTTGTGGGAATTATAGACCTGTGTGGGAAAAGATGAAAGAGTGGAATGAATTAGTGATATATATATATATATAATATGTATGTGAAAAAACGATAGAAATGTAACACCTGAAGAAAATGTACGAATTGTTAATACTATGCAAGAAAGAAGTGGAAATAGCAAGACTATCTATAAATATAACCAAAAAATATAGACAAGGAAATGATGGCAGATCACTCTGCAAAACTATGGTCACATTTACGTAAAAGAAAGAAACAGAGGAAATAGGAGAAATAAAGGAAATAGAAGAAATGGACGATACATAAGGAATCACCATAAATAAGAGGCATTTGTGCAATATTAAAACACTGCTATCATTTCTATGTGTAGGATAACATAGAAGAGCATATAGATATTGTAGAAAAATAACACTGTTTTAACTGACTTGCATAAAAAATATGATGAAGATAGGAATATCAAATGGTAGTCCTGCTATTTGGTACAAAATCCAACCAGGAAACACAATGAGTGTCTTAAAAACAAGTATAGTGGTAATGATTGTGTGAACGCATTTGATACTAGAGAGACTTTCATGAAGATTTTGGGAATCTAAGCTTCGTAAATAATGACAAAATGTTGGACAAGTCGAAATCTCTCGACTCTCAGATAAACAACGGAGATATTATTTACATCAGCCGAGTATTTTTATTCACTATCAAATGGAAGAAAATTCGACAGAAAGTGAGGTGCAACACAAATCTCTCTTTTTACACTCTGCGAAATATTATATGCGAGACATATTCAATTCCTAAAAGCGACTGGGAAAAATATAAATTGAAAGCAAGAGGTCATACAATCTCTCTGGAGGACTTAATCCCATTTAGAGGAGTTTCTGATGAAATTGAGGTTATTGAGATACAAGGTAGATGTTTAAGGGTGAGAAGTAAAGTTGTAGGGAATGAATGCCAATCATCGATTCTAGATGTACATATCGGTATAGAAATGTAGTTCGATTGAGTAATATAGGAAACACATGTGATGACGAAGAAGAAAATGACTTGCCTACCGAATTAAAAGACAAGGAGAATGAAATAACTGGAAACTTCGATACAAGGCAATCGAGTGGGAAGGAAGCAATTGATTCGTAATCGATGATTGATTTGGAACTATTCAATAGTGAAAATGAAGATCAGAAACATCATATTCGAGTGTTTTGTGAAGGCAGTGAAGAGGAAGAGGATGTCGTATCTTTTGCAGACTCGATTACAGTGAGTCAACTCATAATTGAAATGATAGGATCCGAAAATGACAATATATTTGTAACAAAGAAAGGAAGCTCTTTTGTTCTTGAGGGTGAAATTACAACATCCATAGATGTAACAAGTAGGCAATATAGGTTATTATCCAGCAATAGTGTATATGCACTCAGATAATCCAACGATTATGCTGAGTATTACTGACAACTTTGCCAAACCTTCCTCTAACTCCCCTTGCTCTATGGAGTTTCTTCTAGATGTGAGAGGATCAGAAATAATCGAGCTGTTTGGATACAACAGAGACGACGTGTTGCTCTGCAAAGAGAATGGAGATACATTGAATTTGGACGAATCTGTGTGGTCTCAGGGAGTTGTGAATGAAGATAACCTGATATGTAATCAATTTGATTGATTTGAATTATATTGCAGTTAAGAGTAGTTCAAACACTAAACAAAAATGGGTAGTGTTGAATGATAAAAGAAAGAGTATCATAGAGAAGTATGAACTGGATGAGTCGAAAACGGTCAGAGACTATCTGTCAGAATATTGGATTGTATTTTTCGTGGATTATTAATAATGTAGAAACACGAGAAGAAAAAATGGAATCACGTTATTGAGAGAAATCTGATTATTACAAATACTAAGGACAAGAAACAAGTAACCATGGATACAACGATATCATCTTTAAATGTTGCTGATACAATAGAATTGGAGAGTGTGAATAATTAAGTTAGATAAAACTTAGTAACATGGAAAACCGTAGGTAGTCTTGCAAGACCTCCAATTAACAAACCCAAACAAACAGAACCACCAAAACAACCCAAAGCCGATTCTTTAGAAACACCCAAACCTACCGAGCAACCAAAAAGAATAGTCACAGCTTCTGACCCTATTTCTAAAACTATTGAATTACAGGTTATTCAATGCTTCTGTAATACGAATAACCGATCATCCAAAAGAATTGACTCCGTTTCAGTAAAAGTCCGAACAGAATTAATCAGCAATTTCATTGATGTTTCTGTTGTTTTTGTATATGAACGAATAGAAAACAATGAAGTTGCCATCAAAAAAAGGGAAATGGATAATGTTGAATCAAGATGGCAAAATGACAACTCCAGAAATTGTGGCTCAAACCACTGAGTCAAGTGTTTCAGTGTTTATTATCCCTGTTCATTAGACATATTTAACTTATTTGTAGAATAGTTTAATGGATGTTAAATTTCTCGAGTTCAAATCTATTGAAGCCACAAATCCTTTTTCTAAAGAGTTTATATATACAAGTAATTCGATTCCTAGTACGACATATCGAGGAACTTGTATTGGAGTTTTCATTACTTTTCTGTAGGGTACATGCCGCGCTATAATATAACACAATTCAAAACAATTCTATCGGATCCACGTTGCCAATCCATAAAGAATGTGATTGTATCGGGTAATATCTTTTATTATGTGTAACTCATAGACCAAGTGAATAATGTGGAAATCGAAATCAAGTATGGAAAAGATCGGTCATCCATAGCATTTACCAGTATTTGTTTTCCATGTATTAATAGTTATTGATATTAATGAATAGTCAAAACTGTTTCCTTAAAAGGAATAAATGAAATGGTGGGATATTTAGGCAAGAATAACCTCATTCCAATCATAGAGTTCAGGATTGTATTAAGTATGATATATTGTTTGTATCATTATTATTAGACAAAAAAGAAAACGAAAAGCATGTAGATACTGTTTCTAACAAATGTCGAGTGGCAAAGAACCAAGGAATTGCTAAATTTGACATAATTGTAAACAATAGAAATGTGATGGAAACTGAGGAACAATCAACAGAACCAGAATATAAAAGGAACAGATTCGTATCAATTGGTATTTTTCGATTACCATTATAAGAAATAGAGCCGATTGATTTTGAAGGACACGACTTTGAAATGGTAGAGAATAACCAGCGAAGTTATGGAAATGATGAATCGATTTTGATATATGAACATGGAACAAATCAATGTGTTTCTGAGATTTTCGATTCCTTGAAAGTGAATTATGACCAACCTATTGCCAAGAGTTTTTATTCTCTTCAATCTGCTTTGACTGATGGATGTGATTTTGTTCATGTGGGAGATACGCTTAGTTTCAGTGGAAGACCTCACTTGCAGAAAGAAGAAACAACATTTATTCTTCCACTTATCAATCATAATGAAGCTCAAACTCATAATATCATTCCTGAAACAATCTATTTCCACTGCATTTCTGGAGTGAAGAATGCTACGATTGGCATTTTGTCTCCTCTTGATGAGGATAATATTATCACTGTATTATGCAGATCCAATGTGCTCATTTTCCATTCCACAGAGGAATACGTTCAATTAATCATGGCAATACGCTCTGACAGAGAGGATTGGAAGTATATCGAATCGAAAGCCTATCGATATGTGAAAACAATAAAAGAAGATCCTCCCTTTATCAGAGAAACAAATCAAACCAAAATTCGAAACCAAATCGTGGAAGATGTGATTCAATACAACATTCCAGTGGTGATTGAGGGAGTGACTTCGTCAGGCAAAACATTCACAGTGGAGCAATACTGTCGACGTTCTCTCGTTCCCTTTGTGAGATACAACTTCAGTCCTTCGTCCACAACTGAGGAATTGCTTGGAGATATGGTGATTACGAACGATGATACAGAAAAGATCAAATTCCAGGACGGAGCTTTCACGGATGCATTCATCCATGGCAAACTGCTATTGATGGATGAAATGTCTCTGGCTCCTCCTTCTGTGGTTCAGAGTGTGTTATCGTATTTGTTTGGCAAGAAGATTCTTCATGAAGGCAAGGATGGAAGTGAAGAACGTGTAATGCATCGAGATTTCCGCATTATTGCCACTCAGAATCCTGCTGGAAGTTCATACAAGCGAAACAATCTGTCTTCTGCAATTCGCGATTGTTTCCGCTTTATCACTCACGATTCAACGAGACCGAAATACTTCCCAATGATTGGTAAAGAGGAAAGATTGGATATCATAACGGCGATGTTTGGAAAAGACACAAAAATCGGAAGAAGAGTGTGTGAGATTCATGATCGAGCTGATAATCGAAAGAATGTGTCTGGAAAAGAGATTGATAAAGGGAAGGATTACACACTTCGAGATTGTAGTCGTGCAAAATGGATGATGGAAACACTGATGGATAAAGAGAAAATCGGTGAAAGTAATGCATTGGATCGGGCTTTACAAATCGCATATAATGAAGATTTGAAAACAAATCCAGTATTCAAAGCGGATATTACTTTCAGCGAAGCTGCATTAGACAAGGAATGCTGGAAGGATGTGTATGATCGAGTTCGTCTAGGACTGGAATCTGGATGTCATGTTCTATTGATTGGAGAAACGGAATATGTATCTCGAAAGTATTGTCGAGCAATAATGGAGATAATGCAGAGTGAAGGAACATCCTGTGAAGTGATTCATTGCAGTTCGACTTCTTCAACAGAAAGTGTGATTGGAAGCTATTCACTCGAAAAAGATACTGAGGGCAAACCAGTTCCTCGTTTCTGTCCTTCTCCATTGCTTAAAGCGATTGAAAATGGAGGTATTTGTGTTCTTCAATCGATGCATTTGATGAAATCGAATGTGATCGAGCGATTGAATTCTGTGTTGGAATTATCACCTGCAGATGGCCATCATCATGTAGTTCGATTTGATGAACGTCGAGAAAGACCCGAATTCGAAATGAGTCCCGAATTCCGTGTAATCGCAACAACGTCTGAGAAAGGTTTGCTGGCATTTTCTCCTGCCTTGAGAAATCGATTTTTGGAAGTATTTGTGAGTCACGAAGATGCAAAGCGATTTGAAAACTCTCCCAAACTGGGCAAGTTTACAAGAGATGATATTGGTGATTTGATTCATGATTATTCTCAAACAATCGACTGGTTTCAGCAGAAAGAACTCCATCGAATGGCCTGTTTTGCAAGAGAAGTGTGTGAATACAAATTGGATGAATATCTGATTGAAATGCTCGCTAGACAACCACCAATTCCTGAACTGCAATCCCTTCGAAGCCATTGGACTGAAGCTTCAAGATTGTTCTATTGTATTTGTAGGAACAAGGCTGTGGCATTGTGTGGACCTAGAGGCAGTGGAAAGTCCTATGCAATTCGCGAAATCATCAATAAGCTCTATATCAGAAACTATCAAGTGTTCAGTGTATCTGGAGAAACCGAGTTTTCCACTTTGATGGGAAGTATGGATATGAATGGCGATTTCCGAGCTGGAAGATTGCTCCAAGCTGTAGAAAGTGGAGGATTAGTGATATTCGAAAATGCTGAAAACATGTCAGCAGAATTACTGGAAATGCTTGATACTGTTTGTGATCCTTTCACTGATGAGTTCACTTATCCAGCTTCTCTCAATCATTCAATTCATCCTTCATTCCGAGCTTTGTTCGTATTCACAACACGTCGAGTGAATTCGTTGCCTTCTCTTCCTGCTTATTTCGATATTTGTGAAATGAGTCCAATCCAGAGTGATGAAGCGAAAGAATTGATGAATAGTGAAATCTGCAAACGATTATGTGATCATATTGATAGTAATGAGATTCCATTGAATGAAGTATTCACTCTGGATAAGATTTGTTTCAATACTTCTCATCCAATTTGGATTGTAGCAGCATTGTTTGCCGATCGAATGGATCGCAAAGAATTACTTGAGAGAGTGATAGAGGAATGGAAAAAGACAGCTGACGCAGAAATGAAACAAGAATTGGAAATGGCAAGTGTGGTTTTGTCAACTCCAACAGTAACAGCAATAATACTCCCAGCGAATGAATCGAGTTCATTGCTTCAACGTGGTCCTCTCGAAACAACAGTGCCAATCGAATATTCAAAACTCAAGGATTTGGATTCTTCTGTATTAACTGCATTATTTACTCTTTCTATTTCCAATTTCAAGCAAACTCACCTTCCTGTGTTATTGGTTGGTGATTCAGATATTGCTTCTGAAATCACTCATTTGCTGTTTCCCAGTGCTGCTCATATGGAAATGTCTCGTTCAATGGAAATGTCTCACACATTTGGTGAGATTTCTGTTTGTCGTAAAGAAGATATTCAATACATTCTGAGACAAACATCGATCCAAAATGTTGATGGAACTCCAATGGAAACATATCAAGAATACCTGAAGAGGTTATTGTATGGCATGGTAGATAATGAATCATTGCTCATGATGCGTCCTGGTCCGATTCTCCGTTCGATAATGAGTAACAATTCGATCGTGTTGAACAATATCAATCTATTGAATGATCGATTGCTTCCTCGATTATATTCATTGTTGTTTAGTTTAGATTCGCAAGAGTTTAGTCTATTTGAAGATTATTCCCAAATTCAAACAGAGATTCTTGGTAAATCTGTGAATGCGATTGTAACATGCGAAGATCCAGATTATGGAAGAGTTGCAAAGAAAGACCAATTCATTCAAGTGTTTTGTCAACCCTATTCTGGATTAGAAAGGGCGAAATATGAGTTTGAAAATCGAGATGACTATCCTTTGCACATTCTACGAAAATCAGATATGTTGAGGAATGAATTTGTGAATGCTGAGAAAGTGATTCCATTCTATTTTCGATTCCTTCAATCTGATTTGGCATCTCGAGAGAATCTGATTCAAATAGGAATGATGAATGAGGATTTGGAGGAAGTAAGTGAATTCCTTCAATCAAGCAACAAGGATGATGCAATGATAGAAGATTTGAAGCAAACTCTATCATTCCTATTTACAAATGATGTAATTGATGATATGGAATCCAGTCTTCAATCCAAGCATCCATTACTTCCTACAAAGACCACAATTCAGCTATTGGCATCCATCGTATTGGCAAATCGAAGTCATCTTCCTCTGATTCTAGAAGGAGATCCTGGAGTAGGCAAAACTGTTTCCGCTGAGAATTATTTCGTAAAGGAGAGTCTTGTTTATAAGCGAATCAATTTTTCGAATACCATAACGATTGATAGTTTGTTTGGATGTTATACGATTGTGAATGGATCATTACAATTCAGAGATGGAAGTATTACAGAACTATTGAAAAGAGGAGATCACTCAGATCAACGAATAGCATTGTTATTAGATGAAGTGAATTTGGCTCCATCAGATGTGCTTGAAGTATTACTCACTCTGATTCGTTGTTATGTGAATCACGATCCATTCCAAGTTCCAGGAGGCGATTTGATCAATATTCCATCGAACATGCTGATCATTTGCTGTATGAATCCAGCATCCATGTCAGCAAATCGCAGCACATTGCCTCGTCAATTCTACAAGTATTGTATTTATCATCGTGATTTGAAATTCACATTGAATGAATTGTTCGTCACAGCTCGTCAAATCTTGAGTAATGTAATGGAATCGGAAGAAGAATCAACAGAGAATCAGATTCTTGATTTGTTTGAATATTCCTACAACTCCTATCAAAAGACATCGATTCCATTCTCGCTTCGAGATGTATTGAAAGTGGATCAGATTGTGAATAATGGAAATAACCTATCATTGGAAACTGCTTTATGGTTGGTGTTTGCTTGCCGTTATGAAGAATCGGAGAGAAAAGAAATCGAGAAGATATTGAAGCTGGAAGATAGATTAAGAGTTGATATTATCAAACAAGACGACCAATGCGTTGTTCGTGGTTATTGGGACATTGAAACTCGACAAATGTATTCAGGATCTTTCAAAGAGTATTGTTTCACTTCAACAGAGAAAGTGACGATATTCAAGTTGAGTCTTGCTTTACAATCCAAACGAGCCATTTTGGTTTATGGTTCTTCTCCCTCTGGCAAATCGTATTGTATTTCGAATCTGGCATTGATGTGGGATAAACGATGCACTTCGGTGTTTTTGAATCATGAAAGTTCTCCAGATGTGTTCATCGGTCGAAGTACTCTTGGAATTGATGAAAATGGGAATGAATGTATCAAATTCCGAGAAGGTCCGCTGTTGAAAGCAATGGAGAGTGGAGATTGGATTGTGATCGAAGATATTCATTTGGCAAACAATGATGTGATGGAATCGCTGAATTCTCTGTGTGAAGAAAATCCAACACTGAAGGTATTAGCAGGAAATGAAGAAATAACGTATTCAATGCAACCGAAAGAAGGCGAAAGGAAAATTGACGAAGCATTCCGAATCTTCTTTACAATATCGGACAATACATTGAAACACTTCACTGGACCATTCTTGAGTCGTTGTGTGATTGTGTATTGTGATCCAATATCGACTCAAGCAAATGTTCAAGAAATCTGCCAAACCTCTGTATCAACACAAAAACCTTGTAACTTTGGAAGCAAAGAATCGAAAACATTCCGACGATGTATTCGAGTGATAAACAGTAAAGAAAGAGATGCATTCTTGTATGAATTTGGATATTATCCGAAGAGTAACAGAGTGGTGTCGAATATCTATATCCCCAAATCTATTGATTTTGAATTGTTTGAATTTTTGGACAATGTGAAGAGTTTGTCAGAAACTGATAGAATGACTCGAATGATTGCTATAATGGAAAAGATTTGCACAAGTACAAAGAGTGCATTTGTGATTGAAGACACTATCGAGCTACTACAAAGCTGCGTAAAGTATTTTGAATACCATTTTATCTACTATGTAATGGATTGTGCAATCAAAGTACTGGATATGAAAGATCTTCAGAATTGCATAATAGCGAAACAAAGAGGAGAAAATGCAGGTGTTCTTCGTCGTTGGTATTTGATTTCATCGATTGATCCGAAAATGAAAGGCAAATACAGAATGTCAGATTGGATGTTTAACCAAGAACTCACTCTTAAACAACTATTCGATATTCCTTCAAAAAAGCAAAAAATATATTTGGAATTGCTGTTTATTTGTGATAGAAGAGATGAATTATATCGGTTTATGGGAGAAACTGTATTGAATGACTTGGTGCTTGAAGTATTTTCATTGTTAAATACGAGTAGTCGGAGTGACTTGACAGAAGATATGCTAAAAGAAATAATTAATATTCGTGATATCTTTTTGGATGTGAAAAAAAGAGAAAGACATTTAAGAGAGAAGGCTAAAGCTGTTGATTGTATAAGTCTTCGCAATGAAATCAAGTCAGTAAAGATATCAATTGAGAGTTTCCCCTCTGAGATAAAGGAATCTGATAATGCTAAAGATATAATATACACTCTTGAATCAATTGAAAGTTCTGCAAAAATGAATGTGATAAATTATGGAGGGATAGAGGATGATGATGAACAAGGAATGAAGTTCAAATACTCTGAAGCAGAATATTATTGTGGTAAGGATGAAGAATTGAGAAATTACTTGAAACAGGCATTTGAAGATGGAATGATTGATAGTAAAACATACAAATCAATGAATTTCAATGTAAATGAGTCAAAGTATACAAAGTATGAATACAAATCAAGAGCAAATGAATACATTGTAAAAACATCTCATTTGATTTATAAACTGAAATCATTCGAAAATTATCCAACTATATTGAGTGAATATGCAGATGTATTGAATCGATTGGAATTGAATGTGGCTGATATTCTAAAAGAATTCAGTAGTTCATCAATTCTCCTTCCTTATTTATTGAAAATGCTGAATGTGCTGCTGAAGAAGGAAATGGAAAACTTGGATTGGGAAAGATTATTAGAGGATTACAGCGAATATCCATTCATTACTCCTGTTGAAGTGACTCAAGGAGATTTTGAAGCAGCTATTAAAGCGCTGTTTGAGAAAGATTGGTATAAATCATACTGGAATAAGGTAAAAGATAAAGCTAAAGACCGTTCTGAAGCATATTCGAGTTTGAAAGAAGAATTGGTGAACAAATGTTATTCCGCTTATTCAACAATAGAAATTAAATTAAAAGTCCCATTATTATTGGATGCTGTTGATAACTGTATTGAATCCGAATTAAAAGGATACGATTATCTGGAAGTATCTCAGGTTGATGTTTGGTGGAAATGTGATCTTCCTACTCTTATTGAACCAGGAACTACAATCCCGAGCGAGACGTTAAAAATGGAACGGTCTCTACTTATTCCTTACGATCCAGATTATCCTTTACTGGAATTAATGTGGGGAGATAACTGTCCATTGACTATTGAAGACAAACTGGCTATTATATGTCCACGCAAACGAACGATGGAAGGAAAAGTGGTATTGGATATATTAGAAAAGCCATTTCTAAACAAAGCATTAACTCAAATTATTATGGAAGTAACAAATATTGATGAACTTGTATCCAGAGTTATTGACACTGCTGAAGAAAATAGCAAGAAAGAGTTGGCCAAAATGAAACAGGAATTGGAAGATTTGGAAACAAAGAAAAGTGCTATGGATAAAATATATGAAGAGAAGCAGACAGAGGCCAAACAGATGAGACAACAATTAATTGATAAATACACAAGGCTAGCAAGTGAAAAAACCAAGATGAATGGTAACAAGAAGGAATACGAAAGGCGTAATGGGAATACCATCAAGATGCTTGGCTATATGCATGCTGTGAACAACCTAAGTGAAGATGATTATTCTAAGTTTCTAGTACAAGCTCCTCAGGAAAAGTATGATTTAAAGTATAAACCTTGTTATGAATATCACCCTTTTGATTTTCAAATGATTTTTGTCCCAAAAAAGCACAAAGTGCTTACATGTAATCAACAACTTTCAGTTATAATATCTGCTCCAGATGGATTGAGTGAATATTTACAATCAAGTACTATTTTGATAAAGGGTGATAAAATAACCAGTTTTGGTATTCATATTCCTGATGGTTATTTGCTAGTGCTTCCATTGGCGCCATTCAAATGGAATGTTAGTATTAAGATAAATGCTAAAAAAACTGAATTAAAAAAGCGTGAAATATCACTAGTATATTACACAAATGAACAGGGTAAATTGGTTAACAGTAGTTACGATAATAGTGCAGAATCAAATGCTCGTATATATTTTTTGCTTTGCCTTCTAAAATGCATGGTATTTATCAGAGATTATTTCAACCTAAAATACGCCAATTTATTATCTCAAGAAAAGTTATATGCATATAATAAAAATCACTATTCAATTTCTGGAAAGTATCATTCTTCCAGCTTTTACTTCAATAATAACAAACCATACAATTGTAGTTTATTTAAGAATACCATTATTTGTAACTGTAATTTCAAGGTTGATTGTAATGAAATCAATTCTTTCAATGATGTATTACCACAGAATCAAATAAGCTTGGAACTAACAAAATCTTCTTGGTCACTTGATGATTATCTTTACATTGGAAACGATTTTGGCTCTGTTGAGAGTGTAGCTGTTGAATCAAGAGATGATGTGAGCAACTTTAAGAATCTAGTGGAAAAATGTAATGAATATGAAAAGGAACTGGATTATTTGAGAGATGATATTCAAGAAAAAAGAAAAGAATATGAAAAAGAGCAAAAGGAAATGGAATCAATTCGATTTATGTTTTTCCCTAGTAAATCGGAAATGGATTCAACAATACAAAGTGAGGTTACATTATCAGATTCAATTATTACCATATATGAAAACAGTAAAGCATCAATTTGTCTTCCTGAAAATAAAACTTACTATCTACCAGTTAGTTACGTCGAAGAAAATGGAAATGAAATATCTATACCATACTATTCGACAAGCAGTGAAATAAAATTGGTAGTAAGAAGTAATGATTGTGATATCAGTGAGAGTTCTAACAGATTCGTATTTGTCATGAAGGATAACGATATTGGACAGAAGAGAGTTAGTTTAATTGCTACAGTATATCGAATGTCAGATAATGAGAAACTAGCAACTGAAGAATTTTATTTGTGTTATGAGAGGAAGTCATTGCCAAATCGTATTGTAACATCTGCTCCATGTTATCTACATACTGCTGCCAACTCCAATAGTAATAATATTCTTTATCCAACAATATTACCAATTAATATTGTAGTATATAGAAATGGTAAATGTAAGCAATATACTGCAACCAATAGTAAATGGATAACTATCTCATCAATGCCATGTGTTGATGTTTCGTGTTCTGAAATGAAAAAGTCTAGTTATCCATTAGGAACTCATTTCATATGGAATGAGAACGAGATAAAGGTTTTGAAAAACGAAGAAATACGAATAAACCAAATTCAAATTGATCATAAAGGTCATTTCAATGCTCAATCAGTTATCCAAAATCTCCAGTCAAGCATTTTTAGTACTTTCTATGATTCATTACTTTCTTTACCCATTGCTCTCCTATATGCAAACGAGAAAGAAAAACAAATGATGATATCAATTTTAAATGGATGTCGAATAAGTATAATTCTCCCTTCAATAAAAATAGAAGCTGAACGCATTATGAATATGGTTATCAGTCATCATTCTATTTTATCGTGGAGTTCTTTAAATAAGAAAAAGCAACAATCAAAGCAAAAGCAATCGAAACGATATAAGGGTAACTCAAAAACTGTAGAACTGTATGAAGAAATGAAAGACGACGAAATCAAGAATAACAGTCAGGCCTTGAAAAGACCAGCTCGATATCATAAACTAGATAGGGTCGTTATTGATGATATACATAGGCAGGTCCAACTGATAAAACAAATGGAAAACCTTGAAGACAGTTCTGCTATATCTGAGAAAAACAAACCACAAAACAATATGAATAAAACGGAGATACGGGAATATAAATCCTCAAATTATAAAGAATATCTAGAAACAATGAAATCATTGAAAATGGATGATTTATTTGAATCTATATACCAACGTCGAACAATTCTTAAGTATGTTATTCCGTTTAGTAACAATGAAACCCTGAAACATGAGGAAATGAAGCCAATTAGAAATTTGATTGATGTTTCAGTTATTGAGGCTGTTGTAAGTCAATCTACTGGTGTAATAGCATTACTGAAACAACAGAAGTGTATGAATCGCAAACCTCATTCAACAATTAATATTATTATCGATACAAATTGTAGTCTGAGAAAGAATAAGCTTCGAATGCGAACTATTATTTCATGCATTTTAGTAATTGTCATGAAGGAACTTGGCATTTCATTCAATCTGTATGTTTTTTGTGGAAGATACAAAGGTGCGTTTGTTTCTATGGATAATCGATCTATTCGGGAAATTATATCGTTTTTGTTTGATATTGAAGAAGTGGTGAAAATGCCTTCGACTCCATTGGACTTATTGACCGTTTCAGGCCATTTCAATGAAAAGGATCCAGTCGTGATTGTAAGTGATGGATTTAGTGAACAGTTAATGTCGCAAAATGATGAAGTGAGGACAGTATTTAAGCGGTATAGAAAGTTGTTTTTGCTATGTGTGAAAGGAAATAATAATGAAACCCTTAGTGCATTAAATCAATCTTTACTAGAAAGATCATTGAGAGCCAATTTCAATAAGAACATGATAATAATAATAGAAAGGATCAATGATATTTATAATAATGGTATAAAAATCATTGAGGATATATTATTTGATTCAGGAAAAATAAAAATGAATGCTGTGGCAGATGCTTGTCAATCAACAAAATGGGCAGATGTATTCACAGATGATCTACGAATGGCATTTGAAGTTAACCAGTCATTGGTTGCAATCAACACATTATCAAGTATAAAGCCCGTCAGAATGGTGGATCTATCAGAAGACCAATTATTGACGAATCCAAAGAAAAACCCTAATAGTACTGTTATAAACGCGATTAGCAAGTTCATCCAAGGTGAGAATCTATTTGATGCAATGAACACGTCTCTGTTCATTCCTAATAAATCGGCAGCCTTTGTTGCATCCACTTCAGGAACTTCGATTCATATGGCAAACTACATCAAGTATGTGGCTAGCAAAACTGGAGATGGCAAGTTCTTCAAGAAGCTTGGAGGCGAAAAGATACGAAGTTACAATGCGAGCATTGTGATTGATTGTTCTTCAATTGCCTTCAGCGAAACGAACCGAGTTCATTCATTATATACAATCTTTACAATCCTTCGGAATCTGAGTAATATGCAACTGCCTTGTATTGATTTGTGGGTGGCTTCTTCTCAAATCATTCGTATTGCAACAGGTATATTATCGATGGATTTGTGGGAAAGTAATATTGTTGCTGCTTTATATGAATACTTGTTATCTCCCTGTCAGAACACTTGTTTACCTGATTGTATTCGCTATGCTTGTTGTACGTGTAATGCTCGGTCATACCCATCTATTATGATGGTTCTAACAAATGGTGTTCTATGTAATGAATCCAGAGAAGAAATAATATCAATTGTGAGTGGAATCGAAATGACTTATCTTGGAATAGGACTTGGCTTGTATTTGTGTGGATTTGAAGATTTGTTCCCAACAATGATTTGGAATTCAAATCCAAACCAATTGTCTGAAACAATGATGAATCTAACGATTGCCTCAATAAATGGAAATCAGAACGCAGTGCCAGCGAAGAAAATCGACGAAATGATATTGAGTAAAACATTTAAAAGATCACATAAAGATTTGTTAAGTCGTATTTGTGATATTCTAAGTATGCATGAAATGACTTTAAGCAATGTCAGATTCGTTGACAAAACAGATGGTATTCATGCAATGAAAAAGATTGGTGATATTACTAATAGCATATATGATTTAGGAATCGATGGAGCATTTAAGGATTATTCGATCCTGTTCATTATTCTTTATTTGTGTCGAGGAATAAAGGATGAAAATGGTTTGGTGATTGATGAGTATATTACTGAGGATGTATTAATCAATGGGAAAGTTATAAATGGGAAAAGATTCTCACCTGCAATAAAGCTTGGAGATAAAGTAGTAAATGGAATACCTATTGGGAAAGGATTCGAAATTCATTATGCCTTTGATTACAAAACTGCAATTAGAGAGTTGATGAGTGGAAAATATCGAATGACATACATTACTTGCTCTCCTGGAGATGGAATCATGGCAAAAAAAAGTGATGATGATGTGGATCAATATGCAGATGCCTTTGTGAGTTGTGTTTATGAATTCAACAAGAGAGGAGGTGGAGTATTCTGGTTTTTAGAAAACTATCCATTCACTTATGAAGCTGATCTGTATTTTGAGAAATTCTATGGATTTGAAGCAGTGGGAGACAAAGACAAAAACATCCAGGGAGGTAATGTGATGGAAAGAGTGATCAGTGAAACACCGAAATCAGGCCAATTTATCACTATTGGAGGCAAAGCAACTAATTTTGAAAATATAACTCGTTTGGATTTGGGAATAGTAAGTATTTTTGAGGGAAGAACACTTTGTACGTTAAATGAGAAGAGTTTTGTAGACAATGGTTTCCGCATATTTGCTAGAGAAAGTGAAGGAAATGCCACAATTTTGGTGAGAGAGAAGCAAGAAGGAAGTAAAGAAGGCAGAATGATTATTGATACAGCTGCATCCAAGCTATTTTTAGAGTTCACAGAAGAAGGAACAGCGAGATGGATAAGCAACGCTGCAGTTTGGTTGTGTAACACGGAAGAATTCGAAGAAGAACGAGCTAAAAATACTAGCCTGACAACTGGAATCAAGATGGATGGAGTAATGTTGCCTGATCGGAAGAACATGGAGAAGCGGCAAGAACCTTATGAAATACAACAGTTCAAATTAAATCAGGTTAATTTCTGCATTAGTATTGTGATGGATACAACAGGGTCGATGGAAGAATATATTAATGCTACAAGAGACAATATCGTTCTAATATTGGATAAAATAAAGCAAGTAGAGAATGAATATAATATTATAGATGGTGGAATTGTTGGGCAAGTGGTTCAATACAAAGATTATCGAGATGTTTACACGGGCGAAAAGGAAGAATATATCACTAATGATTTTGAAAAATTGAAATCAAAGTTATCTACATTTGATGCTGATGGAGGATCATCTGGAGCAAGGAAATTTTGTTGGTGTGAAGATATTCAAGGAGGATTGATAAGAGCCTTAAAACAGATCAAACTATCGGAGTATTTAGAATACTATCATTTGATATTAATAGTTGGTGATTATCCTAATCACCTTGATCTTACTGATTGTGGAGTCGCTTTAACAGATGAGGTTGAACAAATAAAAGACAAATGGAATACAATATATGAGGAAATTCGTTCAATTCCAAAAATAAGAATTATGTTCATGCCTGTAAGTTGTGGAGAGATAGTTAACACAATGAAAAGAATGCAGTCAGAACTAGGATCAGAAATAGTAGATAGTGCTGAAGTAACAACAGAAACTAATTTTATAGAAGTGGTAACACAGACTGCAATAACAGAGTATAAGCGATTCATTGGTATATCCTAAATTCTTATAAGAATGCTGTTGTATCATTACTTATTATTTGTTATTAAACATGTGTAGTACTTCTTTAAGATATTTTCTTGTACTCAAAATATGTACTTTGTTTCTTTAAGTTCCTTTCCATTTACATAGATAGCTTTTTCCATTTCTTTTGATTGTACTAACAAGTGTACTTCTATTTTATCCATTATTCATTCAATTTCATTGTAAGGAATCAATCATCACACACTGATTACAACTTACTACTATGTAGTACCACTCACTCACTATTTACAACCATCTCTCCTCTATCACACCTTGTTTCCTTGTCTTTTACTCGCAACCAACCGTATTACCCTTCCCATATTATCGCCAAACAAACACAAATAGCAAGTACAACTATTACATGTAATATGATGGCGAAATAATAGCAGACAAATCAGGGTTCTTATCCTCCACAGGAGCTTCCATTTTATTGAGCAATTCTTCATAAGTAGTCCTTCCAAAGAGCCTAGAAAACAAGCTGCTCTTCTTCCGAGTCCCCTCCATTTCCATTTCATACGTTCCCAAGACAGCCAAATACTCCATAATCGAAGTCCAATAATATGGCTACACATGACTCATCCATTCCAAACCCTACTCGTTGGTTCTCAGGAAGGATTTGTTGACATCCTTTGGCATATCGGACCTTTTTGTTCATTTGCATCTGGATATAATATGGACAGTCTTTCACAAAGTTCTCATTAAACACCTCAATGCAAGAATCAAGCGTGTAAAGCCTTGGTTCTGGGTCTGACAGCTTGATCAGATTCAAAAGGAAGTCCATCTCCACCTTGCTAAGAATGAGGTCGATGGCTTCCGACTCTCGACGTTTGCTAACCGAGCAGCACTGCATGATCCGCTTCTTTCGCATATTTAGATTCGTTCGCTGATTGAACGCAGTCTCATCCAAACTGTCAAACCCGTCCAGAATCTGATTCTGAGCTACCACATAAGAATCTTTCATCAGACTCACTTTCAATATCCACTCGGAACAAATCCTTTTCGCTCTTCGTCTTCTGTCTCGCCTTCTCTTTGTTTACATAATGCTCTTTTATCAGTCCGTACATCACTGCAAGCCACTCGCAGCTGTTTCCTGTGGGAAGGTAGCTTCTGCGAGCGTGGTACGATTTGTACACTAAGATCCGATAGAAGAGCTGGCGGACGGTGGGGGACCAGTGAGTAAACAGGCGAGGCGCGTGCGAATAGATGACTTCAAGGAAGAGCTAGCCGATGAGGGAGAGTTATACTAAAGCGAACTCGAATTCGGGTCTCTCCAGTGAAGAAGTCCATGTTTGCGTAGATTACATAGAGCGTCTTTTGGAGAATCTGCGCTCGAAACCAAAAACAAAGCCTACTGAGACGTGCTCGTAATCGAGCAATAGCGAGAATAGCGAGAACATAAAGCAATAGTCTATCTGCGCCGCGAAGAATTGATGTTGGTAGGGACAAAACTCGGGCTCTTCCCACACATAAATCTCTTCGAGCGGCTTGATTCGGAGCGTTGTCACTCGAAATCGGCGATTGAACGAATCTACACGTCTCACCTCCAATCCATGGAAGCCAACAATGCTGCACAATGCGAAGCCCGATCAGACGCTGCATCAAGTTCGCTCCTTCGCCTCGAGACTTGGTGATGTCTGCAACTCAAACGAGTCAAAGAGAACCACTTCGCTGAATCCAATATTCCACGGCCTGGAAATGCGTAAAGCAGAGATCGTGCGAAAATAAAGTATTGCAATGCAGTGATACGATCTCGATTCGGTTCTTCGAGGCATTCTCATATCCCGCTCTCCCATGCATCGTGCTTCGCTTCGACGAGACGGAATGACTGGACGACGTGCTGGACACCGAGTTGACTTTCCTCAACTGCGAACTTGACGAATTGGCGGATCTCGACAGCTCCACGATGTTGTCAATCCGATAGACCGGAACTCCAGAGAACTGCGGCGATGGCTCTTCCGAATGCAGCGTGAGCAGTACTCCCTGCTCGCTCTCCACCGTCACATTGCTCTGCTGCTCGATCACGTTTTCGATATCGTTCGGATCGAAAATCATCGAAGACGACTGTCGACGCAGTTTAAATTGACCTGAAAAACGGTCATCTTCCTCGTCACTGAAACGGCCTTCCTTGTATTCGGGATCGTTGGGATCTTCTCCATCGTGATCGTCGTCGATCGACATGCCCAGACTGTCGTTATCGCTGTACACGATCGGTTCTCGGAGATCCTCTTCGCTCTCGACACTGGGGAACGAATTGGGCTCATTGTAATCAGTATGCATATCGAGCAGCATGTTTTTGATCTTGAGTCGATCTTTGCGGGGGAGAAATGGATCGATCACGCGGTGCGAAATGTGCGGGTAGATGTCCACTTTCCTTCCGCTTTCGCTATTGGCTCGCTGGAGCTCGAACAGACATTTGATCTCTTCTGACTAAGGGGAATCGCTGAACGACACGAGTACCTGATAGACCTTCTTGTAGAATTCGAGCGGGTAGTTTTCGTATTCAGGGTTGTTGAATCGAAGCCGAATGGACGCGAAGATTTGATTGAGTTGAAAGAGCGCTGCAGTGAACGCCGATAGACAATCGTACCTTGGATGATATCGTACAGAATATGAACTTTGCAGCGCGTGAAAAGCATTTTGACCATATTATTCACCAGTCGACCATTCAGCAGATAGTCCTGGCTTTGCATTATTGCCCAACCCCGATCCCTCCCTACACGCAGCTGTTCATATAGCATTCGAAGGCAATATCGGCTTCGCCATTGCGCAGGAGGATAAACTGCGAAGACTTCTGGATGATCGAGTATTGATAGAGAGTTAAAAACACTTGGAGATACATGAACATTCCCGGAACGCCTTCCCAAAACACGTCTACACACATAGAGAGAAAGAGCGAGCATTCAAACGTTTCATTCCGGTGATGTAAACAAAGTCCTCGCACATCTCAATGAAGAGGCTCAGATATTGGTACATGAGATAGCTACGCTCGCAAAACCTATCCTTCAATGAAGCATGATGCAAGCAACTTGGAGAACCAATCATCCGGAATGTCGCTCAAGAAATTTTCCCCCAAGACACTGGAAATATCGCCCCAATTAAAGAAGTCGGGGTTCGATTTTTGAAAGAGTTTGTAGAATTTATGCGCAGTTTTGGACCGAATCACGCGCGCCAATTCGAAGAACGGAACAATGCAAAGAGAAGGGTACCGAATGTCGGAATCATTGGGCAGCTCTTCTTCTTTGCCTCCTCGAAATGAGTTGAGATGAATCAGCGAGTTGATGGTCGAGGTTGAGAAGGGATTGTCGTTCTCAACGGTCTCATTCACATCGTGATGGTGGTGATTCATTCTCTTTTTGAACGCCTGCTTCACGGAGAGCTCGTTCTTTTCGATGGCATCTCCTTCATCCACGTTTAAGAACTCCGAGAGTGGCTTCATGATGTAGGGAGGAGGCACGGATTCCGCTGCCAACATGTGTAGATCGTCTCGGCTTTTCGATCGCGTGGCGATTCGGTCGTGGATCGTCACTACAATCAGAGTTTTGATTATTCATCTACAGAGCCGATGCTGACTTTCGGATAGAAACGGCGGCAAATTGGTAGTCGATGTGTATTCGGTGGTTCCAAAAATCTCCTGCTGCGTCAACTCGTCGTCGTCCACCACTTGGCTAATGTACTCTTCGTATTTATCACACACAGACTTTGCGGGATAATTAAAGCTGATCAAGTCCACTAAATTGACGTCCAGATGGTAGCGAGAAGGGATAATCGACCCTATTGTAGTGAGCAGCGTGACACGGAATGAGGGGAATCGGTAACTGGCGAGAATCAATGTTCGACAAGCAAATTCACGACTTGTGGCCGTGTTCAAATCAAGCGCCTTTGGAACCAAAAGAAGCAGCCGCTTTAATAGCCTCAGGAAGTCTACTAATATGCTAAACAATTCGGACTCTGGATCAGGAACCATATCATCAAAACCATTAAATGTCTAGGTGAAACGAATCCAATACGACAATACAAGAAAAAACTCTTTTCTCATAATCAAAAGCGATAGATATTTAAAAATCGACTGCTGTACTCTGGATTGTCCCTATCCCGTAAAGTGAGAGCATTTTCTCTTACTCTTCCCATCATATTAACCATATGATTCCCCAATTCAATAAAACAATGCTGTGCAACACTAAGTGACTCAACGGTCTTATACGCTACGGATCAATGTGCAACATACACAGTGTACAAAAAAACGACTCGGAGAGATAAGGGAGAAACTCTTCCATCTCATCAAGCCAGTGGTCCGAATATTCGTATTGGCTTGAGACAGACTCCAGCAAACGCTTGACTTTTGAAGAAAAGACAATTACATGCTCCATCCCATGAATACACCAAAATGAGAAAAGATGAGACAATTTTCGAATAACCGCGGGAATTCCGAAAAATGAATCTTGAATGTGGTTTACTGATCTGCACAAATAAAAATAAAATATATAATTTAAAAAACAATGATTTCGGAGGTGGCGTGAAAAGTATCGGTGATTCAGGAGATCACTGGTTTTCTCTCGAGGTGATTCGATTCAAATTAAAATATGTTCGCATTTCAAATACCAGACATATCTTTCAAATTCCAAAAATCGGCCGTATTTTCGTCCATTTGAATACCACTCAATTTGTTCAATAATCCAATATGGAAGGGACAAAGTCGTGGAACGATGCGGAGATGATGTCTAGAGTACACATTGGCAATACTGCAAGGCTCGAGAAGGAAGACTTGAGACAGGCCTTCGAGCAGTTTGGAACTGTTACAAATGTCTGGATTGCCCGGAATCCTCCTGGCTTTGCGTTCGTAACCTTCTCTACCCCTGAAGAAGCCGAGAAGGCCATTCGTGAGGGAAACAATATGGAAATTCGTGACGACCGTGTTAGCGTGGAGCTCGCTCATCCTCGCGTAGGAGAAGCCCGTCTTCCTTCATGTTTAGAGAAGCAGCAGCCGCCGCTACCGAAGCCGTTCCTCGAGCCGCTCTCGCAGTTACAGTCGTCGCCATCATCGTCACCATGGCTCTCGCTCCCGTTCCCGCTCGCGATCGCGATCTCGAAGAAGTCGTCGTTACAACTCCCGCTCTTCTTCGCGTTCTCACTCCCGAAGACACAGGTCTTACTCTCGCGGCCGTTCGTCTCGCTCCCACACTCGCTCGCGTACTCGTTCCCGTTCTCGCTCGGATAGATACCGTTCTCATCGTGATCGGTCTCCATCGGCCTCTGTTGATAAACCTGCTGAATAAGGTGCCTGTGTATTTCTCTTGGAGGCGCGCAGCAGTTAGTACTTGATAAGAAGGCAAATGTTTTCTTTGGCACGTTTGTTGAACAAACAACCGAATAGTCATCAAGGTCTTCATCGCGGTCCTGGTCCTGGTCCTGGTCTTGGTCCAGGTTGTCATCTGCAGAGTAGTGCTCGTTTTCGTCATCATAATTGGGCGCTGTATTCGCTTTTTCTAGCTCGTCGATCCACTTGGCGTACATGTCGACGGGGGATGTGAGCTCTATAGAAATAGCGTTCAGAGAATGGTCCTACTTCCGATTGTCATTTCATATTTGGCTTTGCATATAGAACATTCGATTTTTCCTCTCTCGTTCACTTTATCTCTGTTGATGAGGCGCAATCAGTCTATTACAAAGTACACTTGCAACATTTGGGATAACTACACTTGGGGCAGTTGAAAACGATGGCGAGCTTCGCTGCCTCCTTCTTGACGACTTTCCTCTGTGATTTCTTTCTTCTTCCCATTTGCTTTTTCGTAATCGTAGAGAGGGATCGAATTTTGGAATTCCAAAAGGAGGCCAGTCATTTTCAGCCAAGTCTTTAAAAAGCCATTCTGCCAGTCTAGAGGGAATGAAACGAGGAACTAACGGCAATTCATCGCAGAAGAGAACGAACGCACAGGGAAAGGACCAGGCAGAGGACCAGGAAAACTTTCTATATGAAGACCCCTATGTTGACACATTTGAAGAAGAAGATATTGTCGACCCGAAGGAAGAAGAAGAACTTGAGAAAAGAGAGCTGGAAGGAATCGATGAAGAGAGAGAAGTGCATGGAGTGAGTCGATTTCTTGCCAGAACTCACTTTTAGGTCTTCCGTATTGGTAAGGACAAGATAGACCAGGGCGAAAAGATGGATTACGATAACAGTGCGTATAGAATGTATCACCGCCTCAATGTGGAATGGCCGTGCTTGAGCTTCGACGTTATTCACGATAATCTCGGTGCTATTCGTCGTCGCGTACTCCCTCATGTTTCTCTTCACAATAGTACCCGCACACGCTGTATCTGGTCTCTGGCACCCAGGCGGAGAGCGGTTCGGACAACCAGATCGTGGTGTCCAAGATCTCGAGTCTCTGCGAGACCAAGTACGACGATGATCCGACCGAGGAGCCGGACGATGAATCGGACCCCGTCATCTCCGTGTCCACCATCCCTCACCGCGGCGCCGTGAACCGCATCCGCGTATGTCTCCCTCTCCTCCCTCTCCTCCTCAGTGTCTTCCGAACCGATCGCAAGTCGTGGGCGTTTGGTCCGAAACGGGCGTCGTCAGCATCTACAACATCGCTTCGCAGCTCTCCCAAGTCGAAAAGGCGTCGACTCCTGCCTCGGGCTCCACCGCCTCGACGCCTCTCTCGCTGCCCTCGCTGCCCACCGACCCTGTCTATCAGTTCAAAGGCCACCGCGCGGAGGGCTACGCGCTGGACTGGTCGCTCTGCGAGAAGGGACTGCTCGCCACGGGCGATTGCGCCGGACTGATCCACATCACCTCGCCGCTCGAAGGCGGCTGGACGACCGACGCGACGCCCTTCCAGGACCACGCGGACTCGGTGGAGGATCTTCAGTGGAGTCCTTCGGAGAGCACGGTGTTCGCGTCGTGCTCGGTGGATCGCACGGTGCGGATCTGGGACACGCGCAATCCCTCGCGGCGGAGCATGCTGACGGTGCAGGCGCACGACAGCGATGTGAACGTGCTGAACTGGAACAAGTGAGAACGCAGCGTGGGGCTGAGCGATAGGCAGGTGGGGTATCTGATGGTCACGGGATCGGACGACTGCTCGTTCCGCGTGTGGGATATTCGCAATCTGAAGTCGTGGAAGAGACAAAGAGCTGAGAAATAGGGGAGGCTTCGTGGGCAGCTTCGACTATCTGCAGGCGCCGATCACGTCTGTGGAGTGGTCGCCGCACGATTCGTCGGTGCTCGGCGTGTCTTCGGACGACCAGCTCACGTTGTGGGATCTCTCGCTGGAGGCGGACGAGGCGGATCAGATCCCGGGCGTTCCGTCGCAGTTGCTGTTCGTTCATGCGGTACGGGAGGGGGAGAGATGCGAAGTAGGGACAAACGGCGATTAAGGAATTGCACTTCCATAACCAGATTCCGGATTTGGTGGTGTCGACAGCTCAGGACGGGTTTAATTGCTTCATTCCGGATATTACGGTGGGCGATGGGATGGAGGAAGAGTAAGAGGAGAAGGGAGTGTCTTTTGGGGTGTTTGTTGATGAATCATGAAGTGGGGAGGCAAGAGGGGAAGATTGTGAATGGTGAGGATGAGGGATGAGAGAAGGGCACAGCCGTGTCAGTGGCGAGGAGTAAGTGGAAGTGGCTACAGGTTCACTACACACAGCACACCACGAGCAAGTAGCTACATCACACCACGAACAAGTAGCTGCAACACACCACGAACAAGTAGCTACAACACACCACGAACAAGTAGCTACAACACACCACGAACAAGTAGCTACAACACACACACACTCACATCCCTATTTCTCTCGCTCTCCCCCTCCTCACCATACTCCATTCCGTTTCTAACAAACAAGACCTTACGGGAACCCTTAAAAGTCGTTAGACGATCGGGGACCTTAAGAAATCATTAAGAGCCATTCAGGACCATCAGGGACCTTGGGAAACAATAATAAGTCATTTAGGACCAACAGCAAGGTTATCAAAGGTTCACATTACATAAAGTGTAATGGAAGAGTGCTTTAGCTACAAAAATAGGACACACAGAGTCGGCAGAAGACGGAGCATCAATCCACTGCGAAGATGGAAAACCCAAAAATTGGGCACCAGCTTTTAGAGTAGATGTTGGAGAGGCTTGGGAAAAACCGCTATTCTTTCTGCACGATGGCCAATTATTTTCATAGCGAATCACAGAAAATGGTGCTAGTCCAACACTCATAGGGGTGGAACTCGCCACTGCGCGGGAGGGCAAATTTGCGAGCTCTGAAGGAAGGGTGCGTAGATCTTTAGAAGTACGTTTCAGTTTTTGTCCTAGACCTTAGCCGCAGTTCATACCACATACGATGATAGTTATTCTTTTTCTTAAGGCGGCAATTCTCACAGGTATTAAAAAGCAAAGTTGACATTGGCTTTTGAAAGAGCTCAATCCTCCTATTCAACTTACACGATGAACAACGTTTAGTTTTTTCCATTCTTCAGATGGTTACAGGTACGATAAGGAAAGCGGGCTATGAATCAGCTTACTAATCCCAATCAAATACATATGATTAAGGTAAAAAACGGGAAACAAATAAAAAGAATGATATTGCTCCTTGAAAAAGACCATGAAAATGATTGGCCAAATACCTCATAGACACAAGGCCATTGCTGGTTGTACTTCTCAGTATAAATATATCGATTAATACAGTTTTGAGACGATATTCTTAGAAAGCATTGACATTTTTGCAACCATCAGACCATTGTCAGAATTGGCCAAACTGCATTTTGTGATTCCTTATATATGGATCTCCCAGTTTGCCACGCTATTCAAAAACATCTCTGAAACGAATACAACCAGACATAATCTTTTCAATATGGATTCTAATCCAAGGGTGGAACATCGTAGTAATAAAACCCGGACACAATGTGTCACTCTCGGTACCAATTTCAATCAGTTTCCTCTATTCGCTCTCCTAGAAAAAGATTACCTAGAATCACTCAGCTGTACCTTCCACGAGGACCCAAATACCCTTGTTAAGGCGTATGAGCGAATGGTCCCTTCTGAAACAGAGCAACGAGGTCCATACAAAATCCTAGTATAAATTCCAGTTTACCCCAGACGAGATTCTGGAGTGAAATCTCCCCAATTCTCCCATTTCAATTTGTATTCGCTTGTGAAATTGCCTTATTCGTAGAGGACATGCTTCCTTCTTGCAGAATTTTGGGAAAGACTGCTCCGGCTCTGACAAGAGCATTCCGAGCTACTGCCTGCCGTTCCGCTGTAGTTGGTAATACTGCAGATGCTAAGGTCACGAAGGATCTGGGCACTGCTTATCCTATTGGTTTGCACTGTGGGTAGCCAAGTTAGCTTGTAGTGGACCACGAGTACGACTGCGTGGTTGTCGGTGCTGGAGGTGCGGGTCTGCGTGCCGCTATGGGTCTTTCTGAATACGTATTGGCTTTTCTGTGATTTTGCTGACGCACAGGGATTCAAGACTGCCGTGATTACCAAACTGTTCCCCACGCGTTCTCACACCGTCGCTGCCCAGGGAGGCGTGAACGCTGCTCTCGGCAACATGGTAGGAGGTTCGTGCGTTGGTTCTGAATGTGCAGCACGAGGACGACTGGCGTTGGCACTTCTACGACACGGTGAAGGGTTCGGACTGGCTGGGTGACCAGGACGCGATTCACTACATGTGCCGCGAGGCTCCGCGCGCTGTGCGCGAGCTGGAGGCGTACGGTCTTCCGTTCAGCCGTTGCGAGAACGGCAAGATCTACCAGCGCGCGTTCGGTGGTCAGACGAAGAACTACGGCGAGGGCGGCCAGGCGTACCGCACGGCTGCGGCTGCGGACCGAACGGGCCACGCGATGCTGCACACGCTGTACGGGCGGTCGCTGGCGTACAACACGTCGTACTTCATCGAGTACCACGCGCTGGATCTGATCATGAACGGCGACGAGTGCGTGGGCGTGATGGCGCTGTGCCTGGAGGACGGGTCGATCCATCGCTTCCACTGCAAGCAGACCATCATCACCACCGGCGGCTACGGTCGCTGCTACTTCTCTGCGACGTCTGCGCACACGTGCACGGGAGACGGCACGGCGATGGCGCTGCGCGCGGGCATTCCGCTGGAGGACCCCGAGTTCGTGCAGTTCCACCCGACGGGCATCTACGGCGTGGGCTGCCTGATGACGGAGGGCTGCCGCGGCGAGGGCGGCGTGCTGCGCAACAGCGAGGGCGAGCGCTTCATGGAGCGGTACGCGCCGACGGCGAAGGACCTGGCGTGCCGCGACGTGGTGTCGCGCGCGATGACGATGGAGATCCGCGAGGGCCGCGGCGTGGGCAAGCTGAAGGACCACATCTACCTGCACCTGGACCACCTGCCCGCCGACCTGCTGGCGGAGCGCCTGCCGGGCATTTCCGAGACGGCCATGATCTTCGCGGGCGTGGACGTGACGAAGGAGCCGGTGCCGGTGCTGCCCACGGTGCACTACAACATGGGCGGACTGCCCACGAACTACCACGGCCAGGTGCTGAAGCCCACGGAGCAGGACACGGAGAAGGTGGTGCCCGGACTCTGGTGCGCCGGCGAGGCGGCCTGCACGTCGGTGCACGGCGCCAACCGCCTGGGCGCGAACTCCCTGCTGGACATCGTGGTGTTCGGCCGCGCCTGCGCGAACTACATCAACGAGATCAGCAAGCCCGGCGAGGCGAAGACCCCGCTGCCCGCGGACGCTGGCAAGGCCTGTCTGGAGAACCTGGACCGCCTGCGCTACGCGAAGGGCGCCATCCCCACCGCGCAGCTGCGACTGCGCATGCAGCGCACCATGCAGGACTACGCGGCGGTGTTCCGCACGGAGGAGACGCTGCAGGAGGGATGCAAGCGCATGAACGAGGTGGTGAAGGAGATCCGCGACGTGGGCATCACCGATCGCTCCATGATCTGGAACACCGATCTCATCGAGACGCTCGAGCTCCAGAATCTCCTCGAGCAGGCACACTGCACCATGATCGCCGCCGAGGCGCGCAAGGAGTCGCGTGGAGCCCACGCGCGCGAGGACTACAAGGAGCGCGATGACGTGAACTGGTTGAAGCACACCGTGGCCTACCACGACGACGCTCTGTTTGGAACGGGAACCACCAAGCTGATGTACCGTCCCGTGCATATGAACACGCTGGACGAGAACGAAGTGAAGCCCATTCCGCCCAAGGCGCGTGTGTATTAATCGTTTATTGTAACTGTGTTGTTGTAATTAGGAGTGTTTGTTGGGAGATTTTTGTGTGGGTGTGTGGGGTTAGATAATTGGAGGGGAGTATTTTCTGGAGGAGGGGTGGTCGATAGAGTGGGAGAGAGAATGTTCAATAGGATATGTGTCGAAAAGAGTTGTAGTTGGATAACTAGATAGAAATTAGTGGAGGTGGTTTATTCTAATGGTGTGAAGAAATTGCATTTGAGGAGAAAACAGAGTTTTGAAGCACGTTCAATAGTCCTCCCTGCTTTCTATATCAGATTGTATCTAGAAGCATTTATATCAATGTGGTTGAATCAAATGGAAAGAATGTGGGAACTTGGGCATCAGTTACTAATTACTACTCTTTTGTACAATCGCTCCATATTCGTTCTTTTCAATGCGATCTCGTTCATTGAGGATTGATTTCGTCATACCTTCCAGAAGAAAAAACACATATACACTCAACTTTTCAACAATAAGAACAGACAACATTGTTAAAAGAAACAGTGCATGACTAATGAGTTATTATTATTTATATTTCACACCAAATCGATCATCCTTCACCTATCCATTATTTGTGGAGATTTATGGAAATGCTAAAAATCGAACTATTGCATTATTGTTATTTTGTATGTTTATTTATTTTCTGGATATGAGAGCTATTCTTGTATTATCGGTCATCTTACAGCTAATCTATGCCTCTGCGACTTATTCATGCGATCCAACTGGCTATTTTGACTATCTAAGTGCTTATCCTTCCAAGTACGGATCGGTGACTTCGGAATTTCCAATGTAATACTATTCAGTAATTACAATACATAGGGATCATTTCAATGACTGGAAACAAGCCTGTTTGGATATCGAGAGAAAGGCTGAATATAGACACTACCCCATGAATTTCTCTATTCTATCTGATTTTAGTGATGAAGATTTGAACCAGATGATGAATCTCGGCATGAAGTATTCTGGAGAAGGTTCTTATGCTGATCCTGCCGATGATGTGCCTGCACCTTGGACAGGAACTATTGTAAATCGTGACTTATGTTCTGGAGCTGAGAAATATTCGACTTCCAATTCGAAGGCTACTTCATGGGCAAGTGCGTTGATCTTTGCTGCAGAAACTGTTTTGAAGAAAAGAGGATATGATGAACCGTTGTCCTTGTCGTATGTTATCCAGTGCCTTCCATACAGCCAAGAAATTGAACCGAACGATGTTACTCCTTCTGATATCATTGCATTTGTGACAGAGAAAGGACTGATGAGCGAAGCCGTTGCTGGATTGCTTGATGAAAACGAGCTATGTTCAGCGAATACTCCCAAGTTCTATTTTGAAGTGACGAAGAACGATATTCCGAACAAGAGTGGATTGATGAAGTTTATTGCTGAGGGAGATCCTGTGATTGTGCTGATGGCTCTCGACCTGGTTCGAATGAAGACTGTGAACGATGTGACAGGCGATGACATTTACACGGGAGCTACTGACCAGCCTTCTTTGTATGGTGTGATGAAGGGCTTCGACGAGAAGAAATGGACCGTGACTTTCAACGTGGTGCCTTGCGAGAATATCGAGATGAATCTCCCTGTTGTGGATAATGATACAAACGCGAACTACGCTGGAATTGCTGGATATGCGATGTCGATGAAACTACTGTCGGTACCTCCAGAAGTCATTTGCTTTGATGTGAAGAAGGACATCAGAGAAATACCTGATATAGTATCCAAATTGAGATTCAAGCACTTCAATCCTAGCGATGTTGAAGAACTGACACTTACTTATCAATATCTAAGAGATCTGATTATCGAAGACAATGCATTCCCTATTATGTCTTACTTCAATATTTCTTGTCCCATTCTGAATAGTTTCTTAATTGCTGATAGCACTATGTCCGGCTTAGCATCCTCACGTCGCTTGATGGAAATGAATGGATACTTCATACTGAATACTCCGAATCTGATGCTTATGAATGTCGGAATACAATCTCTGTTGAACTTTATGGCGATGTCTGTGACTCAGATCAGTTCGAATTTCACACTGGAATTGGGAGATTATTCCATGAGCAATGTGGAGAGAGTTGAGTATATGGTGGAAATTCCGATGGATATTGTGACCCATATCCAGACAACGATTGAAAATAACGTAGGACATGAGAACCCTGTGGTTGTTGTACCAATCAATCCTGTTGTGACCCCTACTCCTACGCCCACTCCTCTTCCTACTACACTTCCTCCACCAACTACTGCAGCTCCGACGACTCCAGTACCAACTACTCAGCCTCCTACAACTCAGCCTCCTACTCCTACTCCTACTCCTACTCCTACTCCAACTCCAACGCCCACTCCTACTCCTACTGTCAAGCCAACTACCCAGCCTCCTACTCCTACTCCTACTCCAACACCCACACCTACTCCCACGCCAACGCCCACTCCTACTCCCAAGCCAACTACCCAGCCTCCTACTCCTACTCCTACTCCCACTCCCACTCCTACTCCCACGCCTACACCTACTCCAACACCTAAGCCTACAACGCCTACTCCTACTCCTACTCCTACTCCTACACCCACGCCCACTCCTACACCCAAGCCTACAACGCCTACTCCAACACCCACTCCTACGCCAACACCGACGCCCACTCCGACTCCCTTACCCCCTTATATTCAACCTCAACCTGTTTCATATTCCATCGAAAGACATTATGGTGATATTCCAGACAACTATGAAAATATGATTATCTATTATGGATTTAGTGATTCTGAATTCCTTTCTCTTTCCTATAACTCGACTTCAACAGAAGTTATCAATGGAACCGCAATTCCGCAATTACTAAGAATCTATTTGGAAGGAATCAACAATGGATGGAAAAACGATTCCTATGTTATTATCCGCAGTGAATTTGGAACTACTGAAAGAATCTCGCTCAATGGAAAACTCTCGACGAATCTATTTATCCACCTTTCGTATGGATTGATTCCAGAAACATTAGTAACAAGCTGTGATGAGTATTCCAATGTGGATTCATCAACTAAAATACTTCACATCGCAAGTAACGCCTGTAACGATGATAAACTAACAACATTTACTACAGAAAGACTTAGTGAATTGATCCAGTTGGAGATTGATAGTTGGAATTTCAAAACAGTAAACAAATTTGATATTCGCAACAATCATAATTTGGAATACGTGAATATCAAGTCCAACTCCTATACAGATAGACATGTACATTCTTTTTTTTATGATGAACATAATGATGATAAATCTGCATCATTCCGTATTGTGAATTGTGGTGGGCTGAGATCAATCAAAATAGGTGAATATAGTTTTGCTAATTATGGAGGTATGTTTGAATTAAGTAATTTAGTATCCTTGGAATCTATCACGATTGGAAGTCAAGGACACTCATCAGAGAACTTTTACTCAAGTTCATTGGTGATTCGAGGTTAGTAATATTATAGTATTATTATACTGATAGATCTTCCTAGTCTTAAATCAATTGAATTAGGCGACTATGTGTTTTCCCAATTTTCTACAGCAGTCATTGAAAGTATGTGAATGAATTGGTTAGATAAGACCATAGATCTTCCATCTTTGCAACTGATGTCACTTGGCGAATATACACTTGCCGGTGATCTGAATGACACGTCATGCTCGTTGACAATGAGAAGTCATATTTTGTAATACTATCAATCATTTAGATCTTCCAAATTTGACAACTATTCATAATAATTGGGGCTTGTTTGAAAATCCCCGTTCAATAGTAATGGAAAGTAATATAATGTTACGAATATATTATTGTAGATATTCCAAATGTATATAACGTTTCTGATTACATCGAATTAGACAGTATGATAGTGTTTTCAATTAATAGTATACTCTGTTGCCAATGTGATATTACTATTAGATGTTCATCCACAACTTGCTCAGTATTTCCCTCAAACTACGTATTCTTGTGCTTATATTCAATCCATTTCATCTTTCAACACGACTATCATTCTACCAGATTGGACTTGTAACGAGGTAAACTATACTACATTTGATTTCTCTCGATTCACCGATCTTGAATATTTGGCAATTGGCAATCATAGTTTTGGTTATGTAAATACATTTGTGATTGACGGTTTAAATAACTTAACAACACTTACAATCGGACAAAATTCATTCACTGAAAGTAAAGATGGCTATGACAGTGATGATTCCAAATCATTCCACATCAAGAATTGCGAATTATTAGAATCGATTGATATCGAATCTTCTAGTTTTTCGGATTATTCAGGTGAATTTGAACTACTTAATCTTCCTTCATTAAAATCAATTGATATTGGTGAATTAAACGACTATTCATGGACCAACAGTTTTTATGATTGTTCCTTTATTCTCAAAGGTAATATATGTAATACTTTGCTAAATGATAGATCTTCCTAGTTTGGAGACTGTTGTCCTATCTAATGGAGCTTTCCATGAGTCAGTCATTACTATTTTTGAAAGTATATTTTATAGTTTCGTGGTAATTGTAGATTTACCTTCATTGAAATCAATTTCACTCGGATATTCATCATTTATGGGAATATATAATGATACTTCATCTTCTTTAACCATGAGAAGTATTTACTGTGTATTGTATTCATTTAGATCTTCCCAACTTAACAACAATCAGCGGAGGCTATAATTGCTTTGAATTTGCTCGATCTATTATTTTAGAAAGTATGCTATTTTAGTTATATCTCCTTTAGATATTCCCAATGTTCAGAATGTTGATATATATTTGGATTTCCCTTATGCTTCTTTCATTTCTATCAACAGTATATTTCCATTTAAAACGTAACCCATAGATGTTCATCCACTTCTTACTGAATATCTTCCTCAAGCCACATATTCTTGTGATTATGTTCAATCCATTCCATCAACTAACACTACCATTATTCTGCAGGATTTCACTTGTAATGATGTAAACTATACTACATTTGATTTTTCTCGATTTATGGATCTTGAATATTTGAAAATAGGTGACTATTGTTTTGGTTTTGTAGAT